CCAAAACACATCATATTTTTAGTATGGCAGAAACATTTAAACATTTCAAGTTTATCGTTTAATCTCCAATCAGGGTCCTTTCCTAGTACAGTTTTATCTCTTATTATTAGTAATGGGTTAAATGGTCAGGCATTCGCCATCAAGAATAGAAAAAATACACCATTTTGTAGATGCCATTGATATAACCTCCAAAATACTTCGCCAAAACACATCATCGTTTTTGTATGGTAGAAATATTTAAACTTTTAAACTTCACCGTTTAATTTCCAATCAGCATCCTTTCCTAGTACAGTTTTATCTCTTATTACTAGTAATGGGTTAAATGGTGAGGCATTCGTCATCAAGAATAGAAAAAATACACCATTTTGTAGATGCCATTGGTATAACCTCCAAAATACTTCGCCAAAACACATCATCGTTTTAGTATGGTAGAAACATTTAAACTTTTAAAGTTTATTGTTTAATTTCCAATCAGGGTCCTTTCCTAGTACAGTTTTATCTCTTATTACTAGTGATGGGTTAAATGGTGAGGCATTCGCCATCAAGAATAGAAAAAATATACCATTTTGTAGATGCCATTGATATAACCTCCAAAATACTTCGCCAAAACACATAATCGTTTTAGTATGGTAGAAGCATTTAAACTTTTAAAGTTTATTGTTTAATTTCCAATCAGGGTCCTTTCCTAGTACGGTTTTGAACCTCTTATTATTATTGGTGTGTTAAATGATATTTCACGAATAATACGGATTTTGGTTTGGCCAATTTGATGAAAAAACAAAGTCGACTATTATCTTCCAAGCTTTCGACCTATTTTAAGTTCATCGTCGGGGCAAAACAATCTTAAAGATGTCTAAAAACTTACATAATTAATTTTTTAAAGAATGGTTTCAAATGTCTTTAAACATAGATTCAGTCTCAACACTGATAAGGACTGTGTCTTGTGATCGGTAGATCTAAATTTAAATGATATATGGTCGCCGTCAGGAGGTAAAAACGAGAGCAGTCCATTTTCGCAGGCTGAGGAGACCCCACAATCCTCCTAGGCGCAGCACGAAAGGCGAACCTATCGGGTACGCAGAGGGGGTGAAATTTCTCGGCATAAAATTCAACGAGAAATTGAGATGGCGACCACTTATAGGAGAAATTGAAGTCCAGTGTAAAAGGTCATCAACCTACTCAGATATTTATCAAGTTACAAGTGGGGAGCATCGAGAGAGGTTTTGACGACCCTATTTAAATCGTTATTGTGCACAAAAATCAATGAATTATGGCCTCCGTTCGGCAAGGAGAACGCGCCTCAGACATACAAAAGGACTGCGACGAACCAATGGCGGGTTCAGAACAAGTTCGCCCAACTATCTGTGTAGATTGTAGAGGCGGGGGTCTTATCCCCCACTGTTAAAAGGGAAGAGAGAAGTCTCAAATGCAATAATATGTGAGCAAATGGGCAAAGCCGACCACTTCCTGCACAAACCCTTTTTGTCCCAAACAACAATGACAACTACGAACTCCTGAGGACCCCTGATGAAACCTTTAGCCATAAGGACCAAAGAAATACTTTTGGCAAGGGGAGTAGCCTTTGTCTGAATGGAGGAGGAAATACCTCTGAACCCACCATTGACACTCCTCCTAATCCTTGACCGATGGATGGCAAAATAGAAAAAAGAGAACGACAGATAACCCCCCCCCCGAAATATACAAGAATGAATTACAATCAATAATGGAGGAATTTAGTGGAGCCACATCTACACAGATGGGTCCAAGACAGCAGCCGGTGGGAACTGAAAGCCATATCCCTCGTTCTAGTGATCGTCGAAAGAAATCAAGAAAATAAATTCATTATGCGCAGACTCACTAAACGATACACAGAAACTCAGAAGAGCATCAGAAAAATGTATGAACAACTTAAAGGGATGCCAGTGGGAAAAGGGTCGTCCTGGCATGGATGCTCGGTCACGTTGGTATAACTGGAGTCCTTCAGCCTAAAGGGTCAAAGAAATACTTGTGTCAAGGGGAGTACCCTTGACAGAGTGGTGGAGGAAAAACCTCCAGAAACCCCACCATTTGGACACTCCCCCTAATTTTCGTCCGATGGAATACGAAAAAATGGAAGAAGGCAGATGCACCCCTCCCCAAATATACAAAAATGAATTACAATCAATAATGGAAGAATTAGCGGAACTAAGCACGATACAGAAACTCAGGAGAACAGCATCCGCTTGACCCATTTGATTAATGGGGACTTAAAGAGCTTGAAGTCATGGGGAAAAAGGTCGTCCTCTCATGGATCCCCGGTCACACAGGAATAACCGGGAACGAACAAGCAGTCACCCCGCCCACTACATACGTTCAACGGATTTACAAAGAACGATTGCTAATGATATAAAAATGAATGGAAAATCCGCTGGAACGAAAGAAACATCTAAATTATACAAATGTAAAAAAGACAACGGTCCCTGGCCTGCGGAGGATCTAGTAAGGAAAAGATCATACCAGGTCACGCATAGGTCGTACCAAGATCCCACACGGACATCTTTTAATGGAGGTGAGACCACGTAGGTGTAGTGTGTTATGTACACGTATAATAACAAACTGCAGAGTATTAAGTCAACAAAGAATCCCGAATGACCTATGCGCGGCCTTTAGGCATGAGCAGGCACAGATCATGACTGTTTTTTGTTCAAACTATTTGCCATAACTTTGTCATTTTTGTGATTTTTTTAAAGTCCGATTGCACCATAGTTTTCAACGTAAACAATCCTTTAAAATGATATATCAGGATGTACAGGGTCGTATTCGAAATTTTGAAGTTGAACTGGGCCTGGGTACCCTGTATTAGTTTTTGTCCAAAAAAGGTAAACATTTAAAACTAGACTAAAAAATATTAAACACATATTTTTTGATTTTTTGGTGGTGTTATTGGCTCAAGTGAAATTCAACCGGGCTATCTTAAAAGAACACCCCGTACGTTATTTATTTATTTGCTTGAATGTAGGGGCTATCCCCCAAATACCCCGAGGTAAGAACTCTGGGGTAGTGTGAACGATTTGTGCTGTGTATATATAATCTATTAGCGTGAATGGAAGGGTTTATCCCCAATTACCCCGAGGAATATCGAGTACTCTGGGCTAGAGTGAATGAATGTGAGAATGTATTTATTAGCGTGAATGGAAGTATTTATGCCTTATTACACCGAGGAATATCGAATACTCTAGGATAGTACTAGTAGTCTTGGATAGTGTGAATGCTAACCAGACTATCTTGTTTTTGTTTCTGTGTTTCTGTGTATTCGTGTTTGTTATTTGCCTTAGGTTATCCACAATTGACGTGGACCTGCGGTACAGCGAGGATAGCAATAGGACAAAGAAAAGAGAGAGAGTTGTCGCTAGTGAACCATAAAATATCATAACAGCTGGAAAAACAATCGAATTAGTGGGATTAAAACGCGAGAGAGATAAGAAAATAAATGTAAAGCTAAGGAAGAGAGGGCTGGCGATGACTATTGTTATTTGCCGGAGTCATCACCTTTTTTAGTAAGACAGTTATAGTACAGTTTAAAAGTTTATGGTTCTATTTTCATTGATGACTCTTTTCTAGTAGTGTTTCTAATCATTAGTGACTTAACAAGATAAATTCATAATTTGGTGGACTCGATTGATATCCACCTCCAACATACTTCAACTTTTAAGTATCACAATTGATTTTAACTTATTTCATCCCTACAAAGCAATGAATCACAAATTGATAATAATTATTAAAAGTTACTTTTTTCATTTTAAATGCAAATTGTCATTGTTCGACAAATGAACATTGTAAAAATTTTCATTGTAAATTTTCTTAATGTCAGGAATTTTTGTAAATTTAGTTTTATATCCAGGGTTGGGTGCGAAAATTTTGAACTCAGGAAACCAAAACGATCAGACAAGAGAGTTGTTTTTTATTCACAGCAAATGAATTTCTCTGCCAATAGTCCCTCCTTTTAAGGGCTTCATAGGTCATAGAATCATTTGGAGTATGTTTACATTGGGAACAAATAAAAAAAACTAATCTCAAGGCTGATCATAATGATTTTAGGGTTTATGTGTTCAATATTTTGACACCCATCCCTGGATACAATAAAAAATTTTAAAAAAAGAAGAAAACCTAAAAGAAACAAAAAAAGGAATGGTAATCACAGATTTGTTGGACGTACTTTTACGTTAGTTTTTTTAATTTTAAATTCTAATTTGAATCAAATTTTGTCTCCGCCTTTACGATAAAATTTATAGATTACAAACAAATTTAATAGTAAGTTGTAAATATTAAGTTATTGTATATTGTATTAGACATGAAAATAGAAAAAAAAAAGAAAAAACAATAGCAAAAAATTAATCTTTTTATGTAAGGTTTTGGTTGAAATGAAAAAGTTAGTGGCACGAGCGGTATTCGAACCCACGATCTTCGGCACAATACGCCTGCTCTATCCACTCGAGCTATCGGGACTTCAACTTTTAAGTATCACAAACATTTAAACTTATTTCATTGAAGTCAAGATGCTCAAATGGTTAGAGCAGGCGTACTGAGCCGAAGATCGTGGGTTCGAATCCCGCTCGTGACACTAACTTTTTCATTTCAACCAAAACCTTACATAAAAAGATTAATTAATTGAAAGAAATAATTTTGTCAATAGACCACTAAATGGATTTAATAGCAAAAATGTTTAAATGGTAACTGTCACGATTGAATATATGTATATCTCAGCGTTAGGGTTCAGGAGGTACGCAGTTATATTTTTTCAAAATTTTAAGTAAATAGCGGAAGTAAACAGCGTAAAATTACTCTTTAAATTTTCCTAAGGCCATGACTCGACTCAAGTCGTACTCAAGAGCGGAAAATGGAAATATAGTAATTTCCCAAAAAAATTGCAGACCGGAGGGGAACCGGCGTCGGACAAGACCGTGCAATTATTTCCCAGCACCAAGTCGGTGAACCGGCCAAGGAAGGGGAGTGAAGTTATAAATAAAGAAAGGAAAAGGACTCAAAGCACATTAAGCAACCATGCTCCGCGCAATTGTCTTCTTGGTCGGACTGGCCTTTGTTTCTGCCCTGTCAAGCGAATTCATTTGTAAGTAGGAATACAAGAAAAACCTAGCCATATACTTAATTTTCGGCAAAGCCAAACTTAAGGTAGATTAGGCGGTTCATTTTTTTGTTAATATCTACATATATAGTAGTGATTATTAGTAAATAATTTACTAACAAACTTTGAAACATGATTTTATTCATTTTACGTTCAACTCCTCTGTGAAAAAAAAATTCAAGTATTTCATAGAAAATTTTACAAAATTTGCGTATTAAAGTTGTGAATAAAAAAAACAATTACAAAACTTTCTAGCAAACATTAGAAAGTGAGATTTGTAAGATGAACCCTATGAACCCGTGTCATCAGCTTCTTAGTTATCTGCCGAGTCGGAATTCGCGCTAGTTTGCTCAGAAACGGCATCACGCCATCATCACTGATTGATGATTCTTTCGCCGAGAGTCATAAGCCGAGTATAAACCGTACAATTATTATCACACATAAAGATTCACCTGTCGTGAAATACCCGTCAAAGTTGGGAAAATCACGAGTTTTCAAGTGTGAAAATTTACAAAAACCGTGACATTTACTTGAATTTGATGACTATTTGATTTAAAAAAAAAAGTCTAAAAAAATCTCCGACAACGAAAACAACTTAGAAAGTAAAGTGTTTTTGAAGGACAAGACAGAAAATAAACCCTATGAAATCCTTTAATTAATCAGTTTTGTAAATATATCAATGATGCCTTTTATTTATCATATTCAACTTCACACCATCATCAGTGAGGATGTTTATAATATTTTTCGAAAATTTTAAATTAAAACTTGTAACGATCAGTTAGCCTAGATAAGCTCTGGAACTTCATCATTTATTTAGTTTTTTAGATAATAGATCTTTTTTTAAATTTTATTGTTCGTCATATTATAAAAAACGACAAGTGAGTAACATAAATGTCGTTGCAATGAATTTTTTTTAAAATTATACCTATGCCAGGAACAAGAGTTCCATCGTGGAATCTTGTTTTAGTTTGTCGTTTATAGTCATTTTTTCACATCATCATCAATGATAACGATGGGTTTTTGTAATTGCACAAAACAAAAATATAGGAGAAATTGAAATTTGCTGCCTGGCACAAAAGATCCTTTGTAGAATCTTGTGTTTCCATTTGTACTTTATAGTCATCTATCCTTGAAATATATCAGGTCACACCATCATCAATGAAAATGATGTTTTTTTAATTGCCCAAAACAAAAATATAAGTATCAAAAAAACATTTCTGCCAGGTACAAGAGATCCTTTGTAAAATCGTGTGTTTCTGTTTTAGTTTATAGTCATTTGTTTTCGGAATTTAGTATCAATTTAGAAACATCATCGATGACAATGTTTTTTTTAATTATAGTAAAAAAATATAAAATTGAATCACAGGATTCTACAAACGATCTCTTCTGCCAGGCAGAATTATACTTTTGATGTTTTCTCTTATATTTTATTCTTTGGATAATTAAAAATCAAATCATTATCACTGATGATGGTGTGAGGACTATATAAAAAGTACAATTCTGCCAGGAACAAGAGATCCTTCGTAAAATCCTTTACCTATTACAGTTTGTAGTTTATAATCAATTGTTATCATAAAATTAATTTTATGCCATCATAGCAATGTTTTTTTGCACTTTTCCATATTTCCAAACTTCTCGTTGTACATTATTGCCTGACGTTTATGAATGCTGGATGGACAAATAAAAATTCACGATGCAATGTGCAGTTTCATAAAATAAAACTTCTTAAGCGAAATAATTTATTAATATATAATCGAATAGTTTTTGAGAAAGCCCTAAATTCGAGGGACTTGAAACTTGAAAAGGATCAAACTTCTCCATAAATCTACGAAGCAGTAGTTTGTTTTGCCGAAATTTTCAAAAAAACCAGGTCAATGAAGTGTTTTGAATAATCTGCTAACTTAAGAGAAAAAAAAAGTCACGTTGAACCGAAAAACCTTAATTCAACGCGAATAAAACGTAATTAGACAGTCGAAACAGCCTTGATTTTTCTAGGACTGACTACCACATGGAGAAAATTGAAGTCACGGACTTTGATGGCTGATTTTAATGCACTTCTTCCTTTCAGTAATTAAGTACCAACTCCCGGGGCATATTTTGAAATAACAACATTTCCACCTTTATCCAGGAGTCATTTTCCGGTTTCCTGACGTCCTACTAATTGGTGTTTATGTCCACCGTGGTTTTTGAAATATCAGTGTTTAGTTTAATAGATTGAGTGTGTGTTTCTGAGTGTTCCTTTGTGAATATTAAAACCTTGTGCTTTTTATAACAACATGCTTTAACCTGTCGAAAAAACACACATCGTTTGGATGATCCATTGTTTGAAAAATCGGACTTTATGGACAATTGGAACAAAACCTAAATTTTTTTTACAGATTTTTACTATTTCAACTTTTATACTAAATATTTAATGCAGAAATGTTGCAAGCTTTTGGATAATGGTTTCATTGAATTTTGTCAAATTTTTGATCTTAGCTATTACCTACTACTGATGCCAAAATGGAAAAATATATTAAAACATCCATCAGTTTATAGTAATTTTATGAATTCTAATGATTTATGCATTCTGTTACAGCAAATTACACTGTCGCGTGCAAGAGAAGTTCGCCCGATTTTAACAAGTGTATGAAAAACGCCTTACAAAACATAATTAATGATTTAAGCAAAGGTAATTTCTTTTATTATTTATAATTTTATTGCTCAATATAATTAAATCCCGTTTTCATAATAAACTTCAAGATATTTATATGAAACAGTTCTTCCCTTACCGTCTTATTTTTTAATTATTACGAAACTTTTAATAGAAGTAAATCTTTCCACCGCAGTAAAACAGACGGTTTTTAGTTTAGCTTTTGATTTGTCTATTTTTCTTTTAAAGGACGACTGCTTATGTAACAATCCAATCATCCAAAACGAAAGAAAGAAACGAATTCTATCACGAGTGACAAACTCCGACTAGCAATTACAGAAATAGCTATTTTCTCTCACTATCCGGCTAATCTTTTTTTTTTTTTTAATCTTTGATCAAAAATCTTACAATTAACAATTTCATGAAACCTGCAGTTAATTTTTTAAAATCAAATGTACAAAATTGTTTTTCAAGATTGTTTTCCCGTTATAATAAGCAATAACTTTCACTACACATTCAAATGAGTAATTACACAATAGTTGCATTATGTTAAAAGTTATTCGTTAAATATTAACTGAAAAAAAAAAATTATCACCAGAACTTCATCGTTTATCTCACAATTGTGAATGCTTCCTTGACACACTATCCGTGTGATTATATGATTTCTAATCATAAAAAATCATAGATGTTTGATGATTAAACTCATTAAACGTACTCTGTGATTATAAATGGCAAGATAATTAGAGAATTTTTCAAGTTTCTAATCGTTTTTTCATTGTCCTGATATTTTTCGTGTTGCAAATTAATTGCACAAATCATTACCTGGAAATTGTCTATCTAGTTATCCATTTACAAGTACGCCTATCTAGTTATTTTTCTAGTTTTTGAAAATTATAATTATATGTAGTTATATAATTAAGACATATTATAAAAAATATAAATTTTATTTTAAATGGAAAGTTGTTGCGTGTTTTCTTTACATATCTTTCATTTTTTATCAACTTGTTTGTGTATTCTTCTATCTATATATTTACTTTTCTATTTATTTATCTAATGGCTTGTTTATCTATTTATCTACATATCAGTTTCTCTATCAATCTTTTGATCTATCTACTCATCTTAATTTTTTTTATAGATCTCTTCAAATAACATCAATCTTTCTGTCTATTTATTTATCTTTCTATATATCTAACTTTCTACTAAACTATTTTTATGACTGTCTATCTATCACCTTTTTGATCTATCTGTCTACTGCCTACCTGTCCACCTACTTAGCTTTTGATAAATCTGACTGTAGTTAATAATAAAAAAAAATCTATTTATCTATCTTTAAATCCTTCTGTTTATCTATGTGTATTTATGTCTGTCTATATATTTATTTAACTGTCGGTTTAACTATTTATCGGACTATCTATTTTTTAATTTATCTGTTTATCTAATCTAAATTTTTACTTTTGTATTTAACTATTTAACAGTTTGTATAATTATTTATCTGTGTATTAGTTTATATATCTATCAATCTTATGATGTATGTATCTATTTGCCAACTAATTTTTTACAAATCTATCCAAAGAATTGTCAACTGATCAGTCTGTCTGTATATTATCTAATTTATTATATCATTAGATCTAGTCTTTCTGCCAATGTATTTTTGTATCTATCTTTCTATATATTCTTCTGACTGTCGTTCTCCTAATCTTTCGATCTAATTATTGCATATTAAATTTTTTTATAGGTCAAACCAAATAACTATAATCAATCTGTCAATTCTGTTCAATTTGTATATCTGCCTTTCTTTACAGGACCAATATTCTAAATCTTTGTTTAACTAAATATTTTACTTACTATCTATTAATCTTTTGATCTATTTTCTCATCTGTCTGCTTAATATTCTTTATTGTATGTACAATTTATTTATCTATCTTTAAATCCTTGAGTTCGTCCATGTATCTTTGTGGTTGTCTATCTTTTTATTTATTTGTCTGGTTAATTATTTATGTTTTTCTCTCACTATCTATCAGTCTTTCAATCTATCTATTTATCTTTCCATATATTTATCAATAGATCAAACAATCTGACTGTGTACTTGAAAAAATAATTTGTCTATCTTACTGAAAAGCTTATTAATGTATTTATCTTTTTTTTATGTTTCTTTCATGTCTATCTTGGTATTTTTCAATTAAAATGAACAATATTAATCTTTAATTGTGTTTTCATGAATTTTTATATAGGCCTTCACCGCTTTGTAATTTATTTATTTTAATACTATACAGTTTTATAAGTTTTTATTGTCAATTGACCTTTATAGAAGATACACCGGAGGAGGACAAGTTGGATCCTTGGGTCATGCCCGAGATCCCGTTGAGCTTCGGCACCGCCGCTGAAAGAATGGGAATCACCATCGGCGGCGAAACTCTGACAGGACTCGCACACACTCAGATCAAAGGATTCAGGTGAGCATTACGCCTATTTGTCCTACTCGTTGAAAAATTACAATTTGAAAATTTTTAAGGTCAAATTTGAAGAATAAAAACAAGCTAAGGGTAGAGATTGACATATTCAACAGAAGGTTGAATTTAGAGGGGAACTACACCGCTGTAATTATGGGACCTGACAGTCCTTCCATGTCCGAAGGAGATTTTAACGTCACTATTAGTGAGTTTCTTTTAATTTTCTTACTCTTTCTTTGTAAGCATTGGAATAAATTTAATTAAGTATGAACTAATTATTTATTATAGGTTTGTCTTATAATGTGCAGATGTACAGTAAACAATTCATGTTTAATTTTTTTATGCAATATTTATTATATATATAAATTTGTAACTTAAAAGTTTTTTTTCTTATATTAATTATGTAAATTGTATTATGTACAATTTGTAAATTATATTAATTAGTAAATTGTTCTTGCGCAGCTGGAATACGAGGTACATTGGTCCTTAAAGGACATGTTGTCGAAAGAGATGGTCAGGAGTATCTGAGCATAGATAGGGCTGCGCTGAAACCACAAGTCACAGATTTACACATAGACGTAACGAATGCCAATGACCCGTTCCCTGAGCTCAGTAAGTTGAAATAATAATTTTAAAAAATTAACAAATAATTAATATTTTAATTTCCAGCTGGTATAGTCACATCTCTCGTCAACCAATATTGGAGGTTGGTTTACGCTGAAGCAGTTCAATTCATCGAAGAAGGGCTTGATGGTATAATCAGGTCTTATGTTCAAGAAGCCTTCAACGACGTACCGTTTGACAAAATCGTTCCGGCTTAACTTCTCCTATTTGTTGTAAATTGTGATACAAATTTTAAGTTTAAAGTTTACCTGCAGTACAATTTAACGTGACCTCAAAAATCTTTTGAATCTGAAAAGGAGAAAAAAAACAATAAATTGAAAAATTGTGTATTTGAAGCTTGCTAAAACTTTCAGTTTTCTAGATTAACTAGATAAGCTAATTTTTCAAAATGTTACTAACATATGGAAAAAAAATTATTTTGAAATAAATTAACAAAAATAAAGTCATAATTATCAATATATTCACCTCAAAATTTCCTCCCTTTTTACTGTGTAAAGTTCTACTTTTGTTAACATGCTTATAATAATTTTTGCTGTTAAGCCAGCAGATTCAGCAAATTAAACACCATCTTTTTTTAAAATAACCCCTGATGCTTGCTGATTTAATATCTGAGTGGACATTTTATGAAGCCAACCATTTCATGATTTATTTGAAAAGAAAAGCTCTACATTGAATAAGTTAATTAAATTTTTCCTAGTCAAAATATTTCAAACGACTTTCATCCGACAAATCATGGTTTGTCGATTCAATATCTCGAAGACCATTTTTGTTTTAGCGATTACTTTCTCTTGGCTATAGTGTCTTTTGAAATGGAAATAATTCAATATGAAATAATCTTTAAATTTCATGATTTAATAAAAAATAACAACAAACGGCCACAATGATTAAGGGGTTGACAGCCACTCATCTCTTGGTAAGGTAAAAGGTCCAGTGTTCGAATCCAGCGACCCTGTATTTGAACCCGACATTCACAAATGGGTTTTTAAATAAAAATGATTTTTAAATGTTCGCACATTTGATTGGTCCATTGTTATTTTAAACATTTATTACACTGGATCAAAAAGCGTTGAAACACCCCACTTTTTTCTTAAATTTCAAAAATATAAAGGTTAAATTGTATGACACTAAATTTATTTTAAAACTAGCATTCAATTATTAATCTTTGCTCGCAACAAATTGAGCACATTAAAAATAAGATAAAAATAATAAATATGAGTATGAATTTTAAAAGCCAAAATATATATACATATATTGGCCCAGTAGAGTTTTTTTTTTTTTTTTAATAAAATTTTATACATTTGATTTGCATCAATTACAGCCTGGAGTAGTCGTGGCATTGAGGATACAAGGTAGTGGGTTATTTCAGGGTATTTGTTTGGTACACGAGGTAAATTGTGATTTGCTGATTTAACAACTCCCCCAATGTCGTGGGCTATGTTCAGACTAACCTATTTTTTTTAAATTACTTTTTCTTCAGTTTTTTTTTCTTTTTAACTTGTCTTTGAATAATTAAATGCACAATAATTTAACATACTAAAATTACATTGCTAGAAGAAAGGGCGTACAATAGAAAATTTCAAAAGTTGAGCTATTAAAAAATAAATAAGAAAAAACAAAAACTATTTTACAAACATTTTTTTATTTTTTTTTAAACATTGTATTTTTACAAAGACAATTTTTTGAAATATAATAAGATGAAAGTATGTAAAGGGTTTTTAAAAACCTCAGTGCATAAGTTAGAAGAAAAGGAATCCTTAACATTTACTTTGTTCAAACACCTCCATATTAAGTACAGACTTGTGTTTATATTTATTTTATTAAAAAGGTGTTTTCTTCTAATTGTAGCTTTACTCAAAATGACTACAATTAAAATTCACTCTACTTCTTAGTTTTTTAAAGTATTGCACCTTACTTATTGTGGAATAAGCTGGTTGAATGGGATCTTGAAAGTGGCCATGTTAAACATTGGTGTAAGGATTTCATTGAAGTTCTCTTCGGCGTAAGGAAGAAGCTCTTCGTACATCACCTTCCAGAATTGGTTCATCAAGACGAGGAAGAGATTGTCTGAAATGTTATCCGGTCAAGTATAATCGCCGATTTAGTAAAACACAATGATAATGCACTTACGAAGTTCGGGGTATTTGTTGTTCTCGTTGGTCATGCTGATGACCATGTCTCCGACATCAGGCCTTGAGTTTGATCTGATAACCTGTAGATATTCTTCACCGTCGGATTTTTTGACAATGCGGCCTTTTATTTTAAGGGTACCACTGACATTACCTAATTTCAATTTTTTTTAAAAAGTTATTTCGGTTAAAAAAATAAAATGTGTTAATTATGGAAATGATGTGTTTACACATGATAAAGGTGAGTATGTTGTTCAACTACTTTAAAAGATAGTTGTTACTCACAGTTTGTCGTTTTCAACAAACCGAATTTCAAGCATTAAACATTCATCATCAGTAAGAGTGAACCCACCAACAATGTTCCAATGAGAAGCTGGTTTTTGATGCCACTCAATTTTTTACATGCGAAAAACATGAATTACAACACAACTAAATATTATTCTAATAAATATTGTAAGAAAATAATTTTATATTTAATATGTAATAAAAGTAGATCTTATTCATTTATCTCCATTATTTTTATTCTAATTATTGAAACCAAATGAAATCCAGATCGTTGAAACAGAAAACTATGAGTAGGAACTATGTTTCAAAGTAAGTAATGCATTCTTACTCATGCTGACGTTGTATTTGCCACTGGCAAGGACTGGAACGTCGGAAATCAACCCTTCAGCGTTGTAATCTCCTTCAATGAACACTTTCTTGTTGGAAAAGTCTATTTCCATAGAGATTGCCTCTGGGTCATCGAAGTTGGATCTGGAATGCGGTCGCTGTTAAAAATGAAGAAAAATAGCAAATTTTCAAAAATAATCACCTGACGTTCAGAATCTGAAGTCTAGAAAATCCATAAACGTCCGAGTTCTTCACATGCATACTGACTTTGAAAGGGGTACCCGTTCCGTAGTTAATTGTCAATTTGTCAACCCTCCATGGGTCAAGGCTGGGTACTTTAAGCTGACGGATACCATCTTTAAAAAAAAAATTATAGTACAAAAAAGCTGTTGATGATCATGGAATTTGCATTATTTCAAAAAATTAAGGTAATAATTGGTAGATTTCTAAGTATAACTGCCAAAAATTACATACTTTATAAATATATATTAGCTACTTATTTATCGACAAAGCAGCAAGATTGCTAGACAGAGTAAAACTATGTAAAAAGAATATTTGTGTCAACAATGAAATCATCCTTTGTACATAAATTTTTATTAATTTTAGATGAATATTTGTTGACCTGTATTCTCCAATACTGTTAAATGGAGAATCTTTAAACATGTCTAAAATTGTTACAAACAAAAAAAATTAATGAGTGATAATAAAATATTTTTGGGATGATTAGGGTCAATATATCTTTTCAAAGAAACTATATTCCCTAAACATCCAAATAAATGTTTAAAAAAGTAACAAATTTACTTTTAAAAAAACCCGCATAGAACTTCTTTTTTTTAAACAAAACAATAAAATAAAAATATATGACAAGGTTAATAAAGTGTAAAATATGTTAATATCCACATCTTATATCTTTTTACAAAAAATATAGACCTGATGATGTGCTTAAATTCCCGATTCGTACAAATAAATGTAAATAAGGAATGTTTTTACTGTTTAATTAAGACAAACCGAATGTAAATGCAACATAAGCAAAAAAATAAAATATTGCTTGAAAACGTAGTTCAACTCTGAACTCAGTTTAACCCACGCTCGACGACAGTAAGTTGAGCCAGGTTCATAATTTGTACACGGTTCAAAATAAATTAAAAAATCTTAATTTTTGAGTTCAACTCGATTCAATACTGAACTGAGTTTAAACCAAGTTAGTGCAACGGTATCAGGATTTAAACTGGGTTTACTGGAACCTAGTTCATATTTGAACCAAGTTCAGAGAAAGTGGTGAACAGTAACCTGAATTGAATATTTTTTGATCCTTCATTTCTCTCTTTTTATGTAAAATTTATTTACACATATTTTTTTGTAAATATACTTAATCGAACGTTTTATCTATTGGAAAATTTTGAAAAACAAATTATTGATCAGATCTAACGCTCAAACATACCGAAATGTTAAATCTGACAAGTAGGCCGGTGATTACACAATTTAAAACAAAGTTTAACAATTTAACATTCAAATTGTCATTTGTGTGTTTCGACACGACTTAGGCGATTTAAAAATCAATCACGCGCTTAAGAAATCGCTTGTGGCGAAAGAGAAATTGCAGTACTTTATCTGAGAAATCACGTTACACCGAAAAAGCCGCCTATCGGATCTATGTGATTTATTCTCTACGAAGACAATGTGCTCTCCTTGATTCTGAGAACTGTGAGAATGGGGTTTTATTGTTGATGATCCGTTGTTTTAATCTACCTATCGCATATCGGCCTATTTTTTATTTTGACGAGATTATCTTTCGTGACCTGAAGACATCATCTCATTACATGACTCAACAAGTCGAGTTCGATTAACAACTAATGATTTAAAAAAATATAAATTGTACGCATTACATTCTAGAAAAACTGGTTTTTAATTGTATCTTATGTAAAAATACTATCAACCTCGAATCCCTTTGTATCCCTCTATCACTCTCTCTCTCTTTCTCACACTATCTCTCTTTCTTTCCTCATTCTCTGTCACTATCTTCGTTTATCCCTCTGTCTCTCTTTTTCTCTCTCCAACTCTATCACGTTTCCTCTCACCCTCTATTCCATAATGGGTAAAGCTAAAATTTTAAGAATTTTACTAAACGCATTTTTTTATTTGTTGGCGTAAAGTTTATTTTTTCTGTAACATATACATTCTCTTCCGACAATTCTATCAGTATAAACTTTAGTTTTGACTAAATACAAGTTGACATTACAAAATGGCTAAATAAAAGTAACGACTTGGACATAGATTTTCAGATAAGTTACACGATGATGGTATGGCCTCCACCCATTGTTATAAACTAAAACGTGTATTGTTAATGCCCAGGGCCAATTTTAATTCATCAAGTGTTTAAGTCGTGCTTCAACTGTAAAAAGAAGTCGGCCCGAAGATCCTTGTTTCAAGCAAATTAAGCAGTAGAAAACGTTTAAATTATTGTTTTCGTATAAAGAGATTTCGACCGCACGATTAAATTCTATTGACATATTTAGAAATCGGCCAAGGAAATCTTTTCGTCCATGGTCAAAAACTTGTTTATAATGACGGCCAACAGGTGGAAATGAGGTTTAACAAAAATTTATCGAATAGAAGTATGAAAACAGCAGAAAAAGTGAGCATACAAAGTAGGGGCTAAGCTACAAGGCCGATAGCTACCCAAGAGGTTCAAGGAGAACGGGTAAAGCATGTAAACAATGTAAAACAACGACAGTCAACGGCACATGTCTGTTTCAAGATTCGGTCGAATATAAAGTGCAATTTACAAGGTGTTGTAAAATTGTTGCTGAATTCACATGAAGAAACATTTCTACGGATCTAAGGGTCCTCTGATCTATTGGAACTAAACACTGGACGAAATAGACATAAAAAAAAGTCGGCTGTAAGTGTGTCGAAACAACTTTCGTAATCTTTAATGGCTGGAATACTTGATGCAGTCTAACCCACATTCCTAGTTGGGTGATATTGTTTCATCTGACAATATTTTTTGAAAAAGAGAATCCTTAATTTACATTTTTACACTGTTTGTAGTATCGTTTTCTATTTGAACTGTAAAATTTTATTCGGTTTCCACTCGATAATCAAGGAATTTGGGGGGTAATAAATAATGAACTAACGATAAACTGGCATAATGTTGTACAGCATATATGAAACATGAATTATTACCCATTTTAATCCCGCATTTGGTGAAACATGAGTAAGTTTAAACTTTTTTTATATCGAAAAGTGCGATTTTTATAAGTTAAATAATCATCCTGGGAATCATGTTCGATGAAAAATACTTTGTTGATTCTTGTCTTTCAAGTAGAAGAATATCTATGTAATTTCTCTTGTAGATTATTTCTGACTTTAAATCTTCCCAAAATGCCTTCTAACATTAACTTCTCAATAGTTTACTTCTTAAGTAACTTTTAATGTTGTAATGTTAACTTTTACAACTTTTAACTTCTAACGTTAGCTTCTAAACAGTTAACATCCCAAAGTTTTAACGTTAATTTGAAAAAATTCACATTCCAAAAACCTTTACATCCAATGTTCACTTTACAAAAGTTAACTTCTAATGTTAACTTCTAAAAACCTTTAATTCTAAGTTATCATATACAAAAGTTGTCTCCTAACGATAACTTTCCAGAATTGAGTCGTAATGTTAAATTTTCCAACTGTTAACTTTTAACGTCGGTTTCTAAACAGTTAACTATCCAGAGTTTGACTTCTAACGTCGGGTTCGATAACGTTAACTTCCTACAGTTAACTTTTAACGTTAACAGGACAAAAAGTTAACTCCTAACGTAACATTAAAAAAAAACATTACGTCTAAAGTTAACATTAAAAAAAAAAAGTTGACACCTAATTAACTTAACGTTTCAAACTTTTAATTTTTAACGTTAGATTCTAAATAGTTAACTTTCCAATGTTTGACTTCTAACGATTAGCTTTTGCCATTTTGATAGGATTAACTTTTAACGTTAACTTTTATACGGCAAACTAATAACCTGAACTTTATAAAGTCAATTTCTAACGTTAACTTTCCAAAATTTTACTTCTGTTGTTGGAGTTTAACTGGTTAACTTCTAAACGCTTTGATTTAAGTAAAGTTAATTTATGCCGATGACATCGAACTATAAACTTCTGACATTCAATCCCAAACAATTTTTTCCATTGAATTAAGAAAATGTCTACTGTTGCCTCAAAAGATTATTTATAGACGTTAACTTTACAAAAGTTAACATCTAATATTGATTTCCAACAATTTTTTCCATTGAATTAAGAAAAGTTAATGTCTATTGTTGGCTTCAAAAGATCAACTACAGACGTTAACTTTCCAAAAGTTAACTTCTAACGTTAACATTAAAAAAATACTACTAACTTTAAGGTTGTAAAAAAGGGACCCCTAACGTTAACTTTCGAAAAGTTGACTTCTGACTTGGGCGTCTTCAGTGGAAACTTCTGAAGCTGCCTTCCAATCTGTTAATTTTTGGTATAACTTCTGAGTTAGAAGTAAAAATTTAAGTTTCATGTATCTTAGCATTTTTACACGTATTTATCGAAAAGTTATAAAATTAATTTTTGTTTCTAAAGAGTGTTCTACAAAGGAAAGAAGTTAAGCCAAATTTCCTTATTTGTATTTATCAACCGTTGCATTCCAAAAGATATACATTTTGGAATTTCTATGATTTGATTTGAATATTTTAGTCCGTTTATAATTTGTTTTACTCGGTTTGAACTTTATTACAACGTGATTTAACAGGTTAGCAATTTAAATAAATACAGTTTTATATGCTAATCTTTTTTGAGTGTGATTGTTCAATAATAATTTCAATAATTTAAAATGATTATTGATTGATGATATTTTTTGATAAGTCAAACGCACATGCCATGGTTTTTTTGAAATTTCTTCCCTCTAGAAGACCAGAACTATCACGGATTTCTTAAAAATTCGGCGTTCTGTATTGTGTGTTAAAATAATAGGACTTTTATTTTCTTTGACTACAATGTACTGGAAATAATAGATTAGATTATTTGCATGCAACTCTGCCAAATCCTTCCTAAGTGCCTCAGAAAGTCTTTATGTCACCGGGAGTAGAAAGTCGACAGATATAACGTCTCAAAAGTGCTTAATTGGGCTTGAAGGAAGTACTCGTCGGTGAAAAGTAGTCCAGCAAAACCAAACTTATTTAAACGTGGTTGTTCGTCCCTTTCAATATTTACCAACCAACCATTTAGTCAATCATTGATAACAGAGAGAAGGACAAAAAACATGGCAAAGGTAACCGCATCAGGATTAAAAAATTAATTTAATTTGGGACTTTCTTTACGTAATAACCTTAGGATATTTACGGATTTATATATTTGAGATGAACAGTTCATCAACTTGCAGTCCAGGAATCCATCTAAGGTTTAATTAAAGGATTAATTTTAACATTAATCCTTTGTCGTTATTATATGCTAAATACCAACCTTTGCTGATTTTCTGTATGGCGATTTGAAGTGACTCTCTGAAGCAGGAGTTGAAGTCTATCTGCGACCTTCTACAAACTTTGGCATAGGTCGCTGAAAACAAAAAAACATCAGGAAAGTGTATAAAATTGTTTTTGCTTTTATACCCTGTCAGCAAACACTTACGAATTGTGTCCCCGTTTTTGAGAACGGCTCCATGAGTTAGCGTGGACAGTGCCACGAGAAAAAGAGAAAGCCGAAGTGCCATGGTGTACTGGACTCTCCTGCCAACCAGACCAGGACTTATATACTTCCCCCTCTTAAGTATCATGTCCTTGATGAGACTTGATGCCTTTTTCAAACACGAAAATTCAACTATTTATTTTTTAACCTGGAAACCCACCATAAAAAGAATAACAATTAAAACAAACAAAAAAATTGATGAAACTGACTTACCGCAATCAATCAAGCACAGATGTATTGATGAGCCACGAAAAGAATTCAGACTGCAGACATTTGCACTCAACATATACAACTTCAACGAATTTCTTATTAAAATTGATTGAATAGATCAACAAATGTCTACAACACAATTGGCTATGGTCAAGGTATATCATTGATCATTCGACAGAGTCCTTGTTCTACTTTGTTTCGCACCTGTAGTCATTGGGTTCCACTTGTCTAAATTTTCAAGTTTAAATGATCGTCTCTAAAAACGCTTTTTCCGATCGTAATATCGCTGACATACAGCGGGAATTAGCGGACCAGACAAGAATAAGCGCAAACTGTTAACAGTTAACATTGATTTCATTTAAATTAATTTTACTATAACTGACAATCTCTAGCATGGTGTTAAATTGACTTATATCAACACGAGCATAACCGCAAATCACCATGGTCAAGTTTTATCATCATTGATCACTTAATGAAGTCCTTGTTCTACTTCTTGTGCAGTTCATTGTGTTTCCCTGTTATGATCTCGCATTGTGTACTTAATTACTGTTAATATATGCTAAATTCTAATTGCGTTAGTTAATTAAATCTGTGTGTATTTAATTTTCAAGTCTTTATTATTATACAAAGTATTTCTCATCTTTCAATTAATTAAGGTTTTTAGTTGAGATAAAAAAGTCAGTGTCACGAGCGGGATTCGAACCCACGTGTCAGAGTGGATCGAGGTCACCTCAGCTCAAGTGGTAGAGCAGCGGCTTATCTAGCCGAAGATCGTGCGTTCGAATCCCGCTCGTGCCATTGACTTTTTTATCTCAACTAAAAACCTTAATTGAAAGAAATTAATTGGTCAAGCGGACCACGAAAACTAGTGAGTTTGTCTCACCGTTATGACCGTTTCTGTACTGTCTTTTACTTTTGTATCTATTTAATATGGTTGTCTCAATTTTTTTAAGATTGCTTCGTGCCAAAACGATCCTGTCTTGCTAATTTTGAACCAATTTTGAGGTTCGGCTAAGGGTAGAAAAAGGTGAAATCGTTAAAAGAGCAAAGCGAAATGGGATAGATTCCGGTTAGAAAGCGATGCCATTTCCAATCAATGGGCCTCATATTGTATATATAAAACGTTTTAACAACATTATTGAAAGTACAACGATAAAATTATATGCTTGTCTGGTGGTAGGGTGTACGAAAGGTCGTTTTCTTATGAAAATAGCCGCCATCTAGGAAGTATGATTCTTATGCAGGTAGCGTTAACAACAGTTACATAAAAAAAAAACCAATAGACCTTTTCGCAGTGTAATTAGCCGCTAGCTAATAAAAGGGGGTAATAAAAGGCAAATGAAAAACTTTTTTTATAATTAAACACTAATTTGTTATATAAAGCCCTAAAACTACTTTTTCTCTTTGTATTCTAATTTGTTATTTTTGTTTATTATTGAACGAGTTTTCTCCTTATATGAAATATTTTATCAAATTAGCAAGTTCAAGATAAGAAAAAAGCATATTTTTTTTAGACCTAGGTGCTTTTTAAAATAAGATGTCTTTTTCTTAACGCACATATCGTTAGGGGAAGGATTTTTAAATATTTTGCTCAAAATCCCGTCCGACATCGAGAAATGTAACCGGAGCAGCACTTAAATTTGTTAAACTTATGCATGGGAGGAACTTAGGACAACTTCCATTTCATTGGAATAAGTAGCAAGGAGGGTTACATTTAACGATTGGTTAAGAAATATATAGCTTTTATTTTTGTAGTTTACAAAGGATTTGAGGGATGATTTGGTCAAATACAGGAGCATTTTTGATCTTTGGCACTCCTTGTCAAGAGAAGATACAAGAAACATGATGACACCATTGTATCGTGAAATAGTGACAACACCAAAATTGATGGGCCAGGTTATTATTAAAGGATTGAAGGATGGCAATAATTAGTTTGTAGGGTTTTTTTCATGGTTTTGCCCCCAAATTGATATTACAGGAATTTGGAAAATTTGTCAAGTTTAAGGATTATGAGAACTCCATTGCATTTGGAAAATCGATGGTTGTGTCATAAAGTGTAGTTAAGAAAATTTTAGCTTTTTTAAAATCACAAAGGATTTAAAGGATGATACAATCAAATTTATGAGTTTTCAATTAATTATTCTTTTTCATCTCAGGTTTTTGTTGAGATGAAAAATTAGTGTCATGAACAGGATTCGAACCCATGACCTTCGGCTCAATACGCTGCTGCTCTAAACAATTGAGCTATCATGACTTTGATCCCATCGGACACCAACTTCCCATCTCAACCTAAAACCATTCGAATTTTCCCTCTTTTTGCCATTTTTAAAAATCATGTAATCAGGATACGGTCACGAGGAGCTATTACTTATTTAAATTATTACATTAATCCATATTTTGTTTAATGGCCATAATTGAACATATTAATTATTCCCATTAATTACTCTTTTTCATCTCAACCAAAAACCTTAGATAAAAAATAATAACTAATTGGAATAATTGATATGGCTACTAAATAAATATGGATTAATTTAGGAGTTTTCTTGACCCTAGACCACCCCTTCTCGAGAGAGGACGCAATAGGACTATGTCGAATTGTGGAATGTAATTGACAGCCCAGAATTTTAAAAGAGGATTCCGGAGTTTGTATTGTATTTCCAGGATTTGGCCAATAAACACAGTGATAGGAATTTGGAAGTTCATGACGTCCAACATGTTTTGAGATTGGGTGATCTATGAAGTTTCCAATGTATTAGGAAAATTGATATGAAAGGTCAAGTCATAAAGAGTAGTTAGGGAAACGATATCTTTTTTATAGTTTACGAAGGATTTATGGGGTAATAACGTGAAATGACCTTGATCTTTGACAATCTTTCTAATGGTGTACACAGCACGATGACATTATTGTACTGCAAAATGGTGATGCCTGGACCAAAATTGATGCTCCTGGATAATATTTGAGTAGTGAAGGATGAAGAAATTTAGTTTGTACTGTTTTCCGGCATTTTTACAACATTGTCAATAAACTTGCTAGGAAGTAGGAATTTGAAAAGTCATTTGCAATGTTCTGGGATTGGGGAACTATGAAAAACTTTCGTTGCATTGGGAAAATTTGTATCGAGAGAGGAGTCATAAAGAGTATTTATGAAAAACATAGCTTTTCGTTGTTTATGAAGGATTTAAAGGATGATAAAATCAAATGCAGGAGCTTTCTTCTTGATCCTTGACATTCCTTCTCAAGAGACGATTTGATGGTGACCACAACACAATGACACTTTTGTATTGCAGATTGGTGAGAACCAAAATAGATGGTCTATGACAGTATTAGATTAGAGGCTTGAAGAATGAGAAGAATTAGGTTGTATAGTTTTTCCAAGATTTGGCCAATAAACTGATACAGTGATAGGAACTTGGAAGTAGATGAGATCCTTAATGCTTTGGGATTGTTGCTGGATTTTGCCAAACATTGTCAACAAATTGATGGGATAGTTGGAATTTGAAAAGAGATAAAGTTCCGAAGGATTAAATTAAGTTCTAGAACGAAGTATTATTGTATTGTAAGGATCCTTGAAATTGGGGGTCGATAGTGCAAGTATGTGGGGTAAGGAACAAATGACAAATTGCTTTGTCTTCATTGGATGAGAAACCCATGAGCCTTCATAGTTACTAGTCGTAATCTCAAACTTTTGTGACGTTTGGACGGTGGTTGGAAGTTGAAATTGCAATCCAAATTTTTGGATGTAGAACATGGAAGCTTAAGCCCCTCTTAATATTAGTCTGCCGATGTGCAACGGCTCCAGTACTAATTTCTTCAACATGACCCATGGTCTGAATTACCAGATAGGAATTAGTAACCCTTCAGTGCAAAAAAACCAAGTGTAAAAAGGGCAAATTTTAATTACATCTTTAGGGGTAGTTAAATATTTAAATTAAATGTATCTACAATATTTTTTATCTTGTTTCTAGTTAGTTCCACTAGACGTAAATATTGATATATTCTTTGAAATTGTATCCTTACTGAAATATTTCTCCCGACTTTATAGAACAATCCCTGAAGATTTCTATTCGATATCAAGTTATGTTAATTTTTAAAAATTATTACACAATACAAGTAAAATGATCAGTGTCGATCAGTTCAACATATGTTCATCACCTGTAGACCAACAAACCCTTCTAACATACTATTGTCTTAATAAAGCAAAACAGGTTGAAGGGTAATCAACGTGCGGACGAAGCGGCAAAGGCCGGGATGTCCCACCCTCTAGACCGGACCATCGCGACCAGGCCCTCTGATGCCAAGTTAGCAGTAAATTACATGATAAAAGAAAGATGGGCCGGGTCGTCCGAGAGGCTTTTGCGCATCAAGAGCACGATTCATAAATGCCCCCCCAGAACCTGAGCCGGAAACAAGGAATCGTCCTAACGCGATTAAGAATAGGCCATACATGGTTGACATACGGGCACCTGCTCTTGGGACAAAGCCCACGCAGGTGCCCCTTATGCAGAGAAAGGTTGCTCGATGTGACCCACATACTGGAAACATGTTATGCCTTGGCTCCCCACAGGGAGCGTGTTGGCATGCCATCCAATCTGAAGATGGTACTTGAGCACTGCAGCGAGTTTCAGAGTCCCCTGTTTCGCTTTTTAGGGGAGATTGGGGTTTTTTATTGTATATATGTCTTATGTGTTGTGTGTCTGTTTTGTCTGAGTGCATGTATTTATTAGCATGAATGGCGAGGGGTGAGGGTGAAATATAACGTCATCATCGTTCCTCGAACGTTGAGAGCGTATAAGTGTGTATTCGGGGTCGATGGCGGAATATTTATAAAAGTACTCCATCAACCCCAATCTAGATTAGTCTAAGTATAGTTCAGTGGAGGAATATCAAGTACTCCACCGACCAAACGAAATGAGTGTACTGTATGGATGTATTTATTTGTATGAATGTAGTGTTGGAAAGGGTAAATAGAATATAGACTTAGTTGGGGGCTGAAATGACCTCGTCGGAAGCCGGAAGCCCCAGTCAAAAAAAAAAAAAAACTTTTCAAGCTTTCCATTTATAACCACAAAATCTCAATAAAACAATACAATTTTATAGTATTTGAATAAATTTAATTATTTGTAAAAACTAATATTTAATTAAAATAATATTGTACAATTCTACTTGTTTTATACTTCAACCAGTACTGTAAATATTGGTAATGGTACAAAAGCAAAATGTCCACATCACAACTGCAATATATTTATTTTACAACATAAAAATAAAAACAGAAACAATTCTTAGATAATCATGAAAAAAAAATACTAATATTTAATTTAAAAAAATACAGCATAATTGTCCTTGTTTTATATTTCAACCAGTACTGTAAATATTGGTAATGGTACAAAAACAAAACAAAAATAAAAACAGAAACAGTTCTTAATCATTAAAAAAAATCATAAACTATAAATATTATCACAATAGTTAGAATATAAAAATCGCCTGACTAGAACTGATGGGTACAGTAAACAATTATAAAAAATAAACTAATTAATTAAAACAAGGTATCATTGAAAGTAGGTAAAAATGTTTACCATACATGGGACTGTAATAAAATATTTACAGCTAATGTTGACACTAACACAGTAAGTAGTTTAACATTAACTGCTAAGTCTTCTACTAAATATGCTAATTTTTTTAAAATAAACAGATAAAATATCACAAGCCAAAACAATTGTTTATAGTTGTTCTTTTATATAAACTCTCCCTTTTTTAAGCTAAAAATTTGTTAGAGCTGTTTCACAAAAATAAAAAACAGGTTTAAAATTTTTTTTTCTCTTTTATTCATTTTACAACTGCATACCAAATGCAACAAGCAAAAATGAGGAAGTTTTAACATGCAAAATTCTGAAATAGCCTAAATTAAAACTGTCAGGTTCATAACAGCAGTGTTCTGATCTGGAAAGTGTCTTATAATAAAATCTGGTTATTACAATTAAAAATTATATTTTAGTATTAAAGTGATAATATTTTATACTTTGGATTTGATAACTGCTTATTCAAAAAGTTTCACCCCAAGGAGAATCTTAAGAGTTAAGGCCACAGTTGAAAGCATAAGGTCTCTAAAATAGGTAATTGCACCAGGTATAATTGCTGATAATATTCTCAGCAATGGCAATCATAAATTTGTCATGATGCACTCCAGTCTCAAGTCCATTAAAATAAGTCCTCAAATCCCAGAAAGGTTTAAGATAAGATTACCCCCACAAAAGTTAAAAAAAAAAAAAACATACAGTCTATAAAAATGTCTTGGTAAAATATTTACAAGGTTGTCTTAGTTTAAGTACCAAGAGTAATGCTTTGGATAAATCTGACTTCATTGTAGAGCAACTTAGCCACCCGCAGATAAAGTTGGTGGGCGTTATGCAAAGAGTTGTCCGTTTTTCTTATAAACGTTATTGAAATGTCAATTATGTGCTGCATGTCGAAGTAGATTTTGTCCTTCTGCATGTTTGTGAGCGTGGCCATTGTTTTTATAGCTTCGTTGCTCAGGCCCAACTCCCTGGAAAATGGAGTTTTAATATAAAAAAAACAAAATAAAAATAACAGCATACACAATAGTTTAACAAACTAACATGTTGTTTGAAGTCAAGCCACCAGGCGAGTGTGGCGTAGTTCGGATATATGGTAACTGGTCGGTGGGCAGCTCGCCCTTTCGCTCTGGCAATTGGCACAATACCAAAGTAGAAAATATACTGCATAGCAGCTTGCACCTAGGTTAAAAGTTAAAATCACACATTTTTCAATTATGTTATAATTGAAGTTTACAAAAAGAAGCACAATTTCTATCCCATGACCTTGTATCCAGTGAATAATAATTAATCTATAAACCAACAGGGATAGGCCAAACTACAAGATTTAAATAATTTAAATAATTAAACAACTATATTGTACAGTGTAATAAATGACCTAACTTACTTGTTTGATAATAATGGTTGTTTCTTGATTCCGATGGCTCCTAGAAAACCCCATGATGGCTTGTACTCGGCCCAGTTATCAGCTGTGCGGACTAGAGTTTTAAGGTGTTTTTCTACAAGCTGCGGCTTTTCATCAGCCAACCTCGACGCCATCACAAGGCACAGATGAAATAGGGGCACAATTTTTGTCTCCAAATCAGGACTGAAAAATATCTTTATTGTAAAGTCTCATAAAAAAAAATATATATAAATAAAATATTACAATTAATTAAGGTTTTTAGTTGAGATAAAAAAGTCAATGACACGAGCGGTTTTCGATCCCACGATCTTCGGCTAGATACGCCGCTGCTCTACCACTTGAGCTATTGTGCCATTGACTTTTTTATCTCAACTAAAAACCTTAATTAATTGTAATATATTAATTGGTCAAGCGGACCACGAAATTAGTGAATTTAATGATTTAAAATGAAGTATACTTCACTAAAGCTCTCCAGGGCCATTTAATTTGTCGTCGAGAATCCAATCCGATTACATGACATTTGAAAAATGGCAAAAAGGAAGAAAAATTCAAAAGGTGGGGTTGAGATGGGAAGGTAGTGCCCGAGTGGATCGAGGTCACGATAGCTCAAGTGGTAGAGCAGCGGCGTATCTAGCCGAAGATCGTAAGATCGAATCCCGCTCGTGCCATTGACTTTTTTATCTCAACTAAAAACCTTAATTAATTGTAATATATTAATTGGTCAAGCGGTCCACGAAATTAGTGAATTTAATAAATAAAATAGTTAAATTTGTGAGATATATGTAATGTTATTCACTAATGCTGGCTTTTTTTTTTTTAAATATAACTTTATTTAAACTTTTGTACATACCTTACAGTTGTGGCATAATGTTTAACGGCATCAAACAGTTCTTGGATCTTTAAGCTTAGCAGCTCCCCCCCATTAATTATTTATACATGATTTCATCTAATTTAATCACAGTTTATCACAATTAATTAGAGTTAGTTATCGTATCAGTGTGTCGCTTGCGCTTGAGTCTGCGGTGTGAACTCCAAGCAACAACCAAGCTGGCTTTTTAAATATTTCTTTAAACAGTTAATATCATTTTATCAATAATTGTAAGTTTTGAGAAACATTGAGGCCATCCATTCACCCTTAGCTTTTTTTTTCACCTGCCCTTAAAATTGCCATTAAACATTTTTTCTATTTACCTAATACAGTATATTTCCCCCTTTCCATTATTATTATTTTATTTATTTTTTATTTACTTACTTTTTTAACAGAAAACCTACAAACAACAACAACAATTCATTTTCTATCTGGCTGTCACGTTTCTTGTATGGACCCAAAATTTTTGTTAATTTATTTGTACTTATAGAATGTTGTAAGTGTACTCACTTTTCTTTTAATGATGCAAGACTCATTACAAGTCCGCTGAAAATTACCGCTTCTCCTTCAAGATCAAATATGGTAGCTAGCTGTTTATTCAAAAGCAAATAGAGTGAAAGAAGGTGTCCTGAGGACGAGAAAGCCTCTTCTGGCGAAGGTCTACGCGGCACAGGCTCCTGAAAATATGAGATCATGGCGTTCCACCCTCCTCCACTTCCTGAAAACATATTTTAAAAAAATTAATTTTACATTTAACCATCTCTGGTAATGCACTTACTATCATTGAATGCAGCTTCAAGGACTGATTCTAATATTTCCCCAAGTGGAGCTGCGGGCTCGAGGGTGGTACCGAGGGTCCGCAGTAACGCTGATGATACGATGCAGTCACCTCTTTTTGACACCCATGAGACTATTGTGTCAGACGAGAGCTTTGGTAGCGGCCCACTACTTAAGTTCACAAGTGTTAAAACTTCACCGATGTGAAGTCCGGCTTCGGCATGATTGCCTCCAGCTAAAAAAAAGTTTCAGTATTTAAAAAAAATTAAGTTATTATATTAAACATTAAATAAGTATAGTATGGAATCATTAAGAACACAAATTATAAAATTAATCTAAAATTGATTTATGCCAATAATTAAAATCACTTACACTGTGGCACAACGGTGTTAATAATGATCAATATATCTTCGATAGCTCCTTGTACTTTTCCCTGGTTAGACATTACTAATGACTTGTATTTACTTAAGCAGGAAACTATCATCTTCATACATCCCCTGACATAAACCTGCCGTTTGCTAGGTGTAGAGCTGTGGTAACATGATTCACCGTGCACAAAGCCAGCTGCGTACCTGAGCAATCTGTAAAAGCAGGTTAAAAAGGTATTCAGAATTTACCGTTTAACAAAACATACTCCATGACTGCATGGTCGATCTGGTTTCCTTCTTCCTCGAGATTGAGAATCACCCTTGGATCGTAGCTCATCACAAACCAATTAACAACAGATTCATAACTAGGGAAATCCACATGCTCCCAGTGAAAAGACTTGCTTGTCCGTAACAAATCTAGAATCTTGCCTGACTGTAAAATAAAAACAAATAAATCATCATCAGTGCACACCAAAAGGTAAATTGTGTTTTGCATCTATAAACTATGTATATCAACATCCTGAATCATTTCTTCTTTATATAAAAATATTTTATTTAGAGTAAATACGAGTACATAACCAATTTGAAATTCTTGATTTTAATTACCGAGAGTTTTAAAGTTCTTAAAAAGAAAAACTCACTTGTCTGACATTAGGTTCATTTGAAAGTTTTATAATGAGATGAAGGAAGGATGATAAAATTTTAGTTGAATTCTGCTCGTTCCAACTGGTCATCGTGTCAAGCCATGAAAGCCAGGGTATCTCGATAAAAATTGCACCAAGCAGAGTGTGACAAAAAGGTACGTAGGTATCTGAAACCTGACGAAGTGTGTTGAGTAAGAGAAAAAACTAAATGGCGAGGAAAAATACTTTGAGCATCAGTTCCAGGTCCAACAAAGAAGGAAAGAACTTATTCCAAGGCAAGGACAGTAAGTTGTCATTAACAACGCTGAGAACGTGTTCAGGTACTGAGGGATTGGCATAAAAGTTGACGTAATACTGCCAGAGCTGACTGAACATATCGTTTGTTCCTATAAAATTCAAGATGATTGTAATAAAAACTGATTTATTAAATCGTTAAATCTAACCTTGAACTGAATCTAAAAAGAAACGTATAGATTCGGTAAAGATGGCTAAGACCTTATGAGCATGGCCTGAATCTGTGCTGATCCAGGGGAGCAAAATAGAACGATCATCTGTTAGTTGCTGTATCCAAGTTGCTGTCGGCTGTGTCATGTTTTTTGTATAGTAAGGGCATATCCAAGGAGAATACATATTAATAAAGTGTTGCCATATATCCGTTCCAACTGAAAAAAATAAACATATCATTTTTGAAAATTAAACATTTTTGTTTAATCTCACCTTTGAAATTGTTTCCTATTCCGTTTTTCTTTATAGTGAGAATAATAAGGGCATGGCTGATGGTACCGAGAACAGTTGTAAGAGGAGATATGTACACCCTGTACTTGGGATACAGACCGTAAAGACCATATTGGAGTCGTTCCGATTGGAAATAGTCACTTATTAAATTTGATATTTCTATTGCCTGTTAACATTGTTACATTTACATTAATAAAAATGTTCAAATTGAAAATAACAATGAATAAAAACCTCATGCAAGGTGATGACTGTTTGATCAACTGCAAACTTTGCCATATTTCCAACCACTTGCGCCAAGGTAGAATGAGGTCTGAACTGAACTCCAGTCTGCCATACTATTGCGTTAACTATGTCGTACCAAACTTCAATTGCAAGACTGTGAGACTCTGAATACTTCAAGGCTACAGACAAAGAATGTGTGAAGTGCTGAGGTGCTTCGACCATCATCAACAGACAAAATTGCCGTCGAAGAACCTTGACCAAAACCACATTAGTAAGTAAAATAACTTATTTTATTTTTTTAATATTACCTCATGAATCATTATAAACTCTTGATGTGGAGTTTGTCCAGCAGATGCTAAAGCCTGACCAACTAGATCGATTAAAACAGATCTGTCAGAAGATCTTGGTTTTTGTGTTTCTATCCAAAGACCTATATCAAACTACAAAAACGAATCAAACAGATTAAAACAGTACTCATTATAAATAATATTTCAATTTAACAACCTTTGTCAGAAAGACAAATGTAAGATCATAATTTGATGCAGAAATCGCATTGAGCAAGGTACGATAAAGTTGAATATAAATTTGGGGCGAAGAGGTTGTAGGTGAAAAATGAGTGGACAGTAATGATGTCAGCGATGGTGTTTCCAAAACCCTACTGAGAAGTAGGGGTCCTTGTGACTCATCAACACTCACAAAACACTAAAAATTAAAGAGAAATTTTTTTACTTGTTATGTGTAAATTTTTTTTAATCTTACTCTGCCAAGGATTTCGATGCATGTCGTGATTAGTTGCTTCATTGGTGGATGAGCAATGGCTTCTTCTGTATATAAATAAGTCAATTGGTAAAACAGGCTAACACCTGTATCATGAATCCTCTCTAATAAATGTACATCTCCAATTTTTCTTAGCTCAATACATTTTTCTTCTAGTGCCCTAAAATTTAAAACAAAACCACAAATTAACACATATTTATATTTTTAAAAAAATCCCTTACCTGACAGCTTGTTGAATTTGCAGGCTACTTATGACCACATTGAATGGTGACGGGTGCATACTACGTTTAATCAAGTTATGAGCCTCGACCCTATTGTTGTGAATGGCGAGGTCAACAGGTTGGTTCACCCTCACTTCCGGAACTTTAATTCTAATCACAGCCGGACCAGCACAGTTGAGAGAGTGCATATTGGTCACTTGCATTCCGGGGTTGTGCGTGTCACAGGCAGCATGCAGAGTCACGTTAGTTTCAACAGTATCATAAAGAAGCGGAACAAGCTCGATTAAACAATAATCAATGCTTGAATGCTCACCTGAGCGAACTTTATGGACCCTTGAAAAGAATAAATCGTAACGTTATCAGTAAACCCTTAAATAAATAAAATAAATTTTGAGTTATGAAGCTTTCTGATAAAAGAACAGTAGGAAATGTTAAAAAATAACAAAACAAGAATAGTTTCCAAAAAAAAAACTGTTATCAAGGAAAGTTTTAAATCTGTAAAATCGTAACTAAAAACAAAAATAGAAACTCACTGTGCAAAACTTGAAAGTGATTTAAAAGGCTCTTTCAACATTTCCAAGAGCTGTGATTTATTAAAAAGTGATTCAATGTAAGTTTCAGGCATGGCAACTTGGATATTTACAACTGCAGGTGGTGGCAAGGGAGATTCATACTTTTGCAATCTAGAAAAAGATCATACAAAACATGTTGCGTCTATAGTTTTTCACTAATTGTAATTTTTTACCACCTTTTGACTGTTCTTGTTAAAGGATCGGGTTCCACTGGGGAGTGTAAGGGGTTACAGCTCAAATTGAGGTGCCGGTATGTGCACTGTTCCCAGTTGAGGACGCTTTGCCTTTGGTTGGCCCTTACGCCTTCGTAATCAATGTATTCGTACCAAAAAGACTAAAGTTAAATTAGAAACTGCACAAGTGTTTTTTTTTCTTTTTTTTAACTTACTTTGTCCCCCTGGAAAATAGTTGATAGTTTTTTAATATTGTACATCGGAGGTAAAGAAGCTATGAACACAGAGGGTTCATGAAGTCCTGGAGAATCCAGCCATAATGAGAATGATGTATACAGCCTTAAAATCATATATGTTATAATAATAGCGATAATCACTAATATTTTTATATTTTTCACAAAAAAAGGATTAAAATGAATAAAGAGTAATAACAACTTTTTGGAAAATCATAACATCATAATTATAACTATTTACTTACTTTGCCATATTGTTGTACCAGTTTTTCTTTTCATCTGATACTATATCTGTTGGGTTGTTGCATTTGGCTTCAAAAAAACTCTGACAGTCGTTCAGCTTTTTTTTCAACTTTTTCAACAAGGCCTGATTTGTTGAACCTTCGAAGAACTTCAAGCCCACAGATCCTAAATCTTTCCTGCTACAATAGCGAAATACAAATTGGAAACAATTTATCGCAAATTTTTATTATAACCGCTTACCTCGTTGTCGGCATCCTTGACAGGAAGAGGAAAAAAAACTTTTGCCACAGTACTGGCATGACAGGATGGTCAACAGGAGTTTCCAGGACTTGTTGCGACCATCTATAAATGGGAAGAGTACTGCACGGTACATAAGACAGTTTTAAACTTGCACAGCATCTCTGCGATTTAACAAAAAAAAATTAAATAATAAATTTTAAAATAATTTTAAAGCCACTAGCCTTGAGAGACGCATCAATGGTTGTTTTGCCTGACCAGCATGATAGGTCGATTAAAAGCTCTGTCCAAAGATTTGTCATCGAGAAGAGTACTTTCTCTTCAATTTCTATGGCGAACAACGAGAACCAAGGGGTTTCGGGTGTTGGCTTATTTAAAAGAGACGTCACATTGCTGTTGCCAGAGACCCAATTAAGCAGAGAAAACTTCTGCTTTGAAGCATGTAAATGTGCCTATGATAAAAAATAAAACAACAATTTTTAAATGCAAAATAACCATAAACGTTTTACAAAAAATCAATATTAATATTAATTTCCTCGTTTTATTAACTGAATGTCAGAAAACAATGGGACGACTGCTATTACAAAAGTGGTAGGAAATAAAAAAGACAAGCTTTCTGAAATGGACGGTGGCTAGCTTCTACACTCATACACTATCCTCCTAACCTCCTTCAGACCTCTTTTAAGAAATGGCCGATTCCATTAAGAGAAATAATTCAGATTTATTGAAAGGCAAAAAAACTGAAGTAGAAGAAACTTTTTCAATTAAATCCAAAAAGTTCTATTGCAAGGAAATTGAATAACTGACCATACTATAAAGTATGATGGGGTTATACTTCTTCATTTGAAAACAGAAGTATAAAATAATTTAAAATTGAAGTTGAACTCACCCCATTAATTTAACTTGAAAAATATGTTATAATCATAGTAATATATTAAATTTAACAAAAATTAGTTAGGTGTTTATATGTATTTGGTGTGTTATCAAGACATATAAATACATCTTTTTTGTAAGTTGAAAAAAATAGATTCAAAGGACCGTGATGGCCGAGAAGTTAAGTCATTAGGCCATCCAACGGCAACACGGATTTGGCCACACCACATCCCTTGGAATTTTAATTAAGAGTTATTAAGGAAAAACAAACAAATATCGTAAGGCCTCGTCAGCAACACCCAATGGGTTTTACACATTAACCTTTTCGGGACTCAGGATGAGTTATCTCACCAAATCACTCCCCGAGATAAAATGGTCCAAAATCTTGGGGTTTGTGAACAAGTCCAAGAGGTTTATGCAGGACACGTGAGCCGACCAAGTCCCGGACCTTTTAAGGATGGGGTACGAGTCTACCCAGGCATTTAACCCCTCGGAACTTGGTCGCCAACCCTGCATTATATATATAGCNGTTATATATCATTCAGGCTTATATGGTTCCTAGGCCTTGTGACTCATCTCATTCTAGGTTTTTTTTTTTTTCCCCCAATTTAAGAGCTCTAACTGGACACTCATGGTTGAGGTTGTATCCACTACGTAGCAGTCACCTCGATGGTAAATGGACACCTCCCAAACCCTTCCTTTCATCATCAATGAACCACTTTTTCTCTCCCTTCCGTTCACAATCTGGCATTATCGTTATGTCAATTGCAACATACTTATTAATGAATATTTTTTGTTCATTAAATTTTAAGAAATAAATTTTCTATTAAATACAACATTGTTTTTCTTTTTCTTCCATTTACTTCCGTTCAAAACTATAACATGTGAGGAATGTGCTGTCAAATTTTTTACAAGTTCGATAACTTGGCTAATAAAGATTAGAGGTGAATTACTCTTCTTAAATAAAAATCGTTTAGATGACGGCATTAAAATGTGCCCATTGTGTAACCTTGAGAAGGATGAAGATGCTTTGTGCCCTATCCTAATTGAATACCGGTTACTTTGATTGTAATTTATGGAGTTTTTTGAATATTTAAATGGAAGGAACTTTGGTTGTTTACTTAAATACTGTAAGAACTCCTGGTAGTACAGGTACAACTTAGTAATTCAATTTAACTTCTAAAGTGTATACCCTATACCTAAAAAAGTATTTGTTGATGGCTATTTTATTAAAATGTCTTCCATCTAATTTTAGATTAATGTTTTGGGTACTTAGATGTGTCTATATATGTAAAAAATTTAATTTTTTGGCATTTGTTTTTAATTGTATTCTATTTACATTTCATTATTATTTCCCTTTATTTCTATCAAGATGATTGTTTTGTTTTTTGTCGTAAGACAACCCCTCAAACCTCAATGGCTGTGAGTAAGTCTAGCGTATGGAATGAAGAAAGAAATGTATAATATTGTATATGTAATTTTATTATTATTATATTACTGTCAAAATTTGAATGGAATTGTTGTACTTCAAAAGGTGTACGAGCAATTTGAATGCCTCCAATTTTGATGAATGATGCAAAATAAACCAGGCAGGGAGGTCATTTAGTGGCTGAGAATATAGACGCGGGAACTCATTTTAGCACCCTAAAATCAATCCTGAATAGGTTAAGACCTTCTATAGGCTAGAATTTGTTTTACTTCACTTTAAATCTATTCCAGGCATTTATTCTGCCCTTCAGTCCTGTTTTACTTTTTGTGTTTTTTTTTGTATTGATATTAAAACTTAATTTTGTCACATGGCTGTTTCCTTTTTCCAATTAAGGATTGATTAAGGATTCTTCCAATTAAAAGAAGAATGTACAACTTACAGGAAGATATTAGAATGTAGGAAAACAATTCCAATATTAATAATTAAGTATTTTTGAATCTTTTAATGTTCTGACAACGAAAAATTTAATTGATAGATAACTGATAGAATTATTTGTTTTATGCAGATTTTCTAATTTACCTAATATTTGTTTAAATTACAACCACCAAACATTAATATTTAAAACACAAACATGCATATCTAAGGATAGATGCATTAAATAAATTCATTTTGAGTTTTGACATTATTCCAGTCTATGTTGAACACACACTTTCACAAAGCATGCCGGGACTATTTTAAAAAAAGAAATAGAAATATGATACAATTGTAAAATTTATGGGATATATAAATTAATGGATGGGAAGATAGAGATGTGATTAATGGATATCAAATTGGAAACAAATGTAATCATTGGAAGGAAGTCTTCAACCTTTGTATTAAAGCTAAATTTCAAAGACTTCATGCTACTATAGTTTGTTACTAATTTTCTATTATATAAAATGTTAGTACTAGGGTGCAATAGGTGAAAAGGCGGTTTGTTCTTAATATTATATGTGACAAATATACAAATGAATAACAAAGTGTATTACATTAATTTTACCGAGTTTCATTTTTCTGAAGATGTTTGATTTTGACATGATAAACTGTAAAAAAAAATCTTTTTATGGTGTGTGTGTTTGCATTCGCATGATGCTCAACATTAAAAAAAAAAATTGGTGTCCTGTTTGAATACAAACTTGCTAGTTAAGTGAGCAACAATCAAATTAAATCCCTACCTCTTTCTGGCAGGCCTCTATGATTTGCTAAAAGAAAATAAATATTCATATACAAACACTGGCAAAGACTTGAAAGATTTTTTTTTTAATTGTAACAACAAAATTAAATTTACATCTAAGTGCTTTTTAAAAAACCATCTCAACATAATTACAGGGGGAAAGAAATTACAATGAATTTGGATATAGTTTAACGACAATATAGTCAATTTTATTTTACCTGGAGTAGTTCAATGAGTATATCACTTGCAATTTCTCTTGTTTGTGTCTGGAAAAAGGCTGCCCTCAACACAATGTCCATAAGGTATGTTGTAGCAGAGGGATTCAGTATCCAAACGTTTGTCAATGCCCGCAGCCAAAGTTCGATAAAAGGGCTAGGTGATTGGAATTTATATTTCCTTAATAAATAAAAGGATCGATTAATAAAAACTTTTTTTTTAATGAATAATATTAACTTACTTTCGGTAATTCTCAATTTGAGATTGTATCATAAAACCAAATTGTTTGAGTATTATGCCAGGAAAACTTGATGAAATGAGACCTAAAGTGTATTTTACGAATGTTTTGTCAGCTGTCAGAAGGCCTTTTATTATCTCGTGAAAACTAAAAAGAAGATGAGGGTCAATGAAAAGAGTGCATACGAAAATCTTTTATCAAATTAGGAAGTTAACTTTGAAGCAATTAAGGCTGCTCTCATACTGGAACCGACTACGTCTGATTTTTTAACGTTCATACACGTTTATACATTGATTTTTCGTGAGTAGCCATGGACATAAAAATCAGTAGGTAATTATTTAAATTCAATATTCTTTTAATTCAAGAAATTGCTTTTAAAATATCTAAAGAAACCTAAAAATTCGATAAAAGAAATTATTCCAAATACATGCCAACCAAAACTGAACCACCTCTACTCTGGAAAAATGTCTCTGACAGGTTTGTTCCAATGTAAAAACTCTCATTGGACAAGTAAGTTGTCCATAGCAGTCAGATATAATTGGTTCCAATGTGATAAAAAAACCATACTTTTCAGATTGATGAAGGTTATCTTGAGATCCTAAAAATAAAGGTGTGATGTGCTCAAGAAGGACCAACACTGCTAGGTAACGATGGCATTGGATTAAAACATTCATCATTTTGAATCCATTCTGTTCAATTAGTGTCAAATTATGGCCAGTCATTGTCATAACCAGTGACACAAATATTGCTGTTACTTCTTTTTCTTTAACGGATCTCGTAAGAGGAGAGAGTTCCTAAAATAAGACATTATGATAATAAAAATCCGATAAATTTTTACAAACTTTTTACATTCGGAAGTGATTCCAACGAAGGAAGTGTGAAAACATTCTGCAAGGGATTCATTACAGAATCAATGGATGCATCTGGTTGATCCATTAAATGCAATCTGAGTTTGAAAAGCAGGGACCAAACCCAAATACCCAGACTTTGTTCCGTGATAGAACGATCCGATGAAAAAGTCAACTAAAATAAACAACTTAACAATTCATCTTATAATTAATAACTTAACTTGTTAATAGGATGTTTAACCTGTTTAATAGTGTCGGCGATGACTGTAGAATGGGCTGAAGTTGGAGTTTCAGGACAGTGGATTATAGACAACCTGACAACAAACAGTGCCACTTGGCAATGGAATTCTCGAGGAAGAAAGAGCTCATGAGAATTGCTGAAATAAAAGTACAAAATGTTATTTTTTCTAGAATACATTGATGCATGGGAAAAGGCCTTACTTCGGATTTAAGCCCCAGTTCATGTAATACAGAATGAATCTTGCTAAGGACGCCTCGATGGAATTCAAAGGGCACGCAAGTAACCAATGTTCAAGCAGGCTTAAATCATCTTCTGTCGGCCTCCAGGAATACAATGGGAGGTCTTTAAATATGTAAAGGCTAAGCTGAAAATTTGGAAAATTTTGTAAATTGATGAACCTGTCTTGAAACAGGTTTCAGCATGGCTTTACTGGTTAATTTGTTATTTATTTTGTCAGTTGTGTCCTCTTTGTTAAATGAGTACTATTTTTATTATGCCAGTGTTTTTGATTTATTGTAGATTAAGTCTGTTATTCTGGTTATTATGTTCAAATGTTTAGTGTTTATTTGTTAAATTGTCACAACGAACAGACCCAAATAGTTTTTTTTTATTTTTTTTTTTTATTTACAGCTATTGTACTCCTTCCTGGTACCATTTTGGCATTTAGGAGCTTGCAATATGTGTGTGAATTGAGCCCCCGGTGTGCCGGTGTTCTTCCTTCTAAGAAACTCATTTTCAAAGGGAGTTGGGACCAAAATCAGGGTCACTGAGATCCGATCCCGCCCCAGACCTTCCATTGATGAGTGCCGTGTCAAATTTAATTGCGGCCAGTGCTCCCCTTTTGAGTAAGAAAAATATAAAGGCAAAGGTAGGAATTGAACCCATGACCACAGATCTACTAGCTGAGAGTCTGACGCCCTAACCACTTGGTTACCGCGGTCCCCTACCCCAGCTGACAGTTAAATCAATATGATCATAGACAATTATGCTACAGAAAATTAAACATTTTTGATACTCTATTTAGGAGGTTGATGATATCAGACCACAATAACACACTTTATTACCACCTAAACAGAGTATTAAAGCTGAGGCCCACAACATCCCACCGCTATATCTGATTAAACATTTTTGATTGCAATGTCACAAAGAAAAATTATTTTCAAATTGATGATGAAGAAATAGTAAATAGTTTATCACATAAAAAAACTCACATTTCCAGTTTGAGGTAATAGGACTCTAAGCTTCTTTAAAACGACTGTAATTAAAGAAGGATATTTTGTAGCCATGTTGGACAAAAGTGATCTGCAAGTTTTATAACAAGTGTCCCTGGTTGAAATATTGACGAACCCAATCTAAAATATAGGATTAATCGATTCAGTAAACAAATCGAAATTATTTATTTAAAAAAATAAACTTACTTGCAAGAGGGATACGGTAACCATTTTTATAAAAACCCAGTCTGCGAACATCCTAGATAATGCCATATTGGAAACTGATGTGAGAATATAATATAACTCGGCATCGGAAAAGTGAACAACCTTTTCTTCCCAGCTTGCCGACCACTCTGCATAGTTTTTGCAAAGTTTTCCTGTTGATGTCATCGATGAGATGCGAAATAAAAACGATCTGATAAATTATTACCTCCGGCATCCGTATGCATCACCATGTGAAAAAGCTTCCACAGAGTGTGCATCGAAACAAGTCCAAACGGAAGCGAAATGAGAAACTGAAGAACAGATTTTTGCGCTGTCGCTTGAAACGCAGAACATGCGCATATAATTATGTTGTCGTATTCGGCCTGTAGCCTGTCCATAAAACTCTCATCCCTGTTCTCACCACCTTCGAACCTAATTATAATTGCGTCAACGATTAAACATCAAAACAAAATTTAATGCAAATTTTTAACAATACTTATGAATTTCCCAGGCATCAGTGGTATACTGGGCTATATGCAAAATGATGCTGGCTAGTCTTTTTGCAAATTGTTGGTACCTGATGGAGTGGTACGTGATTATACCCTGCTCCAAAATTTTAATCAAGTATCTGCTTATTGCAAATATCTTTAATAAATGGCTGCTACTTATTTGTGCAAATACATCATTGTTGTCATTTGTTATTATAAGGAATGTCTGAAATTCAATGGGTGCAATCAAAATCAATTCAACAACTGATGAATCAGTATTATCTTTCTTTATTGTTAATAATTAAAATAAATATTTTTGTTAAAATTTACCTGTCTAAATAAACTGTCCAATGGAATTTGATTAAAAATAGAAATAATGTCATTTTCTTTTAAATTTGCCTGAGAATTGTTCGCATTTTCTTCTTCCTCCTCACCCTCCGAGTCAACGATGACCCATACATCCTCACTTTTGATATTAGAGTTTAACTTTTCAAGCTGTAAACAAATTCCATTAATACAAATACCAACCAAAACAATTTCCGCACAACACACCTGAGACAGAAACAATTCTCTATCCTTAATTGGAGATACGATGATGGAAATTATTGCAATCATGTGGTTCAAGTAGGCAAGTGGGTTGATGCACTTCGGAGGAGGTTGGGGTATTTGAATAAAAGGAACTGCCCACTTTGACATACCTCCTGGACACCTACAAAATAGATAAACCACTATATCAAAACTTCAAATTTCCTAAATAAATCACATGAACAACCAAAGTTACGATTCAAGAAAAAAGAAAAAAAAATTGTAATACCTCTTACCTCAAAACATGACTAAGAATGAACACTTCTAATTTTGTAATTTGCATACTATAAATAAATAATGCATGTTGTTCATGAACTTTTTCCCTAATTGTTGCCAGGTTTGTTACTAACTTAACTAAAGAAAATAAATCGATCATTGTGATCATAGTAATAGAGAATCTGGGGTCAATTTGAATAATTGCACTAATGAAAAGTAAAATATTCATTTTCATAAATTAACTGGCATGTGTAGGCTGTAGAATGCAATAATTAAAAAATTGTACTGTTCACAATTCATTTTTAATAGCACTTCTGCTAATATAAAAATTAATGCGGATTCTGCTTGCAAACCGTATTAATAAAAGAGATGCAGCTATGACTATCTGCACTGACAGCTTCTATTGGTTCCTGACTATCCTAGAAAATTAATCGCCCACCTGGTTAAAATATTCATGAACCCTGTGTCAGTTTCATACTTTTCTCTGACTATCTGACAAAATAAATTAATCATTATGATCATAGTAATAGAGAAATTAAAAAAATTAAAAAAATGTACTGTTCACAATTATTTTTAATAACAATCATGCTAATATAAAAATTAATATTTTTTCTGCTCACAAACTAAATAAATCACATGCCATGACAAAAGTTAAGATCCAAGAAAAAAAAAAAAATTGTAATACCTCTTACCTCAAAACATGACTAATAATGAAAACATGATCATGCCAGGAAGCTACCCTGAGCAGGATGCTGATCAAGTTACTCAACCACTGCCTTGCCTCTTGAATAAAACCTTGGTCTTTGTGGTGTTGCCTCTGAAAATGAAACAGGACAGATATCGCCTGACACAGTTCATTGCTTTTTCCATAGTTTTCCTCCATTAAAGAGACAGGGTAGTTTGACTGAATGTTAGGAAATTTCTGAGCTATCTTCTGCACGTAACTGTCTATCTAAAGAGCCAACAATTGATATAAATTAAGCAAATTAGTTTTGTAATCTAGATCTACAATCTAATTAACGATATACTTACTTCTAATTTTGTAATTTGCACACTATAAGTAAATAATGCATGTTGTTCATGAACTTTTTCCCTAATCGTTGCCAGGTTTGTTACTAACTTTGCGAGGACATCAGTGTTAAAAGATCCAATTTGATATTCATGACTTGCTTCAACTGGATTTCCATCCTGAAAAATAAAAATTAAATAATTAAATAAAAGCATTCTTCTTCAAATTTACTTACTTGGCACTCTCCAGATTCAGTTATTTTTGTGATGTTTAGAATCCACAATTGCTGCTGTATGTTTTTGCTATCTTGAATTAAAGTTTCAACTTCTTTAGAATTTGAAAACTGTTTCTCTCTGAACTTGACATAATTGGCGAGAAGGTCGTAAAGGGGGTGTCGCAGGGCAATACCACCCCTTAATTCACCATCTATGAAACTTTCAATGTAGTTATTGCACCTTCCCACTTCATTGTTTATGTATAAAGAGAGCAGTTGCGCCTCTGTGAAAGAAGGCAGTTCCTGAGTCTGTGACAGGATGTTGGACATATCTGCAAATTCATCTTCAATATCACTGTAAGGAAATTGTATGTCAGTGTCGATATCATCTTTAGCTGTTAATTCCGCTTCAAGACGTTCGTCAATTTCATTTAGCGGATTTGATATAAGATTTTGGAAGTGTGTCGAGGCCAATTCGGGTACTGTTGGTACAACATTTGCAACAATTTCCTCTAATTCAGTACTACCGGAGTCCTTCTCATTTAAATCGAGCTTGTTCAAAAGTGCAACTGTCTTAACAGACTCCACATCTGGGGATTGACAGTGAAGCAGCCTTTCCGTTTCTTCAGCTGATGAATTTTTATCATCATACTCAAAGTGACTCTTGGGTTTTACTTCATCTTCTGTTTTTACAATGCACCCAACACCCACCTCTTCCTGTTCACAAAGAGGAGCAGTTTCTCCTAAATTTACTGTACATTTTTGTTTGGACTTTTTATGTTTGGTCTAAAAATAAAACGTAACTATTATTTAATTATATGAATAATTAATAGCTGAAGAATACAGCTTTTCACATTTTTAAATTTATATATTAAATTCTTTAATGATGTAAAGGTGATCAACCAGCTGTTATTCAACAATATATTTGGTAGGATGTAAGTGAAAATCAAACACAGACACAGTGGCAAAGAATCTGTAAGTTGGAAAAGCGAGTTGATTTTTGATTTTCACTTACACACATGACAATTATGAAATATTATATGTTGTAGAGCCCTTAAGAAGGTGAAATAAAACACTGAAAGCTTGGCATAGTTTCAACACTAGAACATTCTGTGGACCACATCCTCGATCCTACCAAATATATTGTTAAATTATTTAAAACATAAATTTATCTAGACAACGTATTGGTTTAGTTAAGTAATTCTTGAAATTATATGTAATATATAAATCCTCATACATAAAAGATTGTCAGAGACTTATGATTTTTCCTTCTCGAAGGTAGGATAATAGGTTTATTATCCCTATAGGTTCTATAATAGGTCTATTATCCCTAGGTTTATTACCTAAAATCATAAGTTAAACTGTTGAGGTCGAAATATAACAAATTGTCAGGGACTTTCAACGCTAAACACAATTTAAAAGCAAAGTAATTCCTGTCATAGGAGGGCTTAACATTCAACTATCCATCTCAGATGAGGGTCAAACCACTTTACAATACATTTTCTGATTATTCCATGGATTTTGCTGGTGTTTGAACCCGGAACTGCGCTAGTATGGCAAATACTAGTTGGACGCTCTAAAAACAAATTCCAAATCACTTTCTGTCGTATATTAAACAAAATCAATAAATCTTTTTTTTAAATCTACAATATACAAAAATCAGAAACGTACTGCACTTACAAGCAGGAAGTCTGCAAAGCATAACTTTCAACTTCAAAATTTTTAAAAAGGAAAAGCTCAAAAAAATCTATCAAATAGTTACTATTAAAAGTTGAGATTTTCGTATTTTTTTAAAATTTCGTTATGTTCTTTTCTTTAGAGCTTTCCTCTTTCTTTATCCTAAAGTTTTGAACTATTGTTATTTACATTTTCTTTTTTAACAAATCATTGATATTTTCATTTGTTTATTCAAAATATTGTTTGCATTATCAAATTGCTGGGTCACATTTGTACACATAAACAGTAAGATGAAGATGTGTTAAAAACAATTCCTTATAACTGCTGAATCAGTAGCATCTAGACATTAGACTAAAATAGCTATACCAAATCAAATAGTAATGTTTACAGTGGTTTCAATAATTTTGCATAACGTCGTCTTTGAGTTATTTCTTTTTTATTTATATTTATTATATTACATTTTTTATTTATTTTGTCTCAAAGACATTTATATATAATGTGAAGGATAAAGAGAGAATAGAGAAAGGAAGATAGATGGCGACTAGAAAGACTAATAATAAAAAATAAAGAATTAATTAAGGAGATGTAATGATAGGATAGATATATAAGGTAGTTAGAGGGAAAAAGCAAATGAGAGGGAGAAATTAAATGAGAAAAAAAGAGATGCATGCAGAAGTACACAGACTGACATAGTGAGTGTATATGTGTGTTTTAAAAAAAGTGAAACAAGTGAGTGAGTTTTAGTGAGAGACAGCGATTTGACAAAGCGATAATAAGATATATAGACATAATTAAATTTATATAGGGATATAAATATAGATATACGTAATAGAGGGAGAGAAAAATGAAAGGGAGAACACAGAACAAGGTATTTGAGTGTGTGTGTGATTGATTCTAATACCAAGGATTAAAATGATTGATTGATTGTTTTATTTAATCATGCAAAATTAGGACTCTTGGACCTCTCTATCATTTAACATAAGAGGGACAGACACCTAACAAGTCTACTACTTCAGTCCCCGGTAATGGTGTTATCTTTGTCAATTTGTCAACAAACACATAATTCAAAATGGTGAAACGTGACAGATAACACTGAAAAATTACTAAACTGCCTAATTAACTGCTTAAAACTATATATATGAGAGTCACGAGAAATATTCAAAAATAAAAAGTTTGTAATTTTGTATTTGTTTATAAAATTGGTTGCATTTTCTTGAATTAAATGTTGAAAACGTCAATGAGTCTGTTTTAAACCAAATGACCTTCTTGCACCTGTCAACGGCTCAAGTAAGAAATGAGGGATTAAAATATCTTTTTATTTCTTGCCTTAAATTAAACATACAAGAATAAATAAACACTTTTGTTTTTGTTTATAAATATATATAATTTTTTTAAGTTTTGTCTCTATACTGATTGGTACTGAGTCTTTAAATAGGCATAACAATGGATTAGTGTGAAGTGATATCTGTAAAGAAATGACAATAGAGTCGATGAAAATGAAACATATCGACTGATTACACTCACCTTGACCTTTACAGCTTCCATTGCAACAATTATTTCAATTAACAAATGCTCAAAGAACTCTGTAAATATATAAAATGCGGAAAAATCACATTTTTTCCTTTACTGAAACAATAAAATGCGATGAATAGGGCTGGAAGGTAGTGTTTGATTACAAAGGCTACCCCAGCCTGATAAGATTTCCTTGGCATTCGGTTGCTATGCACAGAGTTTATTCTTTGATCTCTTCTCTGATTTTATCCTGGGTGAATAATTAGAAATGATTAGATCGTAATATTTATTAGAAGCTTGAAGCATTTTGGTGTAATAAACTTTTCATTGCGGTGATATAAATTTAACTGGATTGTCTTGAGAGAGAAAGAAAAATTCAAAACTTTTCACATTTGTGTCAATAGAGCATGTCTTAGCTGTAAATGAACTTTAAACGATTGTAAATCAAATTTTCTCATTGAATTCGATCCATCTTGAATGAAAATCCATAAGATTTACAGTCTTTTAAATCTGATGTAAAAAGAATGTTTAAATTTATTAAACGACAAGTACGCTTTATAATATTCTAAGGATCTGTGATATGTTTATCGCTCACTCTCCATCCTGTCTCATGGCCTATTTTCCATCTATTGTACAAACTTAGTCAAACAGTGTGATCCACAAATAAAAAGTCAAATGATAAATACCTGGCTTGTATGGACTGCAGAATGCAATTATTGTAAAAAATTGTATACCGTTTACAGTTTAGTTTTAAAATAACGCCATTGATGTATGAATGTTTATTATGCTGACAAACCATATAAGCAAAAGAGATGCAGCTATTTACTATCTGCACTGACGACTACTACTGGCTCTGGCTATCTTAAAAAATGAATCGTCCAGCTGGTTAAAATAATCATGAATCCTGTGTCAGTTTCAAACTTTTCTCTGACTATCAGACAAAATAAATCAATCATTGTGATCATAGTAGTAGGAGAATCCAGGGTCAATTATTCAACTGCACCAATGAAGTCAAATAATTACAAATTAACTGGCATGTGTAGGCTGTAGAATGAAATAATTAAAAAATTGTACTGTTTACAATTCAATAGCAATTCTCCTAATATAAAATTTGATGTGGATTCTGCTGACAAACTATACTAGTGAAAGAGATGCAGCTATCAATATATGCGCTGATGACTCCAGGCTCTGGCTATCCTAAAAAATGAATCGTCCAGCTGGTTAAAGTAATCATGAATCCTGTGTCAGTTTCAAACTTTTCTCTGCCTATCAGACAAAATAAATCAATCATTGTGACCATAGTAATAGAGAATCTGGGGTCAATTTGAATAATCGCACTAATGAAAAGTAAAATATTCATTTTCATAAATTAACTGGCATGTGTAGGCTGTAGAATGCAATAATTAAAAAATTGTACTGTTCACAATTCATTTTTAATAGCACTTCTGCTAATATAAAAATTAATGCGGATTCTGCTTGCAAACTGTATTAATAAAAGAGATGCAGCTATGACTATCTGCACTGACAGCTTCTATTGGTTCCTGACTATCCTAGAAAATTAATCGCCCACCTGGTTAAAATAATCATGAACCCTGTGTCAGTTTCATACTTTACTCTGACTATCTGACAAAATAAATTAATCATTATGATCATAGTAATAGAGAAATTTAAAAAAAAAATTTAAAAAATGTACTGTTCACAATTATTTTTAATAACAATTATGCTAATATAAAAATTAATATTTATTCTGCTGACAAACTATGATTTTAAAGAATATACAAATACAAATGATTTAGACATTGTCTGAAGAATGATTGTAAAACAGAATCAGCATTGTAATATTCTCAGATCTAACATATTGCTCTCTCTCCATCATTTCTCACTCTTATGACCTTTCCTCTGACTCATATGGAATAAATTTAATATTGTCATCAATATATTAAAGAATCCTGATTCAATTTCAATGGAAAATGATAATTGGCTGAATAAAAAGTCAAATAATAAATAACTGCCACTCATAGGCTGCAAAATGCATTGATGAAAAAAAATGTAATATTTGTAATTAGTTTTTAACAGCAATCCATTGACAAATTAACATTTACTTTGCTGACGAACTATACCAGTAAAAAAGATGAGGCAGGCTATAACTATGCCCTGTCGACTATTACTTGCTCTGGCTATCCTATAAAATGAATTAGCCAGCTGGTCAAAATAACAAATCTTGTCTCAATTTCAATTAAAAAATTATTTTAATAATTGGTCAAATGAAAAGTAAAGTAATTTTAAATTAACAGGCATGTTTAGGCTAAAAATGCACTGATTTAAATTTGTAAAAAAATTGTTGCTGTTCACAATTAGTTTTTGAACCTGCCATATAATTACTAAATGGAAGTATTGTATTATGGTACTTAGTTGCAAGAAAAAAACTTTAAATTGTTGCTAATCAATTGTTATTAATGTGACTTTTCTATATGATAAAAATATACAAATATAAATGATTTATATTTCTTAAAATTATCTGGCTAAGATTATTTTAAATCAGAGACTGTATTATAATATTCTCAGATGGGGACTGCAGTAACTGAGTGGTTAAGGTGTCTGGCTCGTATTTGCCACCCTATCAGTTCTGGGTTCGAATCACGATAGAGCATGTGGCTTTTTATGAAAAGTGAAAAATGTAAAGTGGTTTGACCCCTCGTCGGCAACACCCAACAGGTAGTTGGACGTTAAGCCCTCCTGTACGATTGGAATTACTTCACTTTTTACTTTTAATAGTCTAAGATTGGTCATACAGTTCTCCCTTCTTTCAGATCGATTGTAATCATAATAATAGAGAATCCTGGGTCAACATAAATAATTGGTCAAATAAAAAGTCAAATAAATAAATTAACTGGCATGCATAGAGTGGAGAAGCCAATTATTGGGGAAAAAAGTATACTTTCACACTTAGTTTTTAATAGCATTTCATTGAAATATAAATGTTTATTTTGTTGACAAACTATGATTTAAAAAAATACAAATAAAAATGATTTATCCTTTATACTGTCTGGACAAGAATGATTGTAAAACAGAATTGGCATTACAATTCTAAAATCTTTCATTTTATTCTTTTTCTCACTTTTATGTCCTCTTCTCTGACTATTTTACAAAATAGAACAAATTAATAAGAAATCCTAGGGTTTTGAATGAAAGGAATTATTATTATCATTTGAATTATTGAATGAAAGGTCAAATAATAATAAATAAACTGGCATGTTTAGGCTACAGTTTACAAAAAAATGTGCTCTGTTCACAATTAATTTTTAAAAGCACTTCATTGATAAATAAATGTTTATTTTGCTGCTGTCTATAAAAGTAAAAGAGATAAGTCAGGTCTTACTATCTACAGTGACAAATACTGCTAGCTCTGATACCCCTATAAACTGTATCAAACGTGATCAAAATAAAAATGTACTGTTGACAATTAGTTTTTAAAAGCACTTCATTGATGTATGAATATTTATTGGGCTAATAAATTATAAAAAGAAAAAAGTATATTCACTAAATGAAAGTTAGGGTGCAAGAAAATGTTTAAATGAATATAAATATTTTTTTCCATTTGTGTGTGATTCTTTTCTATATAATCTAAATGATGAAAATTTAATGATGAAATAGGAATGAAAGAAGTCTATAATTTTATGAAAACAAACTGTGCTCCTCTTCCATCCTTTTTCATTTTCATTTGCTGTTCTCTGAATAGCCACCTAATCTTATATATTAAAAAAAAACATTAAAGAATACTGGATAAGTGAATATAAAATTTTTGTAAAATATGTTGTTTTTTTTTTAATTTAGAGTAAAAACAAAGTTGAAATTTATAATCAATTAACTGATATGTTTTGGCTACAGAATTGGTTTATAAAATCTGTGTATAGGTTGCAATTAAAAAACTAAATGGATCGTAAATTGAAATGTTAAGTATTTCTTACTTCAATGAGATGGGAAAAAGATGAGGCCCATACTTGACCAACTTAGCAACCAATTTAGCAAAAGAACTTGATTTGCCTTGGTACTTCAGCTCCAGGTAAATCTTCAAAGAAAATTGTTTTAATCATGTTAAATAATCATTGTGAAATATGAAACAAATCTTATTTTATAAACTTAAATGTGATGTTTGATTTGATAAATTTTTAATAATGTAGATTAAAAAATCAATCTACTTGAAACATTTGATTATAAGCAATTATTAAATATTTAGTAATTAATTACACACAAAAATGAAGTCTTACTTCATGATGAAACTTTATGTATGCCATATTATAAAAAGCCAGGATTACTCATGACAAATTAATCTGTTTTAAGATGGCCTTCGGATGCACCTTGGGGAAGCTGCGAGGCTTAGCGAGTCCTTACAAATTCATTCCTTTTAGCATCGATGATTCGTTTGTCGCCAAGGTCATAGGCTGCCTGCCACCTGCCCTCATCCCTCCGATCCATATAGCGACACTTTACTACGTCTGGCAATCCTTTTCCAGGAGGGTTGATCGGAGATATTGCTCCTGCTCGTGCTGGGACACAGTCTTTAAAGGTAGATCCAGCTAAAAGTTGTTAAGTTTTGGTTTTGTGGCACATGTTCCCTATGCGAAGCTAAATTTTTAAAAAATAATTGCAACAATTAATTAAGCATAGCTATTTTTGGAAACAAAAGCTTTCAAGATTTATTTCTCACAATCACCTTTGTTTTAAACATTTTTCTTTATTAACTCTTATAATGTGCTTTTATTTTCTAATTATTAAAATTTATTAATTTTTAAAATAAATATGTGATAAGAATTTATTTAAATGTAGTAATCACTGTTAACTAATAAAAATGTAGAAATTTTTGGTGTTATGTAGGTATCAGAATACGTTTTTATTTTTCATTTTTATTTTATTAATGTTTTATGGTGTATTATTAATAATTCAGTTTGAAAGTATCATTTTACTGATATTTCCAAATTCTTATTTATGATTGATTTTTTGGGGGTAGCATAAAATATTTAGCTGACCAAAAGCTTTACTTACTGAACATGGTTGATTCATAACGCATTTATTTAAAATATACCCAAATTATTACTTTTGTTTTAATATGTTATTTTGGTTTTAATTTATATTTATGAGTTATAATAATATAAAATATTTCATTCATATTCATTAAAAACATTAAAGTTCATATTTATTTTTCTTGTTGCAATACAGTTGAGCATTGATTAATGAGCAAAATTAATTTACTTTGCAAATATATAATTTTATTTATGGATTTTTTTCAGAAGTAGTTTTTGTACTTAATTATTAATTATTATTAAATAATACAGTTCTATTGTTAATATTATACTTTTTGATTAGAACATTGCTACATAATTATGATAAAAGCCTTTTGTACTTTTTATGATTAAATTTGTATTTAACATTAGGTACTTACGAAACAGGAATTGCTTCATATAAGCACATTTATTTCAATGCATCATTAAATATGCTGAAAATTTGGGCTATGACAGTAATTTGTATCATAATGTTTTATGAGAGTATAAGAAGACTAATGTCATTATGCCTTCAAAGTTATTTAAGATATAGCATGCTGCTCCTTTTTATATCATCTATATTTTCGCATTATTACTCTTGGTAAGGAATATTGAGTAAGCTGTTTTACAATGTCTAGGACTTTTTACCTGAGGGTCAAGTTAATTTTTATAGGTGGATGTATGTAAATTACTGGAATGATGATTACTATGCCCAATGGAATCATCAGTTGTTTTTTACTAGCACAGAATTGCTTTCTTCCATTTTGGTACTACAATTAGCGGATAGCAGGTCAATTGTGACACAAAGGAAAGCTTTATGTATAGTCAGCATTGCAGTTCTGCATGTTATTGCCGGAAGCTTAGACCAGTTTATACTGAATGTGGTAAAAGGAGAAGGCCACCTCCACCAGGTAAAAACATAGTAGAATTCTATGGGTATGATAACGACCATTGAACAGTAGAGTTATGTTATTGGATGCTTTGTATTTAAGTATATAAAACAAGCTTCACATTTGGGAATCTTATCAAACCAATGCTTCATGTAGATTGTAAAATTTTGCAAGAAAAATAAAAGCACATGGACATAAAAACAAATCAATCTTAGGCAAAAGACCCATTATTTTAGCTGAAAGTTCAAAAAGTTTGTGAGTATTGGGTAACCATTTTAAATCAAAACACTTCTGGTAATTTAGAAAATGAAGGTTTTTGGTTTTTAAAGAAGTGTGTTGAGAAAAACAAGCAATTTTTTATCTTTAATAATTTATTTATTTCATTTCACTTTATTGATACAGGTTTAATTTTAACTCCTTCTAGTTCTTATTCATTGCATCTGAATCTCTGATGCTAAAATTGCAATAAAAAACATGATTAAAAGGCCATAGCATTGGTGAAGGTGGGCCGGGTCAGTAGAGAAGCTCCCACATATCAAGAGCACTGTCCTTAGAAAATCTGAATCATAGAAGGCTCATCCTCACACGATTAAAGATGCTAGATTGACTCACAAACACTTACTTTTGGGCCAAAGCATGCATATGTGTCCAGCATGTAGAGAAAGGTTGCTCGATGTCCCACCTAATTGAAGGGTTCAAATCCTTGACTCTATATAGAGAGCCTAGAGGATTGCTGCCTGATATGAGAGTCGTGCTTGAGCACGGCAGCAACTATCTAGATCCCTGGTTCCAATTTTTGGAGGAAACAGGGTTGTTTTATTGAATATAGTAATGATAGTTTTGTTTCCCTAGTGTATGTTGAGAGTGAATGTATTTATTAGTGTAAATATGCAGTGGGATGGAGGAATATGGAGTACTCCACCACCAGTATTGTGGTATGGTATTTAAGAATGAGTGAGAGGGTGATGGGTTTGGATTTAGGAACTACATGCGTTGGGTGCTGAATAGTTGACATCCTGAGCCCAAACTCGGTGGCTGTATGTATAATAATGAGGTCTGACCCCGGACTGCCAACACCCAACTCCCGAGTGGGTGGTTCTTGAGGCCTGCTGACAATTTATTGTAAATTGCAAAAGCTTGACTCTGTACATGTGTGTAAATATGTGCAGATTTGAGCTTATATAAATTAATTTTTCAATCATTTTTGTGATTTTTGCAGCATGAAATTTTATGTCTGTTAATCTTGTTGCTTAATGATTGCTTTCAGAGGCTAATATTTTTGTAAGCATGCCAACTCTTTGAGTTCCTCTTTTATATTTTTGTGCACGATAACCTACAGTTTATTTGTCTTATTTCACATTTTCAAGCAAATATGGGTATTTATTTAATTAAATTTCTACTATGACATCTCTTATTACATTTTCAAAAATAACAAAATTACTATTTACAACAAATGAAATCACAATATTGATTAATTTCTTTTATTTAAATAAACTTTAAGAAAAAGTTTAAAAGATTTACTTACAAATTACAAATTCACAATCTGTGATCAATTCACATTGTAAGCAGATCAGAAATGGTGAGGTGAGACACATCTTTATACACATTCCATAAAAATCAGAGGTGATCCTGCGCAAGGCAAACGTTCAAAGACAAAGCTTCATGATATTAAAAATTCTATATTTTGTTGTTTGTAAGGAGTAAAAGTTCAATATCAAACACAAATCGATAATTTTAATTCAGTTGATTATTTTTATAAACCACACACAACTTTAAAGTTAATTATGCACATTATTTTAATGAAAAAAAATTAAACTTGTCTTTGAATGTATTATTATAAGGGAGACATTAAAAACCTAAAGATGTGAAATGTGTTTTTATTAAAAAAATTAAAACCCTTCTGTTTAAATGTATGATTGTTAATAACAGCCAGCACTTGTGTTTAGCATCTTATATAGTTTGTTGTTTAACGATTAATCCAAGTCTAAAATTTATTTTTATTTTTCTCCAGGTGCTTAGAGATGTCAGTTTTATGATACCGGATTTGTTGCATGTAATTTTTCCTCTGATTGAACTTAGAAAAGTTCAATCGATGGAAAATTCTCTTGTTCCTATGAGTGATCTGAAACGTGACTTCCTTTTTATAACAGCACTTATAACTGGAGGATTGTTTCTCTGTTCATTGCTATAAATGACACGACAAATAGGTAAGTTAATTTATTTCTTTATAAGGTAATGAATTATATTTAATATCCTGTTGCTTTATGAAATTATGTTTAAAAAACCAATAGGTATTTTAAAATTTAAAATTGTAATTATACTAATTGCAAACATAGAATAGTAATAAAACTAAGTAAAGGCACATTAAATCACTTGTTATTTACAGATGGGTATTTGAAAGGTGTAAATTTTCATTGGACGGAAAATTGATTCCAGTTTGGCTTTGTTTTTTTAAGTCAGCTTTAATTTCTGTCATTACACTTTTTTTTATTGCCATTAGCTATAGTTATAGTCATTTTTCTCTTATTTGGTCTTTCTGGATTTTTATTTTTTATTTTGATTCTAGTATGTTTCATCAAACTATTTCTTTAAACAAGTGGTATTATTTTAGTGCACTATTTTATTTTTCTCAAACATCATAGTTTAATAAAGTTCTAATGACGATTGTTTCGAACTTTTTGTGAAAATAAAATATAATTGTATAGTGCAATAATAAAATAATACCTCTAGTATGAACTAAAACAACAAATAAATATTTTTTTACATTCCATAATTTATTGTAATCCTTTCAAACCCTTGTGAATATTGCTTTTTCTTTACTATATTAAAGTGTGCAGTTGTTAAATATAAACATTGTTTGTAAATCCCAGGCCCTGAAGATGATTTCAATAAAAGATCGAAACGTTGGCACGATAAAGAAAGTTTTTCTGAAACCTACATCACACCCGACTGCATCTCACGATATCTGAATAACTACCAATTTTCCAAGAAACTTTCCAGGGCATAAAATAAAGCCTTTTGGTCGTGAGCCCAAAATCAGCGATTTACCAAAACGACAAGTTTTTATATACATCCTTTTTTGGATTGTATTGACATTAATCAGTTTATTGTTTTTACTTCACATTTGTCACTTTGCATCTGGGTGCTAACCAGTGATTTTTACACGCAACAGTAAATTAATCAAAAATAATATTGTATAATAATTTTTTACAGTCTATGTTATTGAAGATCAACTATCCATTTGAGGGTTTTCATGTTGTTCTTAAGATGAATTTGAAAAATTCAGTTTTCCCTCTGCCTAAAATTTATAATTTGACATTTATACAGCCTTTACTGGTTGGTTAATTCCAGTATAAAAGTTGTTTAACTTTTTTTTAACTACGAAAAACCTAAAATGGACAGTTGATCTTCAATAATATAGACTGTTAAAAAATATTATATACAATATTATTTTTATTTCAATTATATTTTTTATCTAAAGTCTCGGTTGAAATGAAAAAGTGTCACAAGTGGTACTTGAACCCACGACCTTCGGCTAAATGCTCTGCTTCTCTATTTTGACTAAGTGATTATAGCAGTGACATATTGAGCTGAAGGTCGTGGGTTCAAATCCCGCTCGCCACACTAACTTTTTCATCTCAACCAAGACTTTTCATAAAAGGTATAATTAATTGAAATAATTAAATAGGTCACTTATGACCTCCAAACTGTATGATTATTTTTGATTATTATATATATGACATTCATGTCACTTATATTAGTCAATTAATGCCTATTTATCGATTTCATTCCACTACGAAATTAATAATTTTTGAGTACAAGATTTGAGATAAACAAATTAATGTCACAGATGAGATTTGAACTCATGGTCTTTGGAACTGGAAAACTTGGAACCTGATTTAAACTCTGGGGTCCTTTTCCAAAGACTGTCAGTTTGAATCCCATCTGTGAGAATGACTTTTTTTTATCTCAAAACTCAATCTCAAAAATTACTTATATTAGTTGTAACAGATTTTTTGCATAACAAACTTTACAAAATGGAAATGTCAATCTACTTTGCTTTAAAGACAATGATTTCAATTTTACAGAATATTTTTTTATTGTTTTACTTTTCTTTACAATAGAAAAAAAGGAAAAGATTTGTAATGTGTGTACTAAAAATATAATAATTCTTTGTAATCTGTAAATACACAAAAGAATAATTACTTGAGACTAACAATTTATAAATAATAATTATGTTCACGAGTTAATAAAAATGCAATCAAATTGATATTGTTTTATTGCTTTTATTATTGTTTGTACTAAAAATCTATACAATAAATACAAAAATCCACTTAAAAATGTTAAAAATGTATAAAAGTTTTTGAATTGTAAAAACAAGTTTTTTGTACACAATTTTGTTTGTTTAACTACTGTACCCATCAGCAGTATAAACAGTTTGTACGTTAAATACAGTTATTTCTTTGTCCTACTTAAATTGAAGTTTTGCACAGCCAGGTGCAAAATTCTCTAGTACATTTACATTTGTTTTAATTTTTTGTACTTAAAAGGATTTACAATACAAATATTTAGCTAAAATTAAAATACACTAAAAACCAGTTGATTTTCATGTCGGCCAAATTAATAAAGTTGTAGAAAAATATTCATATGAGGTAGAACACCAATAATTACATCTAAACTTTGCATGTTAATATGAGATTGATGATTTTGTTGGTTCGTACCAGATTCATATTTTTTCTCTTGTAAGAACAATTTTTCTTATTTTAAACATACTGAATATATTGAAGAACCATCTGGAGAGAATGTCTGAAATCAATCTTCACCTTAATTATACACAACAATTGAAAAGCCTAGATAAACATGAAAATTATGAATGTGGTGAGTCATGAGGTTGGAGCCACATTAAAAACAAATTTGTCTTCCCACAATTTTTATATATTTTTTTAGCAAAAAAGAAAAATAATAATATGCATAATAAAAATTGTGGGCAGATAACTTCTTTTCTAAATAAAACATGAAAACAACATTTTTTAAACAATAAATCATAAACACTTATGAAATTAAAAAATAAATGCATTAATATATTAACGAACAAATAAAATTCATTGTGTTTTTAAAGCTGATTTATATATAATCTCTAATCAAAATAATAAAATGTAAAACTAATCTTTCAAAACTATGATAATAGGTAAAATAGAGGAAAAATGTATTTAGTTCCAGCAATAGTCCTATGATGGAGTTCCACAACAAAAATACTTCAACCTTGACAAAAAAAAGTATGATTGTTCTAGCCAGTCTTTAATTTCTACCTACACCAGCAAGTAATCACAATCTCACAAGTATTAACATTAATAACTAGCAAAACTCAAACGGCACAATTTAAAATGTACAAATAATTAAAATTTAGATGTAATTGAAGAGTATATTTTTTTATCTTTGATCCTTATATTTAAACTTCAAATTTTTTAAAAATCAGAATGCTAATATAGCAGATTTTCTCAGTACATGTAATATACACATTTGTTATTGTATAAGTGATAAACTTTTCTGTAAAAGTCATATTGAAGAAGCAAGATAGACTTAGATCAGGTCTAACTAAAGTACTAACATCTAATTGAAAACAATATGATAAAACATTTTTCTTAGTCTTACAATTTTTATTATATTTTCTTCTTGTTTTGATGGCACTTTCCTAAAAGAACAAATTACATTATGACCACTAACTACAAACCTAATGTACAATTTACAATCACAATTCTTAACATTAATTGTAGTAATTTTAAACATAGATGCTTGTTTTCTTTTTAAGTTCGCCTTAACCGAACAACAAGTTTTACAATGTCTTCTACCTAGTACCTTTTGGTTCCTATGATTCAGGAACGGTACAACTTCATTTTCAGCTTGTTAATAACTCGCACGCTCTACCTCTTTGGTGTTTGCAAGTTGGAGGTCAAATCCAGGCTTACAAATTGCTTTTCAAGCCAAGCCTAACAAACAAGAAAAATTAATGAAATGATGCAAACGTAAACATGTGTAATTAGTCATTACAATAATAAAGTATACAATAGCTTGTGTGTCATTTTTTATCTTTGTCATCATCAATTAAATAAAAGTTTATAATTGAAATAATATATGTTAAGAGCACATAAATATTGGAAAAATTATGCAAAATTAAACTCAACCTTATATAAAATGTCAATTAATTATTCTTTTTATATAAGGTTTTAGTCGAGATGAAAAAGTGTCATGAGCAGGATTCGAACCCTCGACCTTTGATTCAATATGCTGCTGCTCTAACCACTCAATGAGCTATTGTGACTTATTTTTGGTACAATTTCTGGAGTGATGGGTAACTGAGATCTAATAGAAATAATGGAATACATCAACATTCAAACTAGCAACTAACACCTCCACACTCCAGCTGAAAATCTAAAATCAGGTTAAAACAACTACTTTTTCGATTTTTTAAAGATATTTTAGATGTTTCATCAGTTTAATAAAGATTATATTATAATAAAGATTATATTTAAATTTTGGGTAAAATTTCTGGAGTGATTGGTATCTGAGATCACGATAGCCCAATTGTTAGAGCAGCGGTGTAATGAGCCGAAGGTCATGGGTTCGAATCCCGCTCGTGACACTAACTTTTTCATGTCAACCAAGACCTTACATAAAAAAATAATTAACTGAAATAATTCGTATGGTCAATTATGACTATTAAACATAAATTTATTTTTCAAATATATTTCATTTTTTCTAAGATCTATTACATATTCACCACTTATTGAAGTTTTCTTGTAATTAATTATTTATTTACTTTAAAAATATTATTTTAACGTATAATTATTATGTTTTTCCATCCCATGTTTTAATTTTATAAAGTTTTATTGATTGACCAGTCTGTTAGACTCTTGTCTGTGTAAAGTCTATCTGAAGGTCAATCCATCTGGACTTTGTTTTAAGCATTTTTAGCCAGGGCCTGTTCTCACTCCTAAGCTAATTGTATAATGTATTATTTAGTCTATTAGTCTGACATTAGATGAAATTTTAATGGTTTAATTATTTCATTGTTCATTTGTAACTTGATTGTCACTTGTCATCCAGGTTTGCCCATTTTGGCTAGTCTGAACGCATTTCTGCATTATTTCACCTCCAGTGGTTGGCCTGTGTGCTGTTTTATCAATCCTGTCCTTTTAAAAGCTGAATTTCACAAGCAAACACTGAACTGTTACAAGCTTAAAGCTTTTTTTTTTTTTTAATTTTCACTATTAAAACCGTCACTAAAACCCCTAAGAAAATTGTCTAAACTGCAAAATTTTGATAATATTTTGTGTGTGGTAAAATTGTGAAGACTGTGAGGCTTCTCATTTTACAGAAATATGTCTTCAAGGACACATCCATAAACAAGTCATATAAAAAAAACTCAACTGGCCAAGCAACATCAACCAACAACTAAAGGTCCAAAATGAAAGAACATTTCTTACCATGATAAATGGAAATGACCAAGCTAGAGGTTCACACCATTGACTATATATTTGTTTCAAAATATGTGAATTTCTATAACAATCCATTTTTTCTTATATTTGCATAGGTTTTGAATAGTTAGTTTATCTATGTATAGCACTTCACAAAAGTTTTAAAGTTGTTTATTATTTTAACATTCGTCATCATTCCAAATGATTCTGTATAAATCATTTATTTACATAAAGAAAATATCAGGTGGCCAGAAAGTTTGTGCGGTGATTCATTTGTTAATAAACATTTCTATTTACATACGAGGATTAGGGGTTTACATCATGTGATACGAAGAAGACAATGCGTCAGTTTATAAAGAAAAAGTATCTTCACAGTAAATTATAAAATATTTTTTTCTTCTCATGGCTTCAAAACCAGCCATTCATGTGTGCTTATTAGATACGAATTTATCCTCAGCACTATGGAGACCAAGGCAATTCGTAAAATTCAGAGAAGAAATAATAAGTGAGCGGAGTACCTAAAAGTGGTTTCAAAAGTTTGCTTTTGGGAATGAGGGGATTGAAGGCCGGTAGACCTTCCTTAAATGATGCGAATTGAGGGAAGCTATCAAACTTGTTGGATTGCCATATGCGACAGAAAATGGATCCTGTACAGTCATCCTGTCCCAATGATGCAAAAATCGCATATCCACCAACAAAAGCTGATGCTTTGTGTTTGGTGGAGTTTGGCAGGCAATGTAAAAATACGATGCCACATGGCCAGATCATCACCACAAAAATCCACTTAAATGAAAAGGTGGAATTTTCCACCAGGACAAAGTGAGACTTCACACAACCAGAACAATAAAGGTGATAATGAACTTGGTTTGGGAAGTCGTTCCACACCCTCTGTACTGTCCATTTCTGGCTCCAACTGATTTTCACCTTTAAATGGACAATCATATGCGCAATCAAGAGTTTGATAATGGCCAACGGCTGAAAAAGAGCTGAATTTAAAATTCTTGGACCCAAACTTTTATAAGGACTTAACTAGGCCAGGAACTCAGAAGAAGGTTATAGACTATTTCCCTGAATATTTCTAAACTGTAATTGTGACAAATTAATAAAACCCTTCAAACCAGCATGAACTCTTCTGGTAACCTGGTAATTTATATCGATTTCACAGTTTTCTTTAGGTTTAAAAAGACAAGAACAATCACGAAAGATCTGTGAGGTGATAAAATTATTGTTCGTTCATTCTTATTACCTATTCATACTGGTTTTGTCTGTCAAGTGCTTTTTATCTTTTTTGTAGTATTTTATCTTCAGTCAAGACACTTATAAAAAGCACTTTACAGAAAGCAGGAGAGTTACAAAATAACACTGAACATAGCCAAATATCTCAATGCCTCTGGAAAGACAAGCCAGGGTGATCGGTTTTGATCAAGCTACATATTGAACAATGATTTAGGTTCATTGATTTGTATGTATTTTCATTTTTTATTGCAAAAACTTTTCAAATTGAAGTATTTATGATTAAAAATTTACAGATGAAGGAATATAAAAATGTAATCAAGTGGTCACATAATAACATTGTTAATTTATATTTGAAAAAAAAAAAAACTTACCTGAAGGAAAAATACAAACAAGTAAATTATTAACAGATTAGTTTAAAAATAAAATAAATGCACTGGAGCCAAAAAAGTTGCATTGAAAAGAATAGTATCATATTAGATAAAAAGTGATAAGCCAATACCTTCAAAGACCTTTACGGTCAAACATTTGACCTTATAAAATACTATTCTTTGTATGAAATGTAAAAAATTAATGTGGAGAGCTTGAAAGGAAGCATGAAAAAAGGTGCAAAATAATAAGTTAAAATAAAAGCTGAAAGCATTCAAAATAAGTTTATTATTTGTTTTGATTTTGGGTTTCTAAGTGACAAAAATAATTATAAAACTAACAATATAAACAAGTTGGATGTTTAGTATTTTCAATTTTTCATGGTAACAGTTTATTAGATGAGGATTATAAAATCTAATTGGTTTCAAGCAAGGAGAAAATAAAATAAAAATTACATGCAGCATTTCACAAACCAGTGCTAGGCTTATACCAGAGCAATATCACCGTAAATAAAATAAAAACAAATGTTTAAAACCAAACCAACAGAGCATAAATAATATAGAACAAACAAAAAATTAAACAGAAATATACCTAATATTGAAGGTCAGACTAGTTAAACAAGTCTGATCACCAATTGACTGAACAACTTAAGGAAGAAAATAGAGATACAACTACAATTTAATAACTAATATTCTACATTATACAAGACCACTAAACAGTTTTAACTAATAAATGGTACTAAATCAATATATAGTAAAAAGAGGAGAGAAAAATTGGCACAAAATGGTATACTCAAATTCCTGCCACTGCAGATAACACTTACTGGTGAACAGGGTGGTCTCTAAGGGAGTCAACAAGTTTTTCTGCCTTGATGGTACCTATGCAGATCTTGTGAACGGTTGTGAAAAGTGGGAACCTAAACAAATTTATATTAACATTGTACGTTTGACTTTTTGTATTATAAAATTTACCTTTCCTCAGCATTTTTATATTTGAGGAACACGTTGACCTCTTCTGCAGTGATTGGCCCTTGCAACTTTTGCCCATTCAGCATGTCTCGTTCCAAAACCGCCAGGGGCTGAATAAATTACAGCTTAGCATTCAAATTATAGCTGGTAACTTATATTATACTCACTTTCGCTGATTTGACAAAAGCCTCGGCAATCCTCCTGTTACGCCCACCGTAACAAGTGGTGACAAGATCAGCAATACCACAGCTTTCAAAGAACGTTGAAAGGCGCGAGGTCGAGTGGAACAAGTTGACAAAGCTGATCATTTCCATAAGACCCAGTCTAATGATTGCAGCCTTTGTATTGTCTCCTAGTAGCAATCCATCGCAAAACCCAGCAGCGCAAGCAACGATGTTCTAAATTAAAAAAAGAACAGTATCAAAATGGATATCTTTAATAATAAGTTTATTTTAAATTGTGAGTATATTTCTTTTAGATAAAATGTTAATACAGCATTAATTAAATGGTACTTACTTTCAAGGCACCGCAAATTTCAACTGTCTCAGCATCATCGACAATGCTAACTCTGAAGAATGGTGTTTCGAAAAGTTCTTTTAACATTCCATTGTATTTTCTGTTCTTGCAGCCTAAATAAAATTTCATGTAACACACCGTGAACAATTAGATATAAAGAATGCAACTAATTCACACCAATGGTTGTCTCGCAGAACTGCCCGTCTGCGACTTCATTTGCTAGGTTTGCCCCCATCAGTACACACACTTCTATTTTGAGCATATCGTGTATTAAGTGTGAAATGAGCTCGATACTGCCCGATTCAGTCTTTTCAAATCCCTGGAAAAATCCCAATATTCACCATGTAACCGGTGTACAAACAATAAAAGGAGAAATCTTCAATTTTTCTCGCCCTCTCTTTCTCTCGACTAACCTTTATCAGGGAGATGGCGATTGTTGTCGGCTTGACTAGTCCACTCAAACACGTGCATATTGTTTTAACATATTGATGTGGAATCACAAAGATGAGAATGTCAGCATCCATTGCAGCATTTTCAAGTGAGGGTACTGCAACCTAGGAAAAAATTAATTAATTTAAAAAAATGCAAGTATGATGGTGCCCAATAGCAATTAAAATATTGGTAAGTGATGGTTTGAATCAACACGTGTGTAAATAAATTGATTAGTATGTTGAATATTGTATTATTATGTTAATTTAAATTCCAAAACTCGAGTAAATTTTTGGTATTATGCTGAGATAAAACAAATTTAACGATAAGCTGATTATCTAAACTAAAAGGTCTTAGTGGCTAATTTACTCGTGTTGATAACTGAAGGAATTTGCTGAGAAAATTGTTGGCAACTGATAAATTTTTATCATAAAAATGAAATGAACAGTGAGTCCTTCTCACAGTCCTATGATTTGGAAGAGACCAGCTCTGTTTTCTTCACCCTAGGCAACTTGTGGAATCAACATCTCCTTCCAACAAGTGGTCAGTATGATGTTAGATCCCGAGGAAGAAGGAACACTTAATACTCTTCTGCAAAAAAGAAAAAAAAAGAGGAAACCCAGTCAAAAAAGCCTTCTCACTACTTCTACCATGCCGATTCCCACTAAGCTTACACTTTTTAATTTTGTCGTGGTACTCCTCACACTTCATGTCCCATATCGCAAGGCCAATTCTAATATACTCATTAAACTGTTCCGCATTGAAACTTGCAATGACAACGTTTTCTATGGTGAACTCAGTTAATTCAAATAGATAATGAAGGACGAATGCTGAGTTGTGCCTTTTGAGTTGAGTCAACCAGTGAGGATGACGTGAGCAACACTTGTGCCTACCTAGGTGGACGAGTCGCATGTGAAGGAGTACTGAACACTTCAGTCAGTTCCCAAGCTTTTGCAAACTTCACTCCTTGATACCCTTCGTTTAACTATTTGAGACAACTAACTGCCTCGTCCGACAGTCTAATTTTTTTATACAACCAAGTGTTAACAAAGAAAATAAACATTCTAGAAAGTAAATTTGTAGAAACGGTTGTACAACCAGGCATACATTGTATAAGAGAACCTAAGAGTCAAACGATTCTTTAATTCTGCTTCCTGTTTTGGTGCTAAGGGATAAAAACTGCAATTATTTGATAGTTGAAAAAAAAAATTAAATAAACTTTTAAACCACGCCAACAAGTAAGACAAGACAGCCTCGCCCAATTTGGCGTCAGTGTACTTAATTGAACACTTAATAATAAATGTCAACAAGTTTTTCGCATTAGACCTTGTATTTCTGATAATAATCAATAAATTTGTAATTTAAGTTATTTTCAAATAAAACAGCAGAAAAATGTCCTAGTAACGTTATTTTTGTAGTAGGGTCGTTACCGACTATTTTGTCTTGACAGTCCTAATTGTTTTTGTCTGCCAAAATACACGAACATCACCCTAAGGTAATTGCTAACTATTATTATTTTTGCTTGTTTAATAGGTATAGGTATAGGCAATAGGTGTTTAATAAATAAGAACCACGAATAAATCTACAAAATATAATTAAATTATTAGTTCGTTTTACTGCAAGAAAAACTTTAAGGAAACAAATATACAATGAATCAATACAAGAAAACCGATAATCTTTGCTTCCTGTTCGGCTTTTTTTAAAGGCCCGTGCCGTTATTTAGTCAGAAAAATATGCAGGAATAGTTCTTTCATTAAATGAATTTCTATTTGTACAAAAACATAAGAAAAATATTTGGAAAATGTGGTGAAAACTGTTTGTAGAGTTGTAGAAATTGGTTTGTCGAGTACTTTCGATGGTAAATATCGTTTCAAAACGGCCTTTCTCGAGTAAATTAGTTTTGCTTCCTCCGGCCGACATAATTTCTGGACTGGTCTACACATATTGTCCTTCGGGCCATTATCTATTGACAAATATTTCTATTTAAACGTTCCTTCCTTTGTCATAAAGTCAAGGCTGACATGGGGAATAAAGCAGCTTATGTTATTCTTTTGATGGTGCCTTTTCTTTTGTTTCACATCGGTTGCTAGGAGGCTTTCCGATACTTTCGCCATCAGCTTAATGATTAATGAAATGTCAATGAAATCAATCTATTTTTAACGGGCAATTTTTCTTTGAGTTGTAGCGTTAGTTTAGAAAAGCACGATGTTTATAATTTAAATTTCACGTTGAATTTGTTTCATCATTCTGTGTTAAGCTAATGACTAAAGAATAGAGCCTGCAGTTTTATACTGTTGCATATTCTTTGTACTAACACTTATGACCACGGTAGTCACATAATCCGAATCATACATATATGGTACGGTGATTCAAATTTTATTCTACATATTTTTGCATATTTGAAAAATATTAAATTTGCATATGTAAGTATATTGTGGCACTCTTAACACGACACACAAGAATGACACATCTACACGGAAAACAAACACTTTGAGCCCTGAAGATGATCTCAATGAAGATCGAATTTAGTGTATATAAATCCGGGTTCTACCAATGAGTAATACACACAACCAGAAAAAATGGAAACAAGGACATTTCTATTTTTGTATACAAAGAATCCGATATTTTGTCATGTGTCAACATTTCTTTTGTCAATAGAAAATTCAGGCTGAATCGGCGGAAATGTAAACAAAATGATGCGAAAGAGATGGTGTTCAGATGACATCACAATAAAATCAAAATGGTTCTCACCTACCAAGGATAAGAGCAACAAAGAAAATAAGAAACAAAAGGATGTTGTGAATGACTTAAAACTTGACTGACAGATTGCAGCAGAATATAAACTAACTATCCTACGTGAAAAACTAACTAAAACTAAAAAAATACAAATTTTTTAAAATATAATTAGAACATTTGTGTCCATAGTGTTACAGAGAAAGAATTATGAAACGTTCTAGTTGTTTTTTGGGATACCAGGTTGTTGACCAATAGAGTTGATCTCATAACAACTTGAAACACGACTTATAAGTTTAGATTTCTAAAAAAAAATAACAGGACAATTCAAAGTAAAAAAATGCAAATGTGAACTCCACCTTCGAACCTAATCCAAGGTTCAAAACCTGTTCTAAATGCATATAATCAAATCGCCCTTCCTTTCACAATCTAGAAATGCCAATTAAAAATTAATGTACGCATTTTATTCCTTACGGTTTTTTATGCTTGGTGGGGGGGGGGTTGAATAAGGATTTAAAAAATCCTTTTCTCCGACTTAGGAAAATGCGCGTTTTCCTTTAAGCCTAAGCACTTTCCTCGGTGCCACTTCGCGCACCTGTTTTGGTGTGAGGATTGCCCTACCGAAATGCAGTACCATAACCAGGCTTATACTCGACATTCACAAAAGACATGTGCCGATGTCTCTGGTTCGTCCTGACTGTCATGTTTCTGTCTTTGCTTTACCCATCTTTAGGTGCTTGTTAAGAGGGCAGTGGTCGGTATATAGGACTATATTTTTTCCCAAATCCTGCCTGCTGAGAGAGAGAGGAGTTCCTTTGTCATTCTTCTTGATTATTTATAAATCTTTTAGCTTGCCTCATTCCCGGTGCTCAAGTTTCTCTGTCTCAAGTAATTTTCCTGTTTCAGCTTAAGCACTGGTCCACCAATGGTTCTGGGTCCCATGGTTGAGCATGCTGCTTCTTTGGCTAGTTGGTCAGCCTGTTCATTCTATACGACCATGTCCCGGAACCCATTTTAATCTTGTTGTCTTTTCCTAGAGAGCCATTAGGCAATTAATGCCTCCCAGTCAAGTTTGGAATTGAAAGGCATTTAATGCCTTTACGGCTGTTTAAGAGTATGTAAATCTGTGCACCTTTCATATTTTTCTTCATTACTCACGTGCACAAAATTTTCCTTACAGCTTATTAAATTATGAATCCATTTCAGGGCCAAGAAATAAATATATATAATGCCATGGAACTTTCACTCATATAGTTTGAGATTTCGATAAAACTAGGTCACACGAGTTTAAATTAACCTTTTCTAATTAATCATATAGATTTATTGTTATCTAAACCCACTGGTAGTTAAAGAAGTCAATTGGAAGATAATGCCCCTGATTCGTAGACTATTTTCTCGTTAACATTTAAGAAATGGTAAGAGATAATTTTGTTAACATAATTTAAGGGATACAAATCTGGTTAAATAACTTGAGAGTAGCGTCTGATCATATCTAAAGGCATAAAACATATAAGTCAAAGTTGAAGCGAGGTCGCAAACCGTTAACCACCCAGATTAGACAAGAAATTAGACGTCATACGACCTAGGCTAATTAATTCTGTCAACAACAAAACAAATCGTACCAGTCCTTGACAGCAGCGAGGCAATGCAATCAAGAATTAAAAAGAGAAACGTTATCAATCATTATCACTACGGAAATTACAGATAACGAAATAAATTCCTTATTTAAAGAGTTTTAATTTCTCAATGCACACCTCTAATTTACGATAAAAACTCTTTGGCAATGGCACCTATATAAATAGCATATATAAACTCGTGAATGATAATGAAAACTTCAATACATAAAAATAAAGGGAAAAACAAATGATAAAACTTAGAATTCACAAACAACAATTGTGAACGAAAAATGAAAATTAGAACAGCTAAAAATTAGAGAAAAATAAGACAAGATAATAAAACAAGTTTGATTCCGTTGAACATTTTTAAAATAGTTGGCATACGAATGGGCTGTTTTTTTAAACAATAAAAATAAATAAATTAAATTAAATTAAAATAAAGAAGCGAAAAAAGAGAGTTGGATATCGAATGAAAATATTTGCTTGAAAATAGATATCTTTGCTCTTTCATATATGTGATATGTGTTATTGATAAAAACGAAATATATTTGCGTGAAAGGCTTATCCACAATTACCCCGAGGAATATCGAGTACTCTGGGGTAGTATGAACAAATTGTAGTGTATGATGTAATTTATTAGCGTGAATGGAGGGCTTATCCTTAAATGCAACGAGGAATATCGAATACTGAGATGGTGTGAATGTAATTTATTAGCGATATTTATTACTCTCAACACGACGCAAGAATGGCACAATTACACAGAAGACAAACACTTTGAGCCCTGAAGATGATCTCAATAAAGATCGAAACGTTGGCATGATAAAGAAAATGTTTTTCTGAAACCTACATCACACCAGACCGCATCTCACGATTTCTGAATAATTAAGTAATTTATTAGCTTGAATGAAAGGGCTTATCACCAATTATCCCGAGGAATACCGAGTACTCTGGGGTAGTATGAACAAATTGTAGTGTGTGATGTAATTTATTAGCGCGAATGGAAAAGCCTATCTCTAATTAACCCGCGGAAGATCGAGTACTCTGGGTTAGTGAGGACGAAGACTGGTTTGTGAATGCAATTTATAGCGCGATTGTTGTGCTCATCCCCATTTACTACGAGGAACATCGAGTACTCTGGGGTACAGTGAATGGTAACCGGAGTGTGCGTTTTTATTTATTATGTTTGTGTATGTGTTTGTTATTTGTGCATTAAAAAAAAAAAACAGTCGGTTACCGTTACAAAAACTGGCTGAAGAAACATTAAAGGAAATTAGAAGGATTACAACGCGAGAAAGAGAGGGAAAGAACTGAGGGGACGATGACCATTGTAGGTCCTGAAATAAGTCAGGACATTAAGAAAAAGTTCGGTTCCATTGTACTAAATTTTAAAGATAGTTTGAATTTTAAAGAAAATTAATTGCTAAAGTATGTAAAAACTGAAAATTAGAAAAAATAAGAAGGCAATAAGACACGCAAGAGAGTTCCATGAAGCTGGTCATTTTAAGCCATAAATCAATTCATACAATCAAGTTATGACAAGTTTTTTTTTTAATTAAAGAAAAATACGATAAGACCACCAAGACAAAGTTTATATTCATTTTCAATAACAACCTAACGAAGAAAAATAAGAATAACAAAATTATCCAGTTATGATTTTTTTGTTAATTAGCGAAAAATAAGATAATAAGGCCAACAAAACTAAGTGTGAATACATTTTTAATAACAACCTATTGAAGAAAAATAAGAATAACAATATTATCAAGATATGCTAATTAATTTTTTTTAAATTAATATATAGAAAAATAAGATAATAAGACCACCAGCAAGAAAAAGTTTGACTCCATATTTAATAACAACCTGTTGAAGATAAATAAGAATAACAATATTATCAAGGGACGGTAATTAATTTTTTTTAATTAATATATAGAAAAATAAGATAATAAGACCACCAGCAAGAAAAAGTTTGACTCCATATTTAATAACAACCTGTTGAAGAAAAATAAGAATAACAATATTATCAAGATACGATAATTAATTTTTTTAAATTAATATATAGAAAAATAAGATAATAAGACCACCAGCAAGAAAAGGTTTGAATAACATTTTTAATAACAACGTATTCAAGAAAAATAAGAATAACAAAATTATCAAGTTATGATTATTTTTCTTAATTAGCGAAAAATAAGACCAACAAAACTAAATTTGGATCCATTGTATGACAGTTTTAAAAATAGTTGGCGTTGACACGGCGCTCATCACTGTAAGTCAAAGGTCCCGGGATCGAATCCAGTGGCCCTGCATTTTAACACGAAATACAATTTTTTTTTCAAAAAACCGGCAACCCCCATCCTCTTTGCTGTTGCGAACACTCGTAAAAAAATAATATAAAATAGTTGGATGTTGAATGACAATGAATTAGTAAGCGATGTAAAGACAGAAAAGTACAATAACTAAAAATTAGAGAAAAATGAAACAAGATCATAACACCAACAAAACAAAATTTCATCCATTTTAATACCATTTTAAAATGAAATGTAAAGTGAAAAGTAAAGGACGTAAAGAAGAAAAACTACAATAACTAAATATAGGGGGAAAAGATAAGAATATAAACATAAAAACACGAATAAATAAATAAAAAAATTGAAATTTTGTTTTTATTTATTCAACAAGAAACCTGAAAACAACTCAAAAACCCTTTGTTATTTTTATAATTCCCGATAGTCCAAGTCCCCCTGGTCTCGTTATTACAAGCAAATCACTTATTTTCTAAATTCTGTATCAACAAAATTCATATCGACTATCAGTATGATTCAACTTCTGAAAATCCGTAGTTTTTACCAAATTAGTTTAGAAATTTCCCAGGCGTACTATTTTTTTGGATTATCATTATTATTATTAAACGTTATTATTTATTTCACAGTTGGGTTAATAAAAGATTATGGTAGGTATTTAGCCACCTTTCTTTCCCTATTTCATTAGATTGATTAGACATTAGATTTGTTTTTTATTTTTTTAGGTATGTGGATCAAACCTTCAAAACATATTTTATACGTATTTCCGCTAAATCCATGGAATTCAAGGTTTATTTGGCGATTTTACAGCATAAAATCCAAGTGTAATTTCCGACGAATGTTACAACTTAAAATAGATTTTGTTTGCTTACTAATTGAAACGCCTCCATGCCAACTTGGCATTTCCAGGAAATGTTTATATTTGTTTATTAATAAGTATAATTTGTTATGTTGTACCTGTCGACAAAGCAGCATTAAAACATTTTAAACCTGATCAATTTATATAAAACAACTAAATATAGTTTTTTAGACGGGTAATTCGGTTTTGCTCAGGCATTGATTTTACAGAATGTACAACGTAATGAAATTTTCTGTGGGATAAATAAAATCAGTTCCTGTCTGAAAGAGAGGAAAAAAACCAGGGCATTTATTTCAACAATAATAATTAGAAAAATTGATCAAATATCAGGGATTTCTGTGAAGAATCGATCGCTTAACTTTATAAAATTGAATGTCAATCAACACTTTTTCCAGAGGAGAGTTTTCTAAATCTGTTTTTCAATGGAAAATCTATAATTTTTAACTTTCATTTTATTGGAAGCAGGAGTCGATTTATTTCTAGTAATCGTGTATAACAAATTAAATATATATAGAATCAAAATTACCAAAAAGTAAAAGTTTTTTTATATATATTCACCCAACAGGAAAATATATGAAATGATTTGTTGGGGAGGAAATGCATTGAAATGTTAGAATCCTTACCACCTTAAAATGTTATACACTGTTTTAAAAAATGGCTAAAAAAAGTTTTCAGAATCGAAATGTGTGAATCAAATAGCACTTTTTTTAAATTGATACTTTTAGCAGTGGATAAACATTTTTTGAAATGCTGTTATGCATAGTTTCTACGATTAGAAACGATTTATTAATAAGAAAAATTTCTACAGACAGGCATATTTTAAAATGTTTTAATTAATTATTTCTTTAAACTAATTAATACATTTTAGAACAGTGAATATACATTCTGTAACTCGTTCTGCACGATTACTCAAAATGGAAAATGCTTTTAAGCAAAAACGAAAACAGACTGGAAATTTAAACAAAAAAAACTGTTTAAAACTGAGTACCAATTTATGTTGTTTGATTAAATATGGAATTTTTAAATTAATTATTTCTTCAAACTAATCAATAAATTTTAGAACAGTTAATACATTCTTTAACTCGTTCTGCACGATTACTCAAAATAGAAAATGCTTTTAAGTAAAAACGAAAAGAGACTGGAATTTAAAAAAAAATCGAAACTTTAAAACTGAGTACCGAATTTATGTTGTTTGATTCAATATGGAATTTTTAAATTAATTATTTCTTCAAACTAATCAATAAATTTTAGAACAGTTAATACATTCTTTAACTCGTTCTTCACGATTACTCAAAATAGAAAATGTTTTTAAGTAAAAACGAAAAGAGACTGTAATTTAAAAAAAATTGAAACTTTAAAACTGAGTACCGAATTTATGTTGTTTGATTCAATATGGAATTTTTTAATTAATTATTTCTTTAAATTAAGTAATAAACTTTAGGAGTGTGAATAAATATTCTTTAACCCGTTCTGCACGATTACTCAAAATGGAAAATGCTTTTAAGTGAGAAAAACGAAAACCGACTGGAATTTAAAAAAAATTGAAATTATTTAAAACTGAGTAACAAATTTATGTTGTGTGCAATATACATTTTTTAAAATAATAAATTCGTTTTTTAAAATTAATTAATACATTTTAGACAAGTGGATAAACAAATTTAACTCCCGCTCAGTTACTCAAAGTGGAAAGTGTTTTTTTAACTGAGAAAAAAACGACTACAGACCGGAAAATTTTACCAAACTATTTAAAACTTGGTACAGAAGTTTTTTTTTTTAATAAACTTGCACTTTTTATTTAATTTGTGTTATTTGAGTACTGTATTATTATTTTTTTTTAGCTTGTTTTGCACAGTTCCCAAATTGGAAAGAGATTTTAAGAAAACGAAAAGCCTTTTCAGACGGGCGAATTTTTTTAGTTGTTAAAATAAATTTGAGTTGTTGAAAATGAGCACCAAAATTTTTTATCTTGAGAATCCTTGCACTTTTTTATTGATATATTATTTGACAATTTTTTTATTTTATCATTGCTTTTATGGTGTGAATCAACTTGAACTTTTTTCTTCGCAGAAGTCTATATGTTACTTTTTTTGTACTTACAACGTTTGCTGGCAATTTCCTCCCTGGCAGGTACTTGACGTTTTCGTGTTCGTTGTTGATGATGTCGCTCAGCTTCTGTCCGTCGACTATTTCCTCGTAGACGTACATGTTGACCGTCTGGTTGAACGTGTTGAGGGCCTTCATCGCGTTTGTGCCGACGATCATCGCGATAGCGGATCCCCTGGGATGAAAAGCTTCCGTGAAACAAAAAAACCCATCCCATCAAATAAAAGCTGCATACGAACCCACCAGTTTCCAGAGCCGATAACGCAAATCTTTTTCGGTGCCATGTCGATGGGCTGTTCGTGGCGAAATTCGGGCTGGAAGCAAAAAAGTCACGCTACTCGCCGTCCCGTTCCAAAGGAAAAAGTGCCTGTTGTTGCTTCGGGTCTTGAGTTCTGAGTTCTGACTCTTGGGAGTTATCAGGGACGTTTGGTGTGTTGGTGGGAGGGAGTAAAGTCCACATGTTGATAAGCAAAAGCCCATTCCCGCCTCCATCACTACCATGATTCAAATACTACTAGCATTCTCTACTTTAAAACCTTCTCTTTTATTACAAACCCTTCTAAAATAATATAATGTGGATTCATTCTTTTCTAAACAAAATAAATAAGATTTAGGTATCTAAAAAACGCCGAACGATCGCGTTGCCTCGGTGTGGCCGGATTAAGAAAACCTCAAACGGTGACAAAGGTAATTTTTTTTCTCATTTAAATCAATTTTAATAATTAGTTTCTATGTATTCTTTCTGAAATATACAAAGTACGCTATACTCCCGCTTTTCTAAACGATTAGGGAAAACAATAGGAATTCAGCTTCCTCAGAAGTATTCCATTGCTTCAGGATGACAACATTGATTTTTATTTATTTAACGGGCAGCCATACCCTTTATTTAAATGAACAAAATATAAAAAGTAACAGTTTACAATGTAAACTAATATTTACAATAAAATGATATAATGTAGAATGGATAGAAAAGTACTATTATAAAATCTAGAAGCAATAAAAATTAAAATAATCAGACTGTATCTTGGGCCCTCTTTCTGATTCTTAGAGGAAACAGGGTTGTTTTATTGTATGTATACAGTAATAATAATTTTGTATCCCTACCATCTGTTGAGAGTGAATGTATTTATTTGCGTGAATGTGTAGTGCGAGGGCTGATGGAATATTGAGTACTCTGACCCTCAATTATATTAGTTATATAGTCGTAAAATTCCTAGCTAGGAGTATGGAGTACTCCACTACTCTAACTGAGTGCACGATATGAAAATATAAAAGAATATATTTATGAGGGAGTGAAAGGGTTTGGTTTTAGTAACTGATTCCGTTGGGGGCTGATATGACCTAACTGTTATTAGTCCCCGAGCTCAATGTCAGTGGCTAAATGATGTCTGATAAGACAGAAGTCTGACCCTGGACTACACCGAGGGTGGGTGATTCTCGAGGCCTGTTGGTAATACATTGTAAAGTACAAAAGTTGATATTGTCCAGTGGACTGTGAGAAGTGATGGGCTCAACTAGTTTAGGAGTGTACATATGAACATGCATGTGCAGATTTAAGCTTATATAACTCAATAATACAAATTAGTATAGTAAAACTCTATTAAAAATATTTAAAAACGTGAACATACATTAAAAATTATCATAACTAAAAAATAATAAAGATTATAATACATTTGAAAATGTTACAACAAAAGGTAAAAATATTTAAAAACAATACCAAACTATACAGAACACCAAGATCACTAAAGCTCTTAACTCTATTTAGAGGAGTGCCATCAATTTTATCAAAAACAGAACTTTTTATTGCCCTTGAAATAACTCATTACATTTCATTTGGTAATGTTCAATTTAAGAGAATTATCATTGCACTGTGAAACTAGTTTATCAACGTTTCAGTGTAGCAGATTGGTATCACCAAAATTTTCAACTATTCTAAAAAATTTAGATCATCTGCATAAAGTAGAAATTTGACATCATCAAAAGCTGGTATTTTCCCAGTAATATACAAGTAGATGTCCAATACAAGATCCCAAGTAATGGTATCTTGGATTTTATGGTACAGTATTTAAATTGAATAGTCCAGTCAGGCAATAAAACAGTACGTACTGCAATAGTAGTACATTATGTGATATGTACATACATATACAGGACATTATGTGTTATTTTATCAGATAGTAGAAGTGCATTGGATGCTTTAGTAACACACACAAGTCACAACGTCAACAACCATTTAATCTGGGAAAATAAAGCATTGTTAAAAAATGCTCAAGAGAAGTGTATGAGAGTGGAATTTATGTGGATTCTGGTGTACTGCGGGATCTTAGGTAATGAGAAGGTGGACCCGCTTGCGAAGGAGGCTACATCAAGTGGTTTATAAAAGCGGAAGAGGTTTATACATTATGCTCCCATATTCGAATTTGTACTGTGTAGCGAAAAAAACAGAATGTGGAGGGATGGCAATGTTGGTGTGAGGAAATAGGAAAGGGTTTAGTCTATAAAGGGATGTTCCCCAACATATCATTGCAAGCTTGGTTTTCGGCATGTCCAAAGTATACTCAGCAACGGGAAGAAATGTTTCAGGAAGTAAAGTCAAAGATTAACAATAAGCCAGTAGAATATGTCAGTTTATTGAAGTCTCAATCAGTGGAGGCATTCTAGGCATGCCAATTAATGCCACTACTCCAAAGTATAACTTTACAAAAAAGTACAAAGTACTGATAGCAGAACGGGAAGAATGGGCCAAAGGAACACCACTAAAGGCAAACTTCTACTGGTATACTGATGGCTCCAAAACCGACAAGGGTACAAGAGCTGGGGTCTTGAGGATGAACATCAAGACCAAACGACAGTAATCCTAGGTAAATATGCTACAGTTTGCCAGTCTGAAATCATGATTGAACAATGTGGCATAGAAATAAAAAGGCTAGGAATACATTCCCAGGAAGATAGCCATTTTCTCTGACAGCCAGGCAGCACTGAGGGCCCTAGCCTTGTGCGAGGCAAAGAGTGTTTGAAAGTGCATGGAAGCCCTGACAGAAGTCAGTGACACTAATGGCCTGACCCTGGCACGGGTGCTTGGATATTCGGGGCATAGAGGCCACAAAAAGGTTGACATGTTGGCCAAAAAGAAGGCCAACATGGACTCTCTGGGCCCAGAACCCTACTGCGGCTTAGCAGCCTGCCAGAAAAGAGGATGCATCCTAAAAGGGATCCTTAATGAGTCCAAAACCTGGTGGAAAATATCACAGGTATGAGGCACGCAAAGAGATTCATAGAAGGACCATCCGCAAAACTTACAAAAGAATTACTGGAAAGCAACCGCAACCGAACCAGGATTCTGGTTGGACTCTAGGGCACTGCCATTTAAGAAAGCACATGCACTGGATAGGAGTACAGAAGAAACACTGGGCAGATACAGCCAGGAAGATGTAGGTACAGGTTGTGGCAACCAGGACAAGAAAAACAACAAGCAAGATCATACATCAAGCAGCCGCTGGCAAAGCTGTGGAGGCTGGTTAGTTACCTGAATCTGGCCAGTGAGTTATATCATGGGAGCACAATAGATCTATTCAGATCGAGGTGCAATAGGCCTTGAAGCCACCTCTTTTATCCCTATACCTAGTTCAGTGTAACTATAAAGTCATGCAGTTTAACTGAAGCATGTTCCACGTATTTGTTTAGCTTCTTGTAATAAATATTGTAAAATTAGTGGTTTTCTTCCTTTTTGATTTGTGTACTTATAACTGTTCAGTCAGATACTAGTTTTTACAGTACTATGATCGAACAGTAACAAGATAATATAGTTGAATACTTAGGAAAACCTATGTACAAATATTTAAAATAATTAAAACTATTAATTTGTGAGCATTATAAAATATTCTTCATCTTATCGAATGCTAAGAACTGAATAATTATTGAAACATAATTAAACATTACAAAACATAGTACTTTAGTACTATACTAAGATAAAAAAATATAATACTGAAGATCTCACTGAAACAGCGAAAATAGGCGGACCAAGTGATGAGGCATGCATAAACTAATAGATCGATAGATTAGCAGATTCGATAAATCGAGGATAATCCTGTTAGATCAACTCCACCCTGATGTTTTGTTTGTCATGAGCACTAGTTTCAAAATGAGCTGGACCTGTACTAAATATAGATGATGTTTATTTTTAAATTGAATGCCTCTCGGAGGTTCTAGATTGTTCTTTTAAGTTTTTTAATGCGGCGTGGACAAGAGGCAAGTTTATTCTCGTATTATATACTGAAGTAATAAGACAATACAGAAATGGAAACTGGCGTTATTACTGAAGGAGTGGAGTATATGACTCTTAAGGAAGAAGGTAACAAAGCCTTCAAGGATAATAAATGGGAGGAAGCGTTGAAGCACTACAATTCGGCCTTAAAACACGTGCCGGATTTTTCCACAGAGAAAGCCGTCATCTTGAAGAACCGTGCAGCTGTTTATTTGAAACTCGGCCAGTTCAACAACGCTGTCGAGAGCTGCACCAGTTCCCTGGATATCGTCCCTGACGACCCGAAAGCACTTTTCAGGAGGTGCCAGGCGTTGGAAAGCTTGGAGAGGTTCGAGGAGGCGTACAGGGATGCGAGGATGGTGCATAAGGTCGACCCGACCAACAAATCGATCCAACCATTTCTAACCAGGTTGCACAGCATCGTAGAAGAACGGAATACGCAGAATATTCAACTGGAGAACAAGGTGCAACAGATGTTTCGATATGTATTTGACATTGCCGCAGATAAAGATAAGCGAATCAAAGCTGTCTCAAATTTAGTTGTCCTCAGTAAGGAAGCGAGTGGGTGTAAAGCTTTGCTTTCAGCAGGTGTGGTGGAAAAAATCTGCCAACTACTTAAGGTTGAAAAATTAGAGGAGATCATCTTGGGTTGTATCCGGACTGTTGGCCAAATCTGCAAGCAGGATGCACCGAATACAAAACGAGTCATCTCGGTTTTGGGTATACCCTGGTTTCTCGATATGATCAATAATAGAAACGAAGAGCATGTGAATGCAGCGCAATATTGCGTACAAGCTATCATATGCAGTCTTACAGGTATTGGCATGACCAAGGACAAAAAACCCGATCCTGAATTACTTCAAGAATATAAAACAGAGATTGATACCTTGTTGACTTGTCTTTTATATGGTTGCACTAGCAGATCAATTACCGGTATTGCTAGAGATGCAATCATCCAGTTGATTTCGAGGAATGTGCATTATAAAGCAATTAATTGGGCAGAAGAGCTTGTCAAGATTAAAGGGTTGCAGAGATTGATGGAAGTCGCCAGTGAACTGCAGGAATTCAAGTATGAATCAGCGATGGAAATTACAGAATCGACGAGATATTTGACTTCGGTATGTCTAGCGAGGATATATGAAAATATGTATTATGATGAAGCAAGAGCCAGATTTTTAGAAAATATAGAAGATTTCGTTAAGTCGAAACTGATCACACCAGAGATCGAATCAAAAGTACGGGTAGTAGCAGCACTGACGACGTTACTTCTTGGAGCTTTAGATGTAGGCAACACGATCATTTCAAAAGACGGTATGTTGCAAATGATTTTGGTAATGGCTGGAACTGATGATGTCTTGCAACAGAAAGTCGCCTGTGAATGTATTATTGCAGCTGCGACTAAAAAAGACAAAGTAAAATCAATAATATCCCAAGGGGTTAACATTTTGAAACAATTGTATCACTCGAAGGACGACGGCATCAGAGTGAGGGCGTTGGTCGGTTTGTGTAAGCTTGGCAGTTCAGGAGGAACAGATGCTTCCATCAGGCCCTTCGCAGACGGTGCAACTTCAAGACTTGCTGATGCGTGCAAGAAGTTTTTGATAAACCCTTCTAAAGATAAAGATTTGAGAAGATGGGCTGCTGATGGCCTTTCATATCTAACTCTTGATGCTGATGTGAAAGAAAAACTGGTGAATGACAAAGCAGCATTGAAAGCATTGTTTGAATTGGCTAGATCCGGAAACCAAGCGGCTGTGTTCGGTGTTGTCACAACATTTGTAAATCTCGTCAATGCATATGACAAGCAAGAGATTTTGCCTGAGTTAATTGAAATGGCTAAGTTTGCAAAACATCACATACCGGAGGATCATGAACTCGATGATCCTGACTTTGTAGCACAACGCTGCACATGTCTTGTACATGAGGGCATTGTTTCAGCGCTAGTTGCTCTTGTGAAGGCTGAGAGTCAAAACTGTAGAGAAATGATTGCCAGGGTTTTCTGTACTTTGGCTTCACAGCAAGAACTCAGAGGTATTATAGTCCAACAAGGAGGAGTAAAAGCTTTATTGCAATTGACACACGACGGAACTGACAAAGGAATGAAACAAGCCGCCCAAGCTTTAGCTAGGGTCGGTATAACTTTAGACCCTTCTGTCGCTTTTTCAGGTCAGCGGAACATGGAAGTTATTAAACCTTTACTATCCCTGTTGCAGCCTGACTGCAATGCCCTTGAAAATTTTGAAGCTTTACTAGCCCTGTGCAATCTTGCCAGCATGAACGAAGCAGTTAGAAACCACATTATAAAAGAGGGTGGCATTTCTAAAATAGAAGCAATGATGTACGAAGAACATGAAATGATCAGGAGAGCTGCTACACAAGTCATGACGAATATGATGACTTCTGAAAAAGTTATAAAACTATATGAGGGTGAAAACGACAGAACAAAGTTCATGTTCTTGCTTTGCGGTGAAGAGGATGAAGAGACTATGAAAGCTGCTGCAGGCGCAATGGCAATTTTGACCTCTGCAAGTGAAATATGCTGTAAAAAAATAATACAAGTACAAAGTTGGCTAGAAACCTTACATATGATTCTAGCACATGAGAATGTTGAAATTCAACACAGGGCTGTTGTCATTGTAAATAACATGATTTCGTGTGATAGAGAATTGGCAGAGAAAGTCATAGAAACAGATATTATGGAGATTCTTATGGCTTTCACGGTCCTCGATGACGACTCAAGAGCCATTTTAAAACAAGTCTCACAAGAAGGTCTTAATGCAGCCAAAAAGTGGAATATAATCAAGCCTGTAGAAGAAGCAGAAAATGAGTAAATTTGTGTGCTTCCATGGCTACCTGATTTTATATTTATAACAATGTTATATAATCTTGTAATTATAACTTTTAAATTGTTAAATCTTGAAGATTTTGTACACATGTATTTTTAAATAAACTATTTATTAACAGTAAAGTACGTATTAGCTTTTTATTTATTCCAATAAGCATTTATTCCAGAAAAGAAGACATTTGGGATCCAAATGAAGTAGATTGATCATAAATTAATACAATAATTTCCAATATAGACAAAAACCTTAAGTAAACTTTTAAGTACACATACATACAATTTTTAATTTTCAAAGAGAACAATTTTACAAAACAGATTTTATTAAAATTATAAACTAGAAAGAATAGAAGTAAGGGTAATTATTGAAGATTGTAGTTGCAGTACTACTAATAGTGATTAAGATAAAACAGACACTTTATTGAATTAACTGGATGTTTGACGCCACTGATAATGACAAGCGTTGGAGCGCTTCGTTTGATATGGGTATTATTTTTAAATAAATCTTGCGAAGGAGTGAGGACAGTTTTCCAAATTAAGGCAAACTACTTTCCTTAAACTTTAACCGTTTATTTTTTGCTAACAGTTTTTTGTTGGTTGTACTTTGTTCAAAGACTTCATTCTTTCGACTTGCTCTTCCTCAAGATCCCTGGAAATAATCTGCTTAAAAACATTAAACAATCTTCCCCAGGTTTTCGCTGGGCTTGTTAAAGGACAAGAGCCATCGAGCGATATATTGTTGCTGGCAATCGGTGATTTGTTTTGCGAGGGTATTATCTCAGAAGTTTTAGGTCTCGTTTTATTTTGAGCTGCATTAATTTGATTCCGTCTGTAACTCTGTGATGAACTGCGTCTTCTTTTTGATCCGTTCCTTTTCTTTTGTGCCGTTTGCGCTTGTGAAGGTGCGTTAGGTTTATTTGCGTGTCTTTCTTCCTGCTTTGGAATGCAGTTCTTCCTTATCTGTACTTCCACATCATTTCTATTTGCCATGCTCATTTCAGAATAAAGTGAATTTTTTTTCTGATTTATTGTAAATGGACGGCGTCTGTTAATATCCTGTGATTCTTTTTCATGGGTTTGTCTTGGTGTGTTTGACTGAAAAACAATTTGGCTTCTCGAACGTCTTATTTGTCTAGGTGTAGTTCTTTTTTCTATTTGGCTTTTTTTTTCTGTTACTCTTGGTAAAATCTTTTTGTCTTCATTAGTATGATGTTCTAATGATTTATGTCTGACATTAATCTCTGATGATTTAGATGCTGTTTTATTAAACATGTTCACTTCATTTGACATGGTCTTTTGTTGTGCGTCTGTTTTTCTTTCGGTCCCTGCTTTAGGAATCTGTGGTTGCAACCCTACTTCATTTGGTTTGCCTTTAAAAAATTGATTCCCAGAACTATATATTTTGTACACATCATTTTCAATCATTTGTTTTCGCTTCGAAAAAACTTCTTGTGACGCTTCTTTAACATTTAGTAAGACAGCCGAGTTTTTCAGTGATTCTAATAAGGATGATTGGGCCAATTCGACAAAATTCTTTTTCATTTTAGGCGATGATTCTGCCATTTGAATTTTCTCTTTCTCAATTTTTGGCAAAATCTGCAATAAATTATTTTCACGAGAGTTTGCTATTTTATCATCATCAGCAGTCAGTACTAAAACATTTGACATTCTTAAACCCAGGCTTTTTTTCTCCCTTTCTGTTTTTCCAGGTTTTGAAATAGATTTTTCCTTTGCCTTGCCTCGATTAACCAAAACTTTGTGTCGTGGAGTCATTTCATTTAATGACTCCCGTTTAGTCACTTTATTCGGAGTGATCTTTATTTTACTTTCTACTGTAGTTTTAGCATCTTGTATTAAAAATGTTTGTTTTGGTTTGTTATCGTTTTGTTCTTTCTTAGGCGCTATAGTATTGGAAGCGTTTAATCTAGTTTTTTCCCAAGGTTTTGGAGTTGGAATAGCATTTTGTTTTGAAGAAACATTTCCTACATTTTTTAAACCCTTGGTCGGAACTGGATTAATTAAAATTGGTTTATTTTGAATATCATTAGAGTGGCCCGTGTTAGGTGTGTCATCACGTAGTACAACAGTTGATTTGACTTTTTTGCTTTGTACTGTATTTTTTTTCATCTCCCACATTTTATTTAAGGAAGCTTTGGGGCCAAAACTTTTATTATCCAAAGCAAGCAGTGTGCTGCTTGGTGCAGCTGAAATTTTGGTTTTTTGAATACAAACTTTATCTTTTGGAGTGGATAATTGTGTATTCTGTCTTTGTGAATCATTGTTAGCCATTTTTTGCGTGACTTTAAGAGCTTCAATCTTTATGTCAGTGGTTCCTGTTTGTTTTACTAATTCAACATCACTTAATGATTTCTTGACATTTTTTTTATTTTCTAACCCACTATTTAATAATAGTTTATTTGAATTGTTAGCATGTTGTGATTTTACTTTTGGTATATCTGGATTTTCTGCTTTCTCTTTTATGTATAACTCCAGATCTTTGGCTGAATTCATTTCTTCAAAATTTTTCTTTAACAAATTTACTATGCTAGGGAATTCAGAGCTGTATGGAATCAAATCTTCATTGATTTTGGTCCAGTCAGGAAACGGTGTGCCAGTTCCAACTGGACAAATCTCCAGATTCTGTGCTTTGTCTTTGTTTGCATCCTTTTCCATGTTTATTTGAATAGTTTCGTCTTCATTGTTCTTGGCGGATAATACACTCTCAGTTTTCCCATGAGTGGTTTGAGTTGAAACCTTTGTTTGTGGATCAAGCTTAGTTTTAGTGTGGACTTTTTGAACAAGTTTCTGATCATTTATCACTTTCACTACTGGCTGTTGTAATTCACTTTTAACCTTGTTTCCAGAAGTAGGTTGTGTATCATTTCTATCAGTTGGGCTCACCACTGAAGATATTCTGTTAAATGCTTTTGGCAATCGGAATTTTCTTTTAACATCTGTTTTTTCATCATTAGTTTTATTTTGTTCCGATTCCAAAGGTTTAGGGGAATGGTGAGGATTAATTACTGGTGAGACTGCATCATTTATAAAAACAATTGTCTTCTTTTGAAGTGCTGTCTTATTGCTTTGTAATACTTTGTTTGCAGTTTTATTGGGCTGTGACACTTTTTCTGATACCCATTTCTGTTTTAAATTTGTTTGCACTGGTAGAGAAAATCCATATGGTTTTACTGAGTCCGCACTAGCTTTTTCTTGAATAGAAGATGTTTGTACTTTACATGCATTCCTTTTCTTTTTGTGACAGGCTTTTAATCTATTGAGAATTTCCTTATTTTTTGACTGAAGGAATTTCTGTTTCTCTTCCCGTTTTACAAAGGAATTCTTTTGTTCATTGTCACTGGGATAATTTATCCTTCTTCGTTTTCTACTATCTGAAATAGTTCGTTTGGGAATATTTTTTTGAGTGTCTTCTTGACTGTTCTCATCAGGTGGCACATTTACACTCTCATCAATTTCATCCATTCCCATTTCTAATGAACTGTGACTAATTTCAGATTTAACTGTATTTTTAGGTTTGCCAATGGGCATATCTAAATTTTGGGCTTCAATTTTATTTCTAATGCTTTGATTATCAAAAATGCTTGCATTTTGTTTATCACAACTGTTTGTACTTTCTTTGTCATAAATGTTTGCACTTTGTTTATCATAACTGCTGGTACTTTGTTTATCATAATTTTGTTCATCATAACTGCTGGTACTTTGTTTATCATAAATGTTTGAACTTTGTTTATCATAACTGCTGTCACTTGGTTTATCACAACTGCTGGTACTTTGTTTATCATAACTGCTGGTACTTTGTTTATCATAACTGCTAGTATTTTGTTTATCATAAATGTTTGAACTTTGTTTATCATAACTGCTGTCACTTTGTTTATCACAACTGCTGGTACTTTGTTTATCATAACTGCTGGTACTTTGTTTATCATAATTGTTTGAACTTTGTTTATCACAACTGCTGTCACTTTGTTTATCATATCTGCAAATATTTTGTTTATCATAACTGTTTGTACGTTGTTTATCATAACTGCTGGCAGTTTGTTTATCATAACTGCTTGTACTTAGTGCAGTGTTGGGTTGTGGTTTTTTGGCCTCTAATTGTGCTGGCTGATGCGTACTTCCTTGTTTGTATCCTTGTATTGGAAGAGTGGTTATCTCTTCTCTTTTCTTAGTTAGAGGGAATCGTTGTGAATTAGAAGGTGGAGTGATTTGCTGGGCAGTGTTTTCTGCATTAGCTAGTAATTTAGCTACATGATTTGAAAAGTCAGTCAAATGTTTTTTATTTTCAGAGGTTGTTAATTTTTCTTTGTTGGGTGAGGTTCTTCTGTTTTTTATTTGAATCGTTTTTAACATTCTATCTTCTGAAGGGCGCATTTGAGTTTTTGATTTTTTCCCGGTGATGTCAGTTGTATTAGTTGCTAACCTTTTTTCAAAGTATGAAGGTTGATCGTTAAATGCATTTTTATCATTCTCGTACCAAGTACCTAGAGGGTTGATGTTTATTTCACCTTCAACCTTTATTGTGTCATAAACTTGAGAGACTTCTGTTGTCAAACTTTTATGGGGTACACCTAATACAATTTCTACATTTGCTACATCCAAGGTAGTCCTTTCTACAGGTTTTGTCGGGTTTGCCTCTATCATTATTTTATTTTGCAATTCACTTTGCTGAGTTTTGGGGCGTTTATTAGTTTCATTTTTTATTTCATCACTTTTAATCAAACTGCATTCTGATTTATCGGCAATTATCTTAATTTTATTATATGCAATATGTTGGTTTTTGATTGTTAAATCTTGACTCAATTTTTCAGCAATTTCTATATTTTGATTTTTGTCAAGTGCAACGATTGACTTTTCGTTTATACCCACACTGCTGTGTATTTGAAATTTTTTATCTATTGCATTGGTATCAAGTTGGAATTTGGTATTCAAATTTATGCTGGAACGTTGATCCAATTCTTGAGTGAAAATTTCTAAAAGTTTTTCTTTTATTTTAATAGGTTCGTCTGTTTTCCATTTTGGTTCTAAAGATTTTACTTCCTGATAATGTTTTCCCTCTTGAACAATGGGATTAAAAGACAAATTTATATTTTTGGAAGTATGCTCATGTAAACTGGTGTGTGCTTTCTCCATCACTTTTACCTCAGCTGCATTTGCTGTAGTTTTGGAAACATCAGATTTTATGGTAGTTGTAGGTTGTAAAAGCTTTTCAGGCTTTGTGACTTCAAGCAAGGACTCTACTATTTTTTTTGAGGATAATTTTTCTGATTCAGGCAGATTATCTGACTTACAACCACTTGCTGTACTTTTGTCAGTTGGTGTATTAAATTTAAGAGGAGAATTTTTTCTCATAGTTGTAGGCAGTTGTGATGATAATTGATGATTGTTTTCAGTGATTTCTATCTTATTAGTTAAATTTTCAGATTTAGAAAAACTCTCTACGTTATTTGTAATGCTTAATTTGGGAGTATTTATTGTACTGCTTTCACTTTTTTCTTGACTCAGTGTTTTATCAAATGAATCAAGAAGTCGATCTTTTTCGTCCAACTTTTCTGACTCTGTGTTCACTTTAGTGTTTACAGTTTTAAGAGATTCTGTTTTACTAACCGACAAATCTGAAGGCTTTGTTTCCTTTTTTTCATCGTGAGCAGAATCTTTAGGTTGTTCACTTGATTTTAAAAATTTCGAAAAACCAACTGGCACATCAATTCCATAGGCTTTGGGATTTTTGTCACTTGTGAAAACATAACTTCTTGTTTTATGCCTAGCTTCAGAGATGTTATCTAAAGTGAATGGATATGGTTTTTTGTCTATGCTCTTAATTTTTATTTCTATCGCCTTTCTGAACTTGGGAAAATGATTGTCCATTTCTGATCTTCTTTTAAAGTAGTTGGGAATTATTCTCTTGTTTCGATAAATATTCTTTGGCTTTTTGTTTTCTTTTATTGGAGATTTTGGTTTATTTTCAGTTTTCAATAATCTGTCAATTGATTTTTCAAAAAATGAAAAATTGTCATCATCATTAGCAGTACTAGGCCTGGGAAGGTGGTCCACACCTGAATTTGATGGCAAAAGTGGTTTATTTTCTTTTTCATGAGATAAAACTTCTGAACTACCCAGTTTCAACTTATTTGGACTATTTAATATACCGTGCATGTTTGATCCTTTGTCCCCAGTTTTTAAACTTACGCTCTTCAGAGGGGATATATTTTTACTTAGCATTTCAGAAGGACTTGAGGGCAAGTTTTGCATAGGATCAGTTTTTTCAATGTCGTTAGAAACAACCACGTCCTGACTATCAGCTCTTATTTTTGTTATATTCCTGCGGTCAGGGTATACAAGTGTTGTAGTGACGTTATTAACTTCTTTCACAATAAATGCATTTTTGGAAATTCCTCCAACATTGCCATCTTTTTTTGTTGTCAATTCATCCTCCATAAAAGCACCTTCAAGGTCCATATAAGAAACGTCTTCTTCTTTCGACCACTGGCCACTTTTGCTAAAACATTCTTCCTTCTCTTTAAGTGAGTCCATATGTTTTTTAGTTTTCACATCTAATTCTTCAGTCTTAGTCCCTTCGGTTTTAACACGCTCTTGGATGTAACCAGACCTGACTTCAGTTTTTTGTTTAAGTTGCTCAAAAATTTCCTTGGATTTTTCCAAGTCGGCGTTCAAACAGTCGACAGCCATGTTCAGCATGCCATCTTCGAATTCGGAAAGCTTTGGCAGCTTCATGATCTTTTCGACTCCATCTTTACCGATGAGAAGTGGCATTGAGAAATATTCCACATCCGGGATTTCATTATTCTGAGTAAAAGCGATCTCAGGGATCGGCTTATCCCCTTTGCGAGCTGCCAAGACTGAATGAGTAAATCTGACTGAAGCGTATGCTCTTTCTATAACATCAGCTTCACTATAATTTGATCCATCAAAAAACTTCATTTTCTCTATTACGTCCAGCTTGGTTTCCTGTTTAAAAAACAACACTATTAATACATTTTATAAGTAGCACATGTTGCTAATGTAGAAGATTAAATTTTTCATGTTTACAGGCTTGAAAATAGCCTCAGTCAAAAGATCAGTAGTAATAGTTCTATAATGAACCAGATCTGCTAGTGGCAAAAGCAAATAAAACTGAGGGAGTAGGATAGTCACAGTGGTCTGTGCCCCAAGGTTTATTATTATTATTACATTATGTCATCTTTCGTAATAAATTACACAAATTTCCAAGTTTAGATTAATAAAATTTGAGACTGACAAATTTTTACTTTCTCTGGAAACTAACAAGTACTAACATTTAAAATAATGTTATAAAAGAGATTCCTTTCTACATCAGACAATTTTCCACATATTGTCCAATTAAATTTTGTCTATTTCAAAACAATATTTTCTAATGACGACTATAATATTTTTATTCTCTTTGATGACCTATACTTAACATTACCACATTCCAATAATTACATTAATGATAAAGTTTTATGGAACCAAATTTAAACCTTTCCCTTCTTATTTTTGTTCAGTTGATTTTAATATGTTTATACATTTTTAGTTTGGTCATTTCTGGTCAATTTTTCCTCCCTCTGAATGTCTGTCAGATGCATTTTGCCGACTTCAATTTTAGGTGTTTGAGGATGGGCAGGCCAAAATAGTTGGAAATGACCAAACTGCAGGTTCAAAACCACGCCGATCTCATAAGGAAATCTCAAAATTTAAAAATAGTTAAAAGCCATTATTCATATTTTATTTATTTTTCCACAAATATTCCCTACTTTTAAATTGTGAACTAAATATGTGCGAAAAGTCCTTTTGTGAAATTTATCAAATGCAAATTGCTTTATTGTCTAAAAAAATTAAGTTATACAGTTTTTGTTTTATAAGCCAGATGTTTTATTTAATTATCTCAGTAAAGAGTCCACATGTGCTGAGCACTGAGCAGTCATTTTTTTCCTGTCTAGCTTCTCAAAATAACACTTTGATCGTTCACAAAATGGACAAGGCTTTGGGCTATTTTACGTTTGGCAAAGTAGGACAAATTTTTCTACCATGGAGGGAAATGGTAAGTTGTAAGTTAGGAACAAAAAACTTTCTTGTTAAATTGATTCTTTTAATAAAATTTAAACTCACTTCTAGACTTTCTGTAAAAAAAGTATCCACTAGCAACTCTACCTTATCAATTTCAACAGGTGAATTGGCTTGAGAAAAAAGTGGGATTCTCGTTGTAGCCGTCGCACCTCCGATGACTGGGAGAATTGTTTTCTGTGGACCTAAACGTAGTCTCGAAGAAAGTAAAGTGCTCGCTCTGAGGGTATCACATGATGTGGCTCCAAGAAGTCTATTTGGGTTAAAACATCCAGCGGCGTCCAGGACTCTGGCGATTATTGGAAGGACAAAATTTAACGGTGATGCAGCGACAACAAGGATTGCCTGAAATTAAGAGTCCATCAACGCCACTGTCCAAAAATATTAGTCTATCACAAAATTATTAATAAATCATTTATAAAACTGCCAAAGCCCTGCTTTTTTTTGTACAGTATTAGTTAATTTAACCTGGATGGAGTTATTTAAAAGAAAATTTAAAGTAGCAATCTCACATCGGGAGAAAAAACAGCAATTAATTTAGCATACTCCGCGGCTTTCTGTCCAATAACTGTCAGGGTTTCAGAAGAGGGCTTTTGAAACAATTCATCGCCAATAACCACAATGTCTGCTTTCTAAAAAGAAAAAATAAAGTAAATTTTGAAATAATTAAAAAAAAATATAGCCACATACCGAAAGCGCCATCGGAAGCTTTTCCCTCCCGACAACAGTTGTAACTTTACATAATTGCTGCGCACCGTTCGTGACTTTTGATGCTCCTCCATTTTTGTCGTCGTAAAGTACAAGATTATTTATATTAGGAGATTGTTTCAACAAGGATGTGACGACTCTTCCAAATAAATTGTTCAATCCTATGTATGCGACCTGAAATTTCAAATTCAATTTTGTTATGTGATATCTTACAAACAATGATCTATTTGTGGGGGTATCGGTGGACGCAACGGTTTAGTAAAGAAAACAGTTGAGCATGTATTTTACAGTTCTTTTAATGATCATTTAAGAAGAGACTGACCGACATGACCTATGGCACTACAGAGATTAAAAGAAATGATAGAAAAGAATAAAAACAGGAAACATTAAAATATTTATAAATAAGGTATAAATACATACTAATGTCCAAAATTCATCCTAACATCAAAAGTTACACACACAAATATTTGAAAATCCCCACTTGTTATTTGCTCGAGATTCATGGGCTTAAGCCTGATTGTAACTTGACCAACGACTTTTCGATTATTCAATGTAAATGTGTTTACCTGGTTTTTGTGCATCACTTAGCGTGTCTTTATGAAGTTTATTTCATTTAATTGTTGTAATTTTGCAATTGGGAATTTTCCATATTAGTCAAAAGAGAAAAAATTTTGAATAGAGTTCAAGAGGTCAGCTGCCAAAACAAATGTTTATTTGAATTTTTTTCTTTTAAGATTTTTTACTCATCTTGATTTATCAAATTATTGTTAATACTTATTTTTAGTAAGATCTGCAAATAATAATATTGATAAAAAAAAGATTTTAAAAATTATATTTTCCGTTTGCAAAATTTTCATTCCTTGATTAACTTTGGTTAAAAAAAACACATAACTTCATTTTTTATACACATCATCTATATATGTAACCTATTTACTTAAAAAAATAAATTATTGGTTTTATAATAAAACATTTTATTGTATAAATTAAACAATGAATTATATATTAAAGCATCTATCTTACAAGTGTAGTAGTTATGTTAGTTTAAACAATTTCAAATAAATGCAAAATATTTGTTAAGAATTTGCAATGATGGCTGAAGTTGAAAGTCAAAGGCATCCTACCAAACAATTATCTCTTTTTTTATTTTAAAGAAAACGTCAAATATAACCTTGCTTCTATAGGTAAAACATTGTAAGGTGTATCTGAGGGTTGTATGTTGGGTCTTCTTCGCTACCTAATCTTGGGATCTCCATCAACTCGAGTAGGCTGAATTCTTATCTCCCATGTAAATTGAATCGTTGAGTGAATTGAAAACCAATGATTTGAAATTGTCAATTCCATCTGTCAAGGTTTTGATTATCCATAGCCAACTTGTTAATCCAATAATTTCTCAAATCCTTGACAAAATATACACCCTCATTGCGATCTCATTTATTCAATATGCAAATATAATTTGCTATTCTGAAAATTGACCCTACACAATTAAAAAATCTAATAAAAATTTCTTAAAACCCTTCCAGTGAAAAGTCTTTAGAAAAATCACCAACACTCCTTAAAATGTCTTCAGCATTACCTACACAAAGATGTGGTCAACCCATTTTTGTCGGTAAAATTAAAATATTCAGAATTTTCTTTATCCCTTAAAATTTGTTTATTGTTTTGTGACAATTAAGACCTGGATGGGCACGTACATTATCGTCTGCTAGTTATTACAAATTGTAGGGATCATACCAGTATCACTGAAAAATTTACATGTTGTAATATTAAATTTTATAGACATAATCTGACCACAGAAATTTAAAAAAAAAATCAATTTAATCGAGTGGTTTTTTTGTTTTTTGTTTTAGAATGTTAGAAATGTTAGAAAACATTTGATTGTTTTTTTTTTTCATTTTATTGTTATTTAATTTTATTTATTTTTTAATAAAAGGTAAATACGTTACTTATTTACATTTATTTGGATGTTTCAGGACTTTACACCCATCATCAGATCTTAAATTGTATTAAATTTATAATTTATTAATATCCATATTGTATTTTAAAAGATGACTATCTTGCATCGAAAGGGTGCATGGCGCCAAGATGGATTAAAATTTTTTTTTTTCTTTTTAATGGGGCATCTGACTGCTTGGTCATTTCAGCCCTGATCGTGCGCCTGCGAAATACATAAACATTATCAATAAGCACTCACACAAATAAATACATTCACACCTATATTCAAGTAGTACTCAATATTCCTCCATCAACCTGGATACAACTACAAACTAATCTAATTGTAGTCGATGGGGTACTTTTATAAATATTCCGCCATCGACCCAAGACACAGCTCAAGGGGCGATGGGGATGCTATTCCACCATCAGCCCTTCCCCATTCACTCTAATAAATACACTCACTCATACAAAACACAGAAACAAAAAATACATATTTTCACGGCTATACCATAAAAAATTCAACAAGTTTCAACATTTCGCCATCTGCTGGGTATTTTATATAAATTACTAACTTTATTACCCGGTGTTGCCCTGAGAGATAATAAAAAGTGTTATTTTTCTTATTTTGTAAATCCTGACTCTTATTATTTGTTATATACCCATTTTATAGTCTCTTAACCCGTCCGGCACAAATAAAAACAAAGTGTGAAAGTTTCATCGAAATTGGTTCAGTAGTTTTCGTTTTTACGATTAACACACATACGATCATTCACTTTTAGATACAGATATAAAATTACTTGCTTTATAACCCATGTCTTCACATAAGTGAAAAAGCAATATAATTTTTTATTACTTAATATTTGCAAAAAGTAGGCATCACATGCAGGAATGTGAACTTGGTGGTGTTTGTCGGTCTGCGAGTAGATAGGTACACTGACAATTTTACTTGGTTTGTCTATTCTCGCAAGTTTACAATAATCTATTCACAAGATATTTTTGTCTGTATTTCTATAGTTTTAGTTTCGTTTTTTCCCACCATTTATATGCTTTATTGTTTTTTTGTTTGTGTATGTGGCTTCAAACTTCAGCAGACGGTTTTCACCGCTGTGTAATGGTCATTTGCTTTCTATATTTTGTTTTGTTACTAAATAAACATTATTATTATGAAGCTTATCAACTTTATGCCATGGCCACCTTCCTCCATGCCAGTCTTCACTGAAGATGGTGTCAAGTCAAAACATCAGTCCAACGAAAAATTTCTTAATTTCAATAATTTAACAATAGATTTTTAATGATTTTTTTGCTGTTTGCTGTTAAGACCACCTCTGAAGCTCACCAACTGATTATTATATTGGCTATATATAAATTCAATTTAGCATTTGTTTATTCAATTTCCATCCAAGATCACGGTATTCTGACAGCAAATCTTACAATGAAGCTTTGGTTGTGGTCTCATGAATTTCAATAAAAAATTTTTTTTATATATTAGGTTGAAAAATATTAAAAACGTGTCCGAGGGTCCAATGAACCCCTGGAGGCCAAGAAAAAATAGATTTAAAAATGACCAAAAATTGCGTTCACAAATTAACCGCCCTATCAGTCGATTTTAATGAAATTTTAAGCCAAGTTAGAACATTGAAAAATATTAGTCTCGTATAAAGGGGTTTGGCAAAATTAGACCAGGAAGTCCATAATAAAATGTTAAATATTGTAATCACTGCATGTTAAAGATTGTGTATTTTGGTTCTGCTAAAGGCTAAAAGTTAATTTCTAAATATGTAAACTGAAAAACAGATTCCAAATTAAGATTTGATTACTTCATTGCTGCGATGTAAATACAGAAACAATGTAAATAAAATAAATTTAACTATAAGACCATCCTCTGGGTGTGAAGTATGTCTTTTGAAATTATTCGTCATTTTCGTCAAGTGGGTATGAAAGTAAAAGAAGCAATTTTTAACTAGTATTTTGTATACAATTCTCATGAGCATGAGGCAGATGTTTTTAGCTATTCGGATTTTTATTTAATGCAAGAACTGTCTATTAATCGTCGAATAAAGTTAATTAAATACATTTCTATTTTATCTTTGTAGGTCTATTTGACTGAGGTAATTAAATAAAATTCTCATAGTTGACCGTTTTCTACTGGTGGTTGTTCAAATTGTGATTAAAATCCGTGTCAGTTGATTTTTGGGTCACCTGTTTTTTTCAGAAAATTATTCTCAAATTAATGAAGTCAAGTACTAAAAATTTAAGTAAAAAACAAAAAAATCGAGAATAAATTTTTAGTATGTATTCATTAACTCTTTCGACCTTAAAAGTTGTCAGGAAGTGCCCTATCCAACGAAGCACGGTTCTATACCAGCTCCAGCACTGCACCAGCAATCAGAATGATAATTCGAAGTTGAACTACAGCAGCAAGAGGCTGTTGGAGAAAAAGGTGTCTGACCACTTCCTTCCGATATCAAGGCAGGCTAGCAAAGCGAGCACGGTGAGTTTCGACAACATCCGATTCCAAGTGGAATCAATTTTCAGGGATGTGAAAATGAAGGACATGGCAACAGGACCAACGGAGGTCTTCTGGTACAACGCCGTGAGCTTGGTACCAATAGCGTTCCCCTCATTGGCTTTCTTGCTTACCGGCTTCCATCCCAGCCTGTTTTCTTTGCAAATCACTTACAGCGCCATTCTCCTTTCATTCCACGGCGGGACCAGATTCGGACACGAGCTGGAGAAGAAAGAAGCGATGACATGGGAAAGCGTTTCATGGTCCTTTGTACCATTTTCCCTCGGATTGTTGAGCGTCATGCTTCCTCAAGTCCTATGCCCGATCACACTTTCTGCCGGTTTTCTCTTTTCGGCCTATGTTGACCTTACTTTGAGCAAAATGCCGACTTGGTTCAGAGCTATGAGATTAGCCTTTGTTTTTCCCGCGGTGCTATCTCTCGCAATCGCATTTTTATGGAATTTGTTCAACTAATATACATATTATAAGTTGTTTTGTTTAAACCGGATTTCTTTTATTACTTTTTAGTTGTATTTAAATTATCTTTAGTTGAACGCATAAAAGCCAACCATTCGAATCAAAACTACTTTTAAACTGGCTTTTCTGTGGAAAATCACCGGAACCCCTAGGGTTTGATATGACCTCTGCTGTTGCAAACCCCTCAACAACCCTCGCTATTTCGCGTATAAGCTTACAATAACAACGATGATAAGTTTTTAAATACTAATGTTTCTTCACATTTGCATCCCACTAAAGCGGGTCCACGTTCGGGAATTTAAATCCAGCCTAAGAAGCATAAAAAAAAAAAAAAAAAAAAAAAAAAAAAAAAAAAAAAAAAAAAATCACACATTATATAATATTTGCTTAAACAGAATGAGCGCAATGTATATAGATGTGAAAGAATTTATTCTTGTGAATATGTATTGAATATGTTGTTATATTTCGCATGTGCTTGGGGCTGAAATGACCAAGCAGTCAGATGCCCCATTAAAAAAATTAAATCCATCTTGGCGCCATGCACCCTGTCGATGCAAGATAGTCATATTTTAAAATACAATATGGATATTAATAAATTATAAATTTAATACAATTTAAGATACTGATGATGGGTGTAAATTCCTGAAACATCCAAAGAAATGTATTAAAAAAATAAATCAAATTAAATAATAATAAAATGAAAAAAATATATATTTTCTAACATTTCTAACATTCTAAAACAAAAAAAAACCACTCGATTAAATTGATTTTTTAAAATTTCTGTGGTCCATTTATTTCTACAAAATTTGATATTACAACATGTAAATTTTTCAGTGACACTGGTATGATCCCTATGATTTGTAATAAGTAGCAGACGAAAATATACGTGCCCATCCAGGTCTTATTTGTCACAAATAAACAAATTTTAAGGGATAAAGAAAATTCTGAATATTTTTATTTTACTGACAAAAATGGGTTGACCTCGTCTTTGTATAGGTAATGCTGAAGACGTTTTAAGGAGTGTTGGTGATTTTTCTAAATACTTTTCACTGGATGGGTTTTAAGAAATTTTATTAGATTTGTTAATAGCGTAGGGGACCTAGCTGTTGGATGCCCCTGCAATAAAAATAATTTATTCGTTATATTAAAGGAAACAATGAAATTTTTCATTATTTAGTTTCTTTTAAAAGATATGTGACCGTTTGGCATCTCAGGTGACTCCAGTACAAGGTTGAATCTGTGACTTCCATCAGATTCTGCGGGGGAAGGAGGATAACAATGTAAGGGAGATGATCCTTATAGTGAAATAAAATAAAACTATAAACATTCTTTAAATTAAAGAACAATAATAATAATAATGGTTAAAAAAGGAAAACAGTACTCCCTGAAAGGGAGCTAGAAAAATCCAATGTTTATGTTGGAGATAACAGAAGGTGTTAACACTTCCACGGATAAACACAGACTGGTTTTTAAACTTTAATTATTAATTAGTTCATTTTAGTTACATATTTCCATATGATTTTTTCATTAATTTATAGATTATATTTAATAATAATAAGAACTTTATTATTATAAGTTACATTTTTTACATAAACATTGTTAGACACAAACACCATGGACCCACGATCATCCAATGGAGTCATTTCACATTTCTTTCTGTGTAGTTTTAACTTAACAACATAAAAAGAAAACTAATTACTTATTAATTTATTAATAAAATGAAATAAGGTAGGTTAGCATCCTAACAATTTAATCTATATTAATTGAATGCACTTTATGAATCAGCATCAAAGTAAAGTAGTTCAAAGTAAAATAATAATAATAATAATAATTAGACTGTTGCTAGTCTGACTCCATTATTATTATTATTATCCAAACCTTCTATTTTAGGTTAACTATATCTCTTCTGAGTGCTATAAAGCTCTGACTCCAAACATTCACTCGTAATCTAATTTATCCTATTGCCATCCAAGCTTTAATTTTTCTTTAAAAATTCTTAATTCAGAAGGCCAAATGTATACAAAATATTTTAATTGCATAAAGTTTAATAAAATTATAAAATTTATTTCTGTTTCTTTTTTTAATTTGAATTGTGAATTTTTGTTCCATAATTTAAAAATTCCCCGTAGGCTTGTATGGCTAATAATAATAATAATAATGGAGTCAGACTAGCAACAGTCTAATTATTATTATTATTATTATTATTTTAATTTAAAAAACAACTGTGTTTGAAGGGGTGAGCTTAGGCTAAAAGCAACTGTAATATTTTTTCAATGTTATTTTGAGAAAACCAGGGGGATACTTGAAAATATATCAAATGTTTACCATTTTCTAAACAAATTTTACTAATTATATACACTGAGTAACAAAATTATAGTCACATTAAAAAATCACGATTTCAACAGTCAAAAATGATTTCTTTTGCCATTAGAATATTGTTCATGATATTAATAGAAAATTAACTCTGGAAATGGCATGATCTGATAATCTTATACAAATGTACATCTCAATAAACAGTATTGTTTTGATTTAGCTGCGACAGAATTGTAGACACACATTTTGTTTATGTTTATTTTATAACTCCAAAGGTTTATTCAGTACAGTATTCACTGTACCGTGCATTAGTAAAGTGATTACTGTGAGTTGATTTGGAGCAATTCAAAGTTATTTTAAAATGCCCAAAGGAAGATTTTCTAATGAGGAGTGCCGGTTGATTCACTTGCTCAATGAAGAGGGAATGAGCTGCCAAGATATCGCCCGACGCATAAAACGAAGTTTTTCATTGGTATCGATGATAATACGACTAGGTGAAGACTACAGAAGAAGGCATAGCTCTGGAAGACCTCCTTCCTTGACCAGAAGAGACAAATCGCACATCCTGCGCGTTGATTCAAACAGCTTTTCGACTGCAAAAGCCATCGCAGAGAAGGCAGGTGTTGATGTTTCTGTTCGAAATGTTCAGAGATTCCTTAAAAAAACTGAAAACATAGTCCGAAGAAAACTGAAACGCAAACCAGCTCTGAAACCCCACCACAAACTAGCCCGTGTCAAATTTGCTGAAATTTTGAAAAATGAATATTATTGGCGAAAAGTTATTTTTTCTGATGAAAAAAATTCAATTTGGACCGCCCGGACAGATACGCATACTACTTTCATGATCTAACTAAAGAAGAAAAAATTTTGTCATGGCGCCAAATGAGTGTGGATCTTTGATGATTTGGGGTGTATTGGGCGTAATAAAAAAGGGAATCTTTGTTTTCTTAAAAAAAAAAAAAAAAAGTCAATTCAGAATATTACAAGAAATTACTGGACAAAGAAAAAACTAGTTTCAGCGATTTATGCGAAGGGACTCCAACATTCCAGCAGAACAACGCACCCATACACAATGCAAAAATTGTTAAAGAATGGTTTTCACAGAACAGAATTGAAAAACTTGAATGGCCTGCACTCACACCAGATTTGCCTCAAGATTTTATTCAAAATTTGTACCAAACCATTCCAGAAAGATTACTGGAAATAATAAAACTGAGTGGTAATGGCACAAAATATTATAACCTTGTTTTAAATTGATTTTATCCCATGTGTCTATAATTTTGTCGCAGACAAAATCATTTAATTTTAGAATTTTAATAATTTTTTTCTCTTATTTACTGAAAAATTAAAGTTTAATGAAGAAAAATATTTATTTCATGTGTTTTGAATAAATATTTGTAGTACAAACCCATTACATTAAAAAATCATAACAATTAGGGGTGTGTCTATAATTTTGTCACTTGGTTCTATATATATAATACTAATTATACAGTCTATATCAGTCCAATAAGATTTATTTTCAAACATGAAGGGATTTTGCATTTTTATGGTACACTTTCTCTGCATAATCCTCCACGGCTTGCAAGGTGGATATGAAAGCCCTCTTTTCATAGGCGTCCTGCGGCTCGGTAAACTCTTTGGGTAGCGGCCTCGTGTCTTGGACTTGGAAGTCTATGTTGAAGTCCGACTTGAACAGGAAAGAGGTATCCATATAGGCCGTCGACTTGACCCTCTGGGTTATATCATATTCGGCTAAAATAAATGAAAGAACTGATTAGCTTTAATGCCTACGGAAAGTAATCGGAGAATATTTACGGTATTGTTCATCATCTGAAAGAATGGGATCAATGTTGAAAGATTCGTTCTGTTTATTGATTTGTCTTTTATTATCCTTCATATTAAAAATGTACATGACTTTGTTTGCATAATATTCCACTGAAATAATGATTATAAACAATAATGAAATGTAGGTCAGCTCTTGTTTATTTTAAAGTATTCATATTATATATTTTAGAAATTAAAAGTTTCAGCAATTAATGTATATAATGTGTGGTGTTTATTATGTATATAATCCTGATACCATTCAAAGCCATTTTTTTCTTTTTTTTTTAATCTACAATTTGCATTATAGATAAATATGGTACAATGACATAATTCATGATGGTTGTACCTTAGTTGTTTAGTACATTTGGAAGGGCCATGTCAAATTTTTTGTTCAGTTTAAACAATTATTATCACATTTAAGAATTTGTATTTTTTCTTTAAAGAGGGAGAGAGTTCCGCTGAGGAGGGGAAAGGACCAACATATGACCACTAACGTTATGCAGATTTTTTTTAGAGCTTTGCGGCTAGAAAAGTACATACGTATCTGTTTTCGAGACTTTTTTCTAAGCTGCTGCAACCTTTCGATAACTTTTTTAATTTCCTTCCACTGAATCGACAAAACTGAAAATAAATAAAATGTGACTTAATCAACTGGAGAAAAAAAAAGTGTAATTTTTCTACAAATTTACTTAGAATAAGCCATTTATTGTAATTTATTCAGTTGTAATAATTAATTTTACAATTTATTGTAATTTTGAAGGAAACATCGAAGTAAAAGTGCTAAATAAGAACAGTAAAATAACATGTTACCCGGCACTTCTATAAATTTAACTGGACGAGCAACCAAGAAGGCAGGATCTTTAGCACGATCTGAAAATATTTTTTATAAATTGAGTGTTATAATAGTTGTTTCATAATCATTTTCTGACTAAGGCTCACCTGCTGTTGATCTCCTATTAAATGGTCTTACTCCATTGGGTGGATAAACTTCTTTTTTCCTCAAAATGAATGCCTCTAAGTGGTAATAAAAAAGTAATTTTATTTGCATACATATTTAAACAGTGGTTTTTTTTGTGAATAAAATTAGATTGATTTAAACTAGAGGGATTTGTATGACTGTACCTTTTACTGGTTTTCCTCTGAATTCGTTTATTAAATCTGCAAAATACAAAATTGAGTAAACATTTCATGTTAGTTAATAGTTAAATTTTTCTTGATGCAATTAAATAATAGGTAAATTTAAATTTTATATTGTCAAGGTGTCAAGAACAATTTGTTTCTCAGACCAGCATCAACTTTTTGTAAGTTGCCATGTCAGAAGCGCTTTGCCAAATTTAAAGATATCTTTATAATAACTTTATAAAGACTTGAATTAACTTTGAGAAATTATAGACAAAAAATCAATTCATTTATGAGTCTTTGAGATTTGCAAACTTTTAAAGTTTTAACATATAAAAAATTTAGAATAAAAACTCAATAGTTAAACGACTTACTTAGTAGCGCCCTTTGCTCTTCATTTAATTCTGAGTCTAACATTGGTTCTGAAATACAATCAAAACCATAAACGAATATTTTGTTATGTACAACATGTAAAATTATAACTTACCACATTTTTCTGTCAGCCCTATATAATACTGCAATCCTTTATCTGTAAAAAATGAACTTGTTACTTACTTTAACATCTTTACTTTTTAATATTTAACGAACCATTAATGTAAGTTGCGTCTAAAAATGGAGCAATGTCTGAAAGGAAACACGATTGTGAGAATCTTTAGAAACTGTAGAAAAATCAAAAGGAAATTACTTGGTCCATGCGACTCTTCTTCCACAGCCTCTTCATGATCATTATCTGGAGCAAGTGAACCACTTCTACTATGTTCTAATTCTAGTTCTTCATGACTGCCCTCTTCTGATTCATCTTCAAAGTCTGTTTGCCTTTCAGATGTTTCATGCGGTGAGGGCTCCTCAGCTTCGACATTCAAAAATTCTTCATTGACCATTTCTTCTTCTTCTTCTTCTTCTTCTTCTTCTAGTTCTTCTCCCTCTTCTTCTTCGAATAGACCTTCTATATTTACAAAAAAAATATGCTGGAGAAACATCTATGATGCCTATGATTGTTTACAAGTAATTAAATTTTAATTTTATAACTCACCTTCTTCAAGTAATCGCTCTCTTTCCAACCTTTCCCTTTCTAATCCTATTGATTGTAAATTGTTCATGTAAATTGTACAGTGTGAATTTTACTCTGCCTAAATTAATTTGCTTACTTTCTTGTTCTTTTTTTTGCTTAATTACAATGTCACCTATTTGTACCAAACTTAAGAAATCCTGGTCAACTGAAAATGCACATTTTTTAGTACGGATATCCATTACTCTAATCAAGGAATTACTATTGTTTGATTTGACATACTAATAATCTCTTGAAAGACATGTCCATGTACTAGCCTTCTTATTAGACTCAAAGGGAAAAGCACCAGGTCGGTAAGATTCAACAAATCTTTGGATTTCAAAATATTAGGCTTCACTCTCCATTCTCTCGTTTTTTTATCAACATAGACAGGTTGAGACATAAATAGACCAAGTGGAAAACCATAATTGCCTGAAATAAAGATGTTTAAATAGAAAATCAAAACAAGGGGATTATTCGCTAACCATCGCTGTTGATTCCTGCTGATAATCGGTTGTCTTTTGGGCAGGGATCATACCAGCTTTCAAGTGTGTCTATTGTTGCTTTTATCTGAGATATGTATGTCTTTGTGTTCATGTACATAAAAAGATACTCCTGTAACATATAAGATAAAATTTAATAAATAATACCAACCGGTGCTTTAGCTTTATATCACTTAATCACCTTCTGCCTCCCTACATAGTACCACGTGTTTTTCAACCCTTTTACTAAATAGTCTTGCCTCCTGAGAATCCAGTTGTCTTCTCCCCAGTATTCGTGCTTGAACTCTTTTGTAATGTCATCCATCGTTTCGAAATCTTCAGGTGGCAAGTTGTTCTTGAACCTCATCAGATTGTAAAGGACATCACCATTGGCGAGATCTACACAGTGGCTTAGCCCCACGCAGCCCCAGACGATGCTCGTTTGGTACTTGAAGTGTGAACGAGGAAGACCAGTCGCCTGAAAAATAATCGTTTAAAGAATCATTATTATTCATTAGATTATAAAAAGCAAACCTTTGCCATGTATGAAGTTGGCTCTAGAGCTAAGTGGCTAGTTATTGCTACCACTTTGTACACATTTATTGAATTACAAAAACGAGCGAACACACTGGCGATGAAACAACGATAGTCCATGCATGTAAATACAACATGGACATCTTCATTCAGGAAAGGCTCCATCGTTTTGGCCAAAGTTTTGTATTGGTAATAACAGTATCTTAACTGCCGGCTCAATTTTTGATATTTCCCCCTGGAACAGGTTTTAGTTTAAATTGTTAAGCCATAATTAAATTTACAACTTACTTTGATTCATCCCCTAGGAAAATGAGAAGCCTAACGCCTTCTAATGCTTTTTTCAAGTCGTTGAACATCTTAATGGTAGACCTTGCATTAAGAAGGCCCTCCATATAATTTAAATCCTCTACTTTGTCTTTTAGTTTTTCAAGTTTTCTTTCGTCCTCGTCGTAAAGATGGATTATTGTCCCATGTTGATCGATGCAAAATCTGGCCCGGAGAAGTTCGTATATTAAAGTTGGAGTCGCTTTATGACTTGCACCGATTATAGTAATGACAAAATATCTTTTCGGCCTCGAGCTGTCCAGTTTCTCAATATACTCGTCAAATTTCATTTGCTGTAAAAATTTGAATGGTTAAATAATATGGCACCATATTTAAATTTAATACTTAATCCAGAATTAAAATTGTTTATGGTACATAATAAATTGCTAACACTGATGGTCTACAAGAATCAATCTATGTATACAGATCTGTGTACAACTTGTGTAAAAGTGGCAAAAAAGACATTACATCTCACACATTATGTATAATTGACAGGTCACAACACATTTTTATACTAATTTGTACCATCTTATATCTTACTAAAATAGAAAATCTAGAGGTATGAGATTTTAAAAGTACTAAAATTTCTGATAATTTCACACTAATTTAAACATTTTTATTAAATAACTCATTGAAATGTAACCATTTTTATTTATTAGACCTCAACTTAAAAGAAATGTTCATTGAGCATTATGACACAATCGCGATTAAATTGCTTAAACTTAAAGTGTATTTTCATTAGCACTTTGCAGTTATTTAATATTTTGCTAATATCATTTTGTACCAGGGGATGAATGAAGCAAACTGAAAATAATAGTTTAAGCTAGATGATATAGTTGTTTATGTTAAAAACATTATCAAACGAAATTGGGCGGCAAGATGGAATGTCTGTAGAGATAGTATGAAAGAAATTAAGCCATTTGTACATAAGTGGCCAACTGAGGAACTTGAGAGAAAAGAACTTGTGATTCTCTCTAGATTGCGAATAGGTCACATCAGGCTAATCGATAATAGGCTTTTAATAGGCAACAACCTTCCAACTTGTCCTCGATGTATGCGAAGTGATGTACGTATCATTCTGACAGTAAAACATATTTTGGTCGACAGACCCAATTTGCAACCGTTTAGGCAAAGGTATAACAATTTCGAGTGATTTACAGGAGTTACTGAGTCCTCAGTTTCTCTTTCGAAGAGCACTTTTCAGCTTTCTCAAATTTATTGGATTTATAATGAGATTCAGACCTTTCCCAAATTGTTATACCATTGAATGTTTGTCTGCTAATGTTTAAATGAGAGTTGTGCGTGCAAGATTTTTTTTTTCAGAAATTTTTGAGGCTGCCGGAGCGGAAAAATGAAATGGAAGAAAATACAAATTGCGGGGTAATAAACTGCAATGCCCAAAATCGCAATTTAAATAAGAAAGATAGCTCCCTTAAAAAAAAAAAGGATAAAGGAAAAGAAGTGTTATTGTGTTTCGTTTCTTATTATTGTTATGTAGAATTAGTTTATTTATCATATTTGAATGGAAGAATAAAAGGATAAGGATGAGCCTATACTCATGCTGAGAATGTTGCTAGTCTGACTCCATTATTATTATTATTATTAGCCATACAAGCCTATGGGAAATGTTTATATTATGGAACAAAAATTCAGAATTCTAATTTTTTTTTAAATGTAATTTAAAATGGGATTTTTGCATACATTAACAATTTTAAAAGGATAAATTAAAGCTTGGATGGATAATAATAGTTTAAAACGGCTAAGGCTTATTAATAATAATAATAGTTTAAGATGAAATTAACTAAACACAACCTCAAGGCAACTATTTCATTTCAATTTTATCGTTTCTTTTGGTCTGACTATCTTCATTTGGTTGTTCAGTTAGAAGCATTTTGTCATTTTGCAATAATCAGTAATGAGTATGTGCCTTTCCAACTTATATCCTTATGCTTCTTTCCAAACACACCGAATGATAAAACATGCCCAACAGACCAAACCAATGAGGATAGGTAGATCAATATAATTAGTAACAATTAAATTTCAGGTACATCGCTCCGCAGACAACATGGAGAACGCTCGTAATTTATTTTTATTGCACATATATAAATAAAAAAATCACCTTAATACTGGAAAAAATTGGTTGAAATTCAGAATCATATTTTGAATGGTGTACCAAAGCAGTGAAAAGCAACAAAACTTGTCCACATAATTAATAATTAAGGCTTTTAATTATAATGATTTGCAAGAGTAAGAATAATAAGAAAAAGATAATCATTCAATTTATTTATCTCTTGTTCAAATTGGATCAAATTTAGCCAAAAATTTCTACTTCTACCAAATGTTTAAGGCATGTTTGTATATTTTAAATACACACATAAATATTACTAAATACTTTTAATTTTTTTAAATTCAATTAAACAAAATTCCCTCTGTCTGATTTCCACAAATGACATTTTGTTTGTATTTTAAAAATATCATTGCAACATGCTCATGTTGTAATGACTTATGCTTTATTGAAATATTCAAAGAATTTAATAGTTTCAAATGTTCCATGAAATCATATGTTATACATATGGGAAATGTTGAAATTTTTATACATAATTACCCAAGTTCATTAGTTATGCAAAGAACATAGGTGAAAAGTGGAAATTACGTCGATTGTCTTTTTGGCTACGTTTTCAGCCCGCGCTCTTTTAATCGGCCTCAGGACCTTGTAGGTTTCATACATGTATTCAAGGAATGTGTCCAGTCCTCCTATGAGATCTTTTGGTCCTCCTTTGAAGCCGAGCTCGACCCAAGAGATCACGTCTTCCTTGTGCTCCTTCCAGTTGTTTTCCTTGCACGTGTTCTCGAGCCATGGCTAAGACAAGACAGTATTTTTTATTAAAAAAAAAAGTATAGACAAAAATCTAATCGGCTTACCGTGTAATCATCGGGCAATTTTCTGATGACCCTATCCTCAAAGAGCCGGCCAAACTTCTGCTTCGCAGCCCAAAGAACGCTGTATGCGATGGCTAACTCTTCTGAGTCGGCACGTCCTGCAAGAACAATGGTCGTCATGTTAGATAGTTTGATTTTTCAAATTTTTGTCATAACACTCCTGGGAATAAACAGTGCTACAATCAATGTTCTACCAAAAAATAAATAATTTTTTTAACATGTGACTTTTCTTTAATAAACTTTTTTTGGTCAATGCACAAATACATTTAAAATGTAATGTTTATTGAGAAATAAGTTCTCAACTGTGAAACTATAATTGGTCTATTATTTGAAACTTTAATTATCCCTTAAGAAATTGTTTTTCTTTTAAAAGGTGCAATAAAAGAATATAATTTTAAAAAGTATATTTTGTTGTTGAAGTGGTGAATAAAATAAACAGAATATAAATTTTTGTTCATCAAACAGTGTAGCTTTTTTTGAAAATATACTTTAGCAGTTTCGGCAGCTTTTGTACTATTTTCATGGTGTTTATTAGAAATATTAATTAGAAATAAATAAATATTAGTACACCAGAAGGATGATTTTTTTAATCTTACTGTTTAGTTATTTGTTATAAAGCATGCTTAGAGATGTCAGGAGATACCAGTGAACCACAATGGAAGAATTTGGGGAACCAAGCAGACTTTGCTTCCTTATAAAAACTAATTATAATCTAAAACTGTTACAAAGGTCATAACAGAGATGTAGATAAAAATTATTCTCAGTGAAACAAACTATGGATCAGCAGTCGATAGATGGTCTTCGGAGGACATGACTAGTAGAAGAAGGGTCATCCCCAACCAATTAAGGATAGGCCATGTTGGGTTGACCCATGGATACTTAATTTTGGGCTAAAGCTTGTATATATGCACGGCTGCAGAGATAGGTAGCTCGATATGCCCCACCTAATTGATTGATGCAATTCCTTCACCCTATATATTAAGCGCCTAGGAATGCCACTTATAAGATTTGCACTTGATTACGGCAGTGTAGAAAAGGTAAATGTGGAAGTTTTTAATTTTCATGAATAAAATTTTCTATTTACCTTGCTGCTTATGATTCATGTAGACAGTTTTTATTTTATTTTATTTAGATTTAAAACCATTATATTTCATGGTCCGATTGACCAAATAACTTCTTTCAATTAATTAATCTTTATGTAAGGTATTGGTTGAAATGAAAAAGTTAGTCACGAGCAGGATTCGAACCTGTATGAGAAATGACAAAAAGGAGGGAAAATTCGAAAATTAGGTTGAGATGTGGAGTTGGTGTCCGAGTGGATCAAATCCATGATAGCTCAAGTGGTTAGAGCAGCGGCGTGTTGAACTGAAGGTCGTGGGTTCGAATCCCACTCATGACACTAACTTTTCTATTCAACCAATACCTTATATAAAGATTACTTTAAAAGCTACATTTCATCACTAATCATTAATATTTATTTATCACACTTACAAGTTTTTACAATACAATTTTTAATTACGTAACATTACTATATTTAATATTAACATTAATTGGTAGATTGGTTAGATCAGTATAATCGGATCGCATTTTAAAAGATCAATAGGATAAATAAAACAAGTGGTAGATGAATAAAATATATTACAATACAATAATATAGTACACAGCAACAAACGTTAGGTTTCATAATAAGTAGATAGCAATATTATCTAAATTGCATTAAGGTCAGTCTTTATTAATATATATTACAATAAATGTTATTGTTTATGTTTTAATAAGACAAAATAATTTGTTAATTTCTTTAATATATTATAAGAAATAACATTCACCAGCAGGAATTTTCAAGTTCAAGAAAAATATATTTTTCCTGTACAACCCTGACTTTAAAAACCATCCTATAACCACATTAAAGCGCTAACCAAAATTTCTGATTTCAAAATTCCACCTTAACAAAAGAAAACTGTCAGGTAGAACACTCGTTCTGACTATAACCAATGTCAGTTTTCAAATATTTACAAAAAAACATTAAATAAATAATAAAAGATGGTTTAGACTTTGGTGGGGGTTTCATATTTGAAAATGACAGCAAACATTTCACCGCCCATCCTTTTAGCTAGCCATTTGTTCTTGATGACCGCCGCTTTGAGGCTCTCGCATTTAAATTTGGCCTCAAGGTTAGTATGAATCGCACGGCCCATACCTTCAATAACAATCAGATCCACATCGACCATAGACTTCGCAAGTTTGTGATCCAGCCGACTGAAAAATGAAGAAACCAATAAGTATTTAAAAACATAGATTATTAAATTTATTTGTGTAACTGTTAATAGATAATTCCTCTACTTACCTCAAATCCAAGCATGGACCGTTCTGCGCAGTTTCCATAGGCACAAGCCTTTTCTCTTCAGTTGCTTTTTTTAAGACTGGACAAATTGAGCCAGCATTGGTCAAAATGACCTCAAGTTCTTTAAAAGTTACATCATTTATTGCTGGCCCAGAATTAGCACAAAGTATCACCTGAAACAAATTGTGTAAGTAAAAAATAAAAGTTTTACTGTAGACCAGGTATTTTATCTTTCATTAAAATAAGAAGCTTCAAATAAGTTTTTTCTTAAATATTTTTTACAATATTATTATTTAGTTTGTGTAAATCACAATTAGTTACAACAAACCTTGGTGCCACGGGATAGCAGGAATCTAGCAAAAGGTAAAACTCCCAGAACGATGTCGACACCACTATTGTCTATGAAAATCGCCGCTTTACTATGCGGTGGCCCCCTCAGGCGATTGAGCCACATGTCTAAGTGATCGATCACCCAAGGCCTTCCTTGAACATCGATCGGAAATAAAGTAAACTTTTATCCTCCAGAATTTCACTTTCTACCTGGAATCTTACTCCGGGCCTCGGCTAGGCCGAACTTCTCCTTGCCCATTATGTCGACTATGGCTTGTGCACCCCAGTCGAACATATTACCGGCCAAGAGGCCGAGAACAAGTTCATGCTCAAGTTCCTTTAAAGGCAATTTATCGAGGTGTTGAAGACGGTCTTGAAGCTGTGCAAGTGCTGCTTCGTTCTCATTTTGTTTGACCTTAAGCAATTGTAATTAGTTAGTACAATTAATTTATTGTGAACTAAATTGTAAATAATTAAGAACTTACGAGTAAATAAGGATCAGGAAAATCAAACTCTTTCATACAATGTTGGATTGTTTCAAGCAAACAACGAACGGTCAAATTACCATAAGCACTAAAAATAAATAAAATAAAAATAAATACTCATTTACAAAGAAATTTATAATAAATACTGGCACATGAAAATTTTTATATTGAACAAAGAATATAAAAATTAAAATTTATTTACAAAGGATGAAGTCTAAGTTTTTGTAGTCTTCTCAAAAACTTTTCCTTGAACTGGTTTGCTCTTTCAACCGCAGTTTTACTCTCAGGTTGACTTTTGATCGCAGCATCTGCAAATTTCCTTATGGATTCTTCAAAGCAGTCTAACCAATACACCCTGAATAAGTTAAAAAAGTTAGCATCCTTTCACAAAATGTTGAATATTTAAAAACAAAATACCTTGCTTCGTGGTCAATGATAAGATCCATGGTGTCTGGAACGTAGTGAGCCGTGTTGAGCAAAAGAGGGCAGAATTTTCTCTGTACTTCTCGATCAAGTTCCAGCTGGGCGATATTCCTCGATTTTTCCATCGAATCCATCCAAATGGCAGGCTGAGGTTCAAGGGCAGAGCTCCCGGCATAATTCTCTTGCCAAGAATAATTTTCACCTAAAGGTAAACAACTTTTTCTACATCAAACACGGATTAGAAAGAACTGAACTGTACGACTGAGGAAATAAACATTTGGTTAATGTTGAATGAAAATTCCTTACCACATTCTTCCGTTCCTTTTAAAAATGCACCTATTGCCCCAAGATAACCCTCATGGCGGAGGAATAGGCTTTGCACTTTGCCTTTAGACCAATAATTTATAGAAAAAGATACTGTGTGCATACTTAATGGATGGTTTCTTAAAAAATAACCACCAAAATAAACCTAAACCAATCAGTTAAATAAAACTAAATAGAAGAAAGTTAAGTACTGACAAAAAAGGACTTCTACACATACCTTATTTAGATTATGCATCATGGCATACAATGATGCTATTTGACCAATGTCATTGCTAATAGTGAATAGCAGACTTCGTACCACATCAGCATCTGTGCAAGTTATTGCTGAAACAAAAATTAAACTATTAGCTGCAAACCTTATTATACTTATTAAACAAAACTTACTCTGGCCTTTCTTCACTGACTGGCATATTTTTCCAAAAGCAGATGCGATCAATTCACTGTTGAGCCCATGAGCTTTGTAATCGGCTCCATAGATGTCCTTTACAAGCATATCAGTGTTTCTGTGGTCACCGACTTCTGCGAGTTCAAGCAGCTCGTCAAATTCCTGAGACAAAACTGTTTTTTTATTCAATTTAATTTCACTGTGGGAACGAAAAAAAAGGCATCATTGCAATTTGAATTTTTTTAAATAAACAAACATTTAAAATTATGTTGTAAGGGTCCCTAATAAATAACAATGACTCAATTTGTATTTTAATTATGTTCATTATAAAATATTAAATTTATGGAACTTAATTTTTAATTATTACCGTGGCTTTAGTTAAAAGAGTTCCAAGACCCCAGAAGGTCCCACCACCAGTTGCCGTGCCACCAATCCTTTCATAGCAGTCCTCAGATTCTACCTGAAATGCAAATGAAAACATTGTTGAAGCATATGCATCCCATTAAAATAGTGCATTATTACCTTGAGTATGCTAACACCGGAACCAATATTTACCAGCATATAAGGGAAAATATTTTGGTCGGTTGTTTGAAATTCATATTCGGGATTGGCATGCCGATGAAAAGTGAAAGCTTCGTCACTTATATTTTTCAACAGAAAATTGCAACCCTTTACCAAACAACTCATTTCGTCTTCCTTCTCAACCCTTGAAATGTACGAATAAAATCTTCCATCTTGGCAAGTGTATTGTAAATAATTTGCGCTTACTTCAGACCAAGCTTTTCTTGTATTGTATTGGCATATTTGTAAGCACCGCCTCCTGTCGCTTTTATTATCTTTCCCATCATGCTTTCTTTTGAGCCTACTAGATTTGATTTGATAAAATCCAAACAGTGCTCTATGTATTTAGTCTCAAATTTAACAAAATGAAGTCTTGCATGTTCAGACACCTCGTAATAATGGTCCTAAAAAATCCAAAGTCTTTAACACTTAACAAATAATTTCTATCAATTTTTTATATTTTTTTCTTGTCGATGATTCTTACATCTAATGAAGTCATATCCTTGTGAATACTACAATAATTAGCACGCCTATAAGACATTGTGGAGAAATAAGCAATTTTTGTTAAGGAGCCTCCTGCCAATAGAAACAAACTCATATTTTTAAAATTATATTTAAATCTATAACAATTTTTAAATAATTATACAATATATGTATATTAGTTTATAACAGTAAGCATTGTTAACTTTTTAGTAAGGCAACAGAAGTTGTAGTTCATACACAAGTTCATAAAACCAGATATATTTTTGGAAAAAAGTGGCTCCATACTGTATGAACTGTAAAATAAAGATTCTGTTGTACAACTATTTTGATTAAATTTTAAATGAAAGATGTTGAAAAACTAGAATTTTATTTGAAAATGGATTGATAAAACGAATAGTTTGGCATTAAAATATTTGTGAAAGTGTGTAGAGATTAGTGACCATTAATCGATAGTTATTCAGATATCGTGAGATGCGGTCGGGTGTGATGTAGGTTTCAGAAAAACATTTTCTTTATCGTGCCAACGTTTCGATCTTTTATTGAGATCATCTTCAGGGCCTGGGATTTGTGAAAGGTTGTGTTGAAGTTTGCGATGTGACAAGCATTATCTCAATTGTCAAGGACACGTTTGGTCTATCACTAAAAGATAGTGTCTTCATGATTTATCAATAGTAGGAGGTTCATGTCTGATTTATTCTATTTTTCTTATTCAAGTCAATCCAAACTTTTCTCCACTGATACTATATACATCTTTTGTTCTTTTGTGGAAGCCCTATGATTCAATCTACACTGTGGAAAGTGCTTTTTCCCACAAAACTAAGCCCTTTCTCTGGTGCCTCTTTAGACTTTACGCACTTCCTTAGTGCAAGAAATGTATTACCGAAGTAATAAGTGCTGATGTCTAAGGTTTGTTTTTTATAGGTTGACATGTTTCTGCCTCTGCTTTGACCATCTGAAAAATCATTGACCTAAATGCATTTATGCATCTTGACTGCGTACACGCTATCCCGGTTCAAAATGGGGTACGAGTCTACCCAGGCATTTAACCCCTCGGGTCTTGGTCGCCCACCCTGCATAATATATGCATCTTTAGCTTGTGCAAACTTGCACACCGAAACACAAGCTATACTCTGCATATGCAAAATGATCGGCCCAGTGCATTGTCGGTGATTTAGTGTGTTTGTTTACCCTTGCACTCTCTTTCCAACTGATCAGCCATAGTAGATATTCTAAGTGGAAATAGACAGATGAGGTTCAAAATATAACCAATTTTCAACCAATCAAAGAATAATGTTTAATTATTCCTAGGAAGAGCTGGTTTGACTCTGAGGACGGTTCTAAGATGGGAAACCGACCAATGCCACCCTAGGTCATTACAGACATAATTGTCCAGGCTCACAGCATTGGCCAGGTAGTGTACACCACCAAACCTTTACTGAGCTCTTAGAACTAACCAAATTCGCCGGTCTAGAACTGCGGACTATGACACTACAGCATGTTTAGGACAGATCATTCAGGGGTCCAATGACAACCCTCTTGTCATTCTCTGGCGGAGAGATATGTTGAGATGGGGTTGTCTTGACAAAATGGTAGTAATACTCTGGGTACCCGGAAACATCGGGCTGGAGGGCAATGAATGTGCAGCTGTGGCTGTGAAAGCTGAGATGTATCACCCTACAGACTGAAAACCAAGGCGATCCGGCCTGGTGTGAGCTGTAAACAATATTAAGAAAGCATTGGTACCATCAGTCTGAGACGCTCTTGCTAAACTGTGCAAAAATGAATAGGGATATTTGTATATATTATTTTTATTCTATTAATTTTAATTAAATTAACAGATATATTCTTGTTAGTTGGATAAAGACAAAAAAAAAAAAAAAACAGAAAATTTGTTAATCCTCATTTTTAATAACAGATTTACTTAAGAATAGTAAATGAGAAGATTACTCATTTTGTAAATAAACACTTTTTCTAGTCTTTTCTCCATTTTAATCCAGTTGTATTCTCTTTAACCATGGAAAGGCATCATCTTGAACCAGAAGTTCGCAATATTATTGTAAGAATGTGTCATCGAGGTCACCGGCAAGTGGATATCGCAGAGGCAGTTGACATTTCTCAGTGTGGTCTCCCAGGATAGAAGTGCCAAGGGAGGACATAAATATTGTCATTGCTGCAAGACTGGTCCTTTCCATAGTGCCTGCCAGATCTTAAATGAAGTATAAGATTTTTTGGCAAGGTCTTTATCACCACAAACGATTCGTAATTATTTGTGGGAAGTTGGCCTCACATCGTATGCCCCTTTGAGATGGCCTGCAGCAACAGCCCGCCACCGGCAACTCAGGAGAGTAGGTGAAGTGAGCGCCTAGAAGAGAACACCAATTGGAATGCTGTTATCTTTACTGATGAATCACGTTTTTGTCTGATAGCAGAAGAAACTGGAACTCACTGTTTCCTAAGCACTGCAGCCTTCTGGTTTATTGCACTTTCTTAGTTCCTTAGCCTGTGGATTTGATCCTTCTTTTAAGGAGTATTAGGTTATTGACTGTTGCTACAATTCCTTTACCTGAGTTTTCTTTGTATCTCAGGTTATGTATCCATTGAAATGCGTTTCACATTCGAACTTGATATGGGTGGCTGTTTCTTACTCCTCATTGTACCTAAAACTGGGATCATCATTGAATATACCCATATTGTGTTCTCAGATGCTAGTGATCGGTGTATCACTCCTTTGAGTTTAGCCTTCTATAATTCTAGCAGTTAGTTTGCCAGTCTTGGTGAGGGTTGTTTTAGCACAAGTTTACTGTGTTCGTTTTTGTTATCCTGAGAATTGGTTCAGGGCAACTATATGGTCTTGCAGATCCTCCTCTAGCCAGTGGGTCTGCTTTTTCGTTTCCCACAATTCCCTGTGTCCTGGAACCCGAGATGTAAGGTTGTTCTGTTTTCCTAGGTTCTTTTAGAGATTTTGGATGCACTCACTGACCAGTTTTGGTCTGATTTTTTTACATACTAATGCATTAAAAGCCTCTTGGCTCTGAAAGGAAGCTACCTTTTTTTAAGATTTTCCAAGGGATAAGCATTGATGGTATGTATTTCAGTTTAAAAGAGGTGTACTTCGCTAATGAGTTTGGTTGCCCATGTTTTGGACTTAACATGCTTGATCTGGTTCCTTCATGTGTTTTGAGCCATTTATATCTGATGTTTTCCTGATTCTTTCTTCACCTTTGTAGTTTGATGAGACTTTATAGTATGATGTTTCTGATTTTATTAATGAATGCTGTGAGTCCGAAGTGTTTAGTTCCCATCCACTTTGAGTGTTTCTGAAGCCTAAATGTGCCTTTTCTTGCTTCTCCTTGTATAAATATTTCCAATGGAAGTAGGATTAGCAGAGTTTGTATAATGTCTAATGTTTGGCAGCTGGTTTTTGTTGAGCTTTGGTCCATCAGATCAGCGATCCAAAGGTTACTTTGAGTCTTATTAATGCCACACTGGCCCTTACCATAACAAGAAGCAAGTAGGCATAGCCACTGATATAAAGACAGCCCTTGGGCACCCGAGTCAATCATTAGGCTCCTATTCCATTTCTTAAGCGAAACAGGTGTTTCCACATGCATAAAAATGTACATATTGTATGTACATAGTAAATAACAATGAAATTTTACATTGAATTATTATGTCATACATGTTGATGTAAAGCTGTGTACCCATAATGTTCGCAAACCAGTAGTGCTCTGCGATCCTGTAACCGCTTCAAGTGGAGACGAGGTGGCGAACACGGCCGCTCCGCAAGAGATCTGCAGTGTTCACCCGAACGTGGAAGGATTAACATGTCGTCCAAGATATATTCATCCACTATTTGGCTGAAGATTACAGAAGGTCCCGTCGTTTTTGGCGAGCATATTTATTTAAAAAGAGAGCTAACCATGCTTCCCGTTGGACCTAAAATTCTAGACCTAAATTGGAATCTTTAAGATCCCGATAATAGGTATTTTAGGGACAGTTCGATAAGAACTAGATATTTTTTCTCCGACCACTCCATGCTTTTGGAGATTGCACTATTAGGTTACAAGAGTGGTACACACTACATAAAGTTCCTCACTGCCGTCCACGAACCTACTGTCCTACTGTGCTCCCCTTTGAGTTCGCCCAAAAACCGACAGCCATTGGAACGCTATCGAATGTTCGCGAACTGTTACACACTCAGAGTGCAGAAGCGTACACACTAAAGACGAACCTGGTTCGGGAACATAGTCGGTACGCAGCAGCTTAAGACTGTTTGTTTGAACTGATTAATGAGAGGGCCATAGCTTAATATCAACTACCCAAACAGCTTTCACAGTGTGTGGAGGGCAATGACTTTATTGTTGGTAGCTCCGAGGGGAAATTAAAAGATAAAATAGTGTTTACACGTTTGTCCAAATGCAATTTGACCACCTTTAGAAATTGTCTGTGCGTTGTTTTGTGTTTTTATTTTTAGTGACTCAACAACTTGATTGCTCAATCACTAAAGATGGAGTTCGACGGAAATAAAGCAAGAATAAAGGATTATCTTTAAGCAAATGTTTAATAATTATGGAAAAAAAACCTCGCAATAAACAAGTCAATATTTTGTGTTTTTTAACGCTCGTAAAAATAAAAAATAAAATAAAAACTTTTAAAAAAGCCATGATTGCCAATGCCAGTGGAAATTGTTTGTTAAAATGCTGGAATCGACGTCTCACCTATGTCGATGGCGAAACGCTTGGCCTTTTTCAAGTTCCTGAACACCTTGATCGTCTCTGGGAGCTTGATGCTTTTCGGCGGAGCTTTCTTGTCCATGTTCTTTGGACTTTGTCTTGGGCGGTTCAAGTGGAAAAGTGCTCCAGGCTGGACTTGAAGACGTGCCTTAAGCTCGAACCAGTCTGTAACCTCGGTTATCAGAAACTTCAAATTGAACGCCTTTCGTGCCATTTTTGAACAAAGTCCTGGGTACTCTTTTGTTACACGATCCACTCAAAATAACTCTAAAAACAAATTTCAAGAAGTTTTTAAAACAATAAAAGTATTATTTAAAAAATTTAAAAAAACTTTTTCAGGGCACACATAGCTAATTCTGACATATATTGCAGATTGATAACCGTTTTAACAATTACCACTCTTTTTAAAAACATATTACACTAATTTTAACCAATAATATTTTGTTTCCTTTCTACCACATTTCTACTTAAACTGACACATCAATAAATTTCAAATAATTTAACATTTTTTAAAATTAATCTTATATCCTGCTGTTCAAAATTGAAAGGAGAAAACATTAATAATTAATATCTTTTCTGTTGAAAGTATAAATTATTTTATTTTCATTAATTTAATCACAATTGGTACTTCTGGAGTACCAAAGTTCGGCTAGAGCCTTCTGAGTACTGAGTTATCGTTAAACAGCGTTGTAACCTTGCAAAATGTGTTTACTTTTCCTTTCATCCTCTATTTATCCTTTGATTGTAAATCTTTTTTGATAATTTGGATTTTTAATAGTTAGCATCATTCGGTGGGTTGTAATCTCAGATTTCGATTCTCTCTCCTTCTGGTGTCCCTCGCTTAACAGACAACATGAAGAAAAAGGTGAAACATGTTTGGTTTTTTTGTTAAATATTTATTATCTGTGTGTATTAAATGCTTTTCTTATATGTTAGTGTACGATTTTCTTCGTTAAAGAATGCATTTCAGACAAAAATTAACTCTGGTATACTTTTGAAGATATTGAACTAATGATATTTGTACATTTGGCATGTCAATCAAAAGAAACACCCTACTGCAATTGGTGTTTGCCAAAAGAAAACCCTCGTTACAATCACTGAATTTAATAAAAGTTTTGTAAAGAACGACCATTATCTTTCAATCTAGTAAATAAAGAAATTATATCAAAGGTGATGATTTCTGAATGATGAATTATGATTTCTGAATAATCATCGACTAACGGTCACTAATCACCACACATTAATTTTTCACATTAATTAATACATTAATATTTCATAATTTACTTTAAGTCTCAGGTGGTATTGGTCAAAAGAGGTACCTAGTACCGTACTTGTTTACCTCAATACTGCAATCGATGTAGGTCAAAATAAAACCCTTGCTACAATCATGCAGTTCAATAAAAATTTTGTAAAGAACAAATATTCTCATTTGGATTAGCTATTTAATCAATTGTTGAAAAGTTTGTAATAAGTTATTTTTAAAAACGTGTGAACATTCTAGTTACATTTTTTATTTGCCTGTTATTTTATATATTTGTCTTAAAATCAAAACTATTTTGGTCAAAAGAGACTACCTAGTATTTATTAAAGATCTGAAAAATCTATACTTTTGTATATTTTATATATTCATCTTGTAATCAAAACTATGTTGGTCAAAAGAGACTACCTAGTACGTATTTGCTTAGCTCAACAGATGATTTTGATGCAATCGGTGTTGATCAAAGAAACAACCTATGCAAAAAACAAATATTCCCAGTTGTCTAGCTAATTAATCAATTATCGCGATGTTTCTAACAAGTTTTTTAAAAGTGTGTGTGAACATTCTAATTACATTTTTTAATTATTAGCCTGATTATTATATTAATATTTCATAACATATTTTATATACTAAATAATAATAAAGATCTGAAAAATCTATACTTTTGTGTATTTCATATAATCATCTTATAATCAAAACTATGTTGGTCAAAAGAGACTACGTAGTACGTATTTGCTTAGCTCAATAGATGATTTTGATCCAATCAGTGTTGGTCAAAAGGAACAACCTATACTTAAAGGTAATATTCTTACTTAAATCTAGCTAATTAAACAATTTTTGTAAAGTTTTTTATAAATTATTTTTAAAAGTGTATGAACATTCTAATTACATTTTTTTAATTATTAGCCTCATTTTATACATTAATTAATAAAAAATCCTGAAAAATCTATACTTTTGTATATTTTATATATTCATCTTATAATCCAAACTATGTTGGGCAAAAGAGGCTACCTCATATGTATTTGCTTAGCTCAACAGATGATTTTGATGCAATCGGTGTTGATCAAAAGAAACAACCTATGCAAAAAGCAAATATTCCCAGTTAAGTCTAGCTAATTAATCAATTTTTGCAAAAATTTTATTAAGTTATTTTTAAAAGTGTGTGAACATTCTAATTACATTTTTTAATTATTAGCCTGATGATTAGATTAATATTTCATAATTTATTTTATATATTAAACATTAATAAAGATCTGAAAAATCTATCTATTCATCTTATAATCAAAACTATGTTGATCAAAAGACTACCTAGTACCATATTTGCTTAGCTCAATAGAAACAACCTACTGTAATCAGTGTTGATCAAAAGAACCAGCCTATGTAAAAAACTAATATTCTTATTTAAATCTATTTAATTAACCATTCAGTGCAAAGTTGGTAATAAGTTATTTTTAGAAATGTGTGAACATTCTAATTACAATTTTTTTGAATTTTTTTATTATAAATTTATTTTCATATATCAAACAATAATAAATGTCTTAACTAACACCTACTGTATGTATATAATTTATTAAATCAACCACGTTAATTAAAAATAATAGAATAGTAAAATTGTTGGTGGTGTGGAGTGGATAAACATGTAGAACTAATCGACACTGAACATTTTATTGGGTTTGTCTAGTGCTGGTTTATATTTCAGTCATAGTGTTTCCTTAGCCGAAATGAGTACGAGTGAAAGGAAAATCAGTAAGAATATACAAGTGATCGGTGTCAATCAGCTTAACATAGTAATTTGATCAAAGTCCATAACTTATTAATGTCAATGTTGATCTTAAAAAATTAAAACTCTTCTATTATCTTGTAATGCAAAGAAAATAATTTTCCGCAAAATGAAAACTTTGCTATTATCTTGTAATGTAAAGAAAATAATTTTCCACTTCTAGCTAATTATGTAATTATCTCCCAGTTGTCAAAAATGTCTAACAGTTCTAATGCTTAAAAAATATAGTGTGTGTAGTGTTAGGATTTAGACATTTATTTTGATTAATAGTATGTTTATTATTTTCTTTATTTAAATAGACACAAAAGAAGCATCTTACAAAAAATTATGTATATTAACAAATTCTACACTAAAATTGTGTTGAGTTCTCCCATGATTTGAATGAACTTGGGCAGAAGTTTTATGAAGAAAAAAAATTCTGTAATTATACTCCTTTATAAGTATAATTTATTTATTTTTAAAATTTTAAGTAATTTAAAAAGTAACATTGCACCATTTATCACTTCCCATAATTTTTAAAAAAACACATTTGCTCTCAATATTATTGTATAAGTTAAAATTATTATCCATTACTCTACTATTGACTTTCAGCTTGGTAAACTCAACATCAAGTTGTATTGCTATTATACAATCCAATTAACAATTTTTTAGATGTATTTTGTGATTCAAGACTTACATTGATAAACTCAGAAGTAATGCATGCTTGTTGAAAATAATGATCAAATATATTGTTTCAGTAAGTAATACATTATTCACAATAACTCTTGTCAACTATTATTTTTGTGTTTTTTAAATTAAAATATATTATTATAAAAATTTAAAAAAATTAGGTTCTATTAATGGGGAAGAGTGGTTCTGGCAAGACGAGCATGAGGTCAATTATATTTGCCAATTATATTGCAAGAGACACTAGGAGGCTTGGAGCGACAAGTAAATTTGAATTATTTTTCATCACCTGAACAAAATTTAATTATATTTATATTTTAGTTGATGTAGAACATTCTCATGTCAGGTTCTTAGGGAACTTAGTCTTGAATCTTTGGGACTGTGGCGGGTAAGATTTTCTTACAGGAATAAAATATTGTATGATTGAAAAATTTCCATTTTTCAGGCAAGAAGCCTTCATGGAAAATTATTTTGTGAGCCAGAGGGACAATATTTTCCGAAATGTTGAAGTTCTTATTTACGTTTTCGATGTTGAGAGTCGGGAAATCGACAAAGACTTGCACTATTACCAAAGTTGTGTCGGAGCCATCCTGGAAAACTCGCCCGAAGCTAAAGTTTTCTGCCTCATTCATAAAATGGATTTGCTACAAGAAGACCAAAGAGATGTGGTATGTTTTCAACAAAGGTTTGTCTATTGAAACATGTTTTTAAACATTTTTATTTTTGTAGATATTTCGCGACAGGGAGACAGAGTTGAAGAGTCGTTCACAGCCAATCAATTGCACATGTTTTAGGACATCTATTTGGGATGAAACACTTTATAAAGTAAGCAGGAAAATCAATAAAAACTGATATATTCATGATACACAATACAATTCAAATATGTTTCAGGCATGGTCTTCGATTGTTTACATGTTGATCCCAAATGTCAAAGAGCTGGAAACTTCTCTGACCCAATTTGCAAACATAATAGATGCCGATGAAGTCCTTCTATTTGAAAGGGCGACATTCCTTGTAATATCCCACTACGAGCACAGACCTCATAGGGATATACATAGATTCGAAAAAGTCTCTAATATAATAAAACAGTTCAAGTTAAGCTGCAGGTATGAAGTTTAATGTGAATAATACTGAGAATGATTTAATATTTCAATTTTAAACTTTTACAGTAAAGTCGCAGCACAATTTCAAAGTATGGAGGTGAGAAATTCAAAATTTGCTGCATTTATTGACGTCTTCACATCAAACACATACGTTATGGTCATTACTTCTGATCCAAGAATTCGTAAGTTCATATTAAAAAAAAAAAATGTTATATATTTTTTCATCAATTTTATTTCAGCTTCAGCAGCTACTTTGATAAATATTAGGAATGCGAGGAAGCATTTTGAGAAATTAGAGAAAGAGAGTCAAAATCTAGTCAAATGACAGAAAAACCATTAAAAGTTTCAAGAATGGAACATTTGTAATTTATAAATATAACAATCATTTGTACAGTGAAGATTTATAGTTACTCATTTATTGAAATTTTATATTTTTCATAATATTGTTTATAATGTTTTTATTAAATGTGAATCTTTGTGAAATTATATTGATACAACAAATTATAATTTTCTTTTGAAGCGTTTATTTGTCTCCTTTTACTCAACTTCATCTTATTCTTTATATTTATATTTATAGTGTGATGTCAGCATTTTTACAACACAAGTCGCCATTTAATACATAACCATTTAGATTTAGGTCAACCAACTTGTTTTTATTTAGTACAGTTTAAGATTAAGATTAGAAAAGGAGTCTCTTTACAACATCGTGGCCAGTATTGTGCATTTCCATTGTTTAAAGTTTCTCGTTAAGCTTAAGATTACCAGATCCCAAAGCTTTTTCAAAGACTTCCGTATATATCCTTCAGGCCCGGGCTTTTCCTCTCCCAGGAAAGTACCGCAGACTTCTTTTTAACCCACGGCCTGATGGATTTAATTTCAATGGCCAATAGATGCCTTGAATTTTCCTTGGCAAATATAAACATCCTCATTGCACCTCTGCCCTTGTTGCTGCTGCTATATACATAATTATGTCTCCAGAGTCTCTTTTTGTTTTCTTTTTTTCTCATATTTCCATCTATTATGATTCATACACATGCTATATGTTAATTTTCTCTTTGAATTTTTTTGTTTTAATATTTCTGTATTTGTAAGCTTTTATGCAGTAAACTCAGCAGACGGGTATTAGCCTTTTGAATCAGTATTTATATATATTTTTTTTTTATCAATTCTAATAAAGTATTGTGTATTGTATTGTATTAATTCTAATAAGAATTAAATATGTATCTTTATTCATTTCCGATAAAAAAAGTCTGCAGTGGCCAGTTAGAGGAACAACTATTCTACTCCTAACATGTCCTAGATTTAATAGTTCTGTCCTTAGTTTCTGTGATGATCTTTTATGAACTTTTTGCATGCCTCTGCCCAGGATTTCATTCCTAGTGAATTGAAGACTTATTTTTAATCATTTGTTTGATGGATCCATGTTTTTGGCTGTTTGGTACATGATAATAGGGTTCAGGGCCATCAAACCTTCCTTGGTCAATTTATCTGCCCCTTTGCCCTGTATGCCCTGGTACCCTGACAAGGGTAATTTTGCTTTTTTTTTCCAAGGTCGGACGGCTCTAATGCAATCCCACACTGACTTTACCAATTGCCTAGTAATTGCCCTCAGTGCTATATAGCTGTCTGAGTTTATGGCTATTCTTCTCTTAGCAATACTTTTTATTCTCAGCACAATGTTCAATGTTCAACTGCCTCCTCTTGAAAGACAGTTTTATATTGCTCAAGGCATATATAAATTTTAGTCCTTGTTTATTTCCATAAATACAGCTCCTGACCCTTGCTCGGTTCTGGAGACATCTATATATCAGACATGGCATTAACTGGGAATCTGGGATCTCTTTCTCCCAGTCTGCTCTACCAGGTATTTTGATTTGAAAATTTTTATACCTTATATTGTTTAGTTAATTTGTCTATATTTTTCTCGCTTTTAATTTTGTAAGGGAATAGTTGACAATCGGGTTTGCTTTGACAAAATGATACAATATTTATTTATTGTGCTTTAATAATATTACTTTTGAACACATACATTACAGAAAATACTTTTTACTTTTTTCATTGTATAAATGTAACAATAAAAAAAAAACCCACACAGGTGATAATTTCTTAACTTGGAGAAAAATAATATGTATAGTTTAATAATGCTTCCAATAGAATATTGCATTTGAGTAAAACAATTTATATAAATAACATGTTATCATATAAAAATAAAATATCCATGTTACATAGTATTTTATTCAGGATTGACTTCAAACAACAATTCTTTCCCAAATATATACTTTAGTATGTCTGCATTCTTGTTCTTTTTAGTTTTAGCCTGGTTGAAATCTTGTTCGGTTTTGAACAAATTATCATCTTTAGGTACGCCTATGTTGTCATCCCTTGTGGATAGTTCTTGCGGCATCGTTAACTTTTTATTGACAGAATATGTCGTGCTTTCACTACCTATGCTATTGTCACGACTGAATTGGTCACTGAAAGGATCATTCTGAATGCCCAAAATAGCCGTTAACGATTTGCGATTTTCCAAACTGATGTCTTTATGGTTGCTAGGAGAATTGATTTTCCCTATGTCCTCCTTTACACTGTCATTTGACGATTGTTTGTTTGAAATCTGAGAAAACCCGCTTGAGTTTGTCATGCTGTCTTTCTTGTCCAGGTCTGACGGCAAGAACCCGCTGACCTGCTCATCGTACTCAAACTCACAGATGCCAACATTATCGTTTTGCTCTTTGGCAAACATGTTCTCAATTTTAACTATCAGTTCGTCTTTCCTTGGATGGACGTACTTTTTAATTTCGTCCCAGTCAAGATTATCTACAGAAAAGATATCCCCGTTGTGATTCGTATCGCATTCAAGCTCGGGGAACTGTATCCTGTTGTTACTCTCTGGAAGGATGTTGTCAATTTTTTTTACCACTCGTTCTTCTATCACAGGTGGTTGCAGTTCTAACGGCTCTTCCTTTGTCAACTCTCTCGTTTCTTGTTGTACAATACTCTGCAGTTCATTTTATATATTATTTTTCAAACAGAAACACAAACTTTTAGTTTTACTTACTGGAAGACAAATCTTGGGAGACTGCACTGGTGCATCCACCGTAACATCTAATGTGGTGCTGGATACAGTTTTACGCTCCAATTTTACACGTGATTTAGTTCTGAAAAACAAAAAAGGACTTTAATATTTAACAATGATTTATATTAAAATATTCAGTTAATAGGCAGTTACTATTGGAAAATAATTGGTTAACCTTATCAGTATAACTTTGTATTTACAGTTAATTAAATGTTTTCACATACAAAAGTGTGTATATGCAAACACAAGGTATGAATGGCAACCAAGTTGTGATGGGACACTTTGTACTCTATGGTATTATTCATGCAGGGTAAAGTTTTGTTTGCACATAGGTATAATGAGTACACAGTACACATCACAGTTCTATTAAGATTAATTAAGGTTTTTAGTTGAGATAAAAAAGTCAATGGCACAAGCGGGATTCGAACCCACGATCTTCGGCTTGATACGCTGCTGCTCTACCACTTGAGCTACCGTGACCTCGATCCACTTGGACACCAACTTCCCATCTCAACTGCACCATTGAATTTTCCCTCCTTTCTATTAAGAATTAATAGCGCAAGGTGATCAGGCTATTAGGTGGCACTCAAAGATTTGTGGACACACAATCCCACAATGCCCACAATTGTGGACTTGGAGGTGTTGCTAATCCAAGGAAATACCAGAGGAGCGGTTCACAATGAACAGCAAAAACTGAGAGAAGAGATACTGTCAGATGCCATCCCAGGCACGCCAAATAATGCCACTACTCCCAAATACAACTTTATTTACAAGAACTTACACCAGAAGGGTGGGCCAAAAGAACTCATCTGAAGGTCAATATGTACAGGTATACCGACAGCTCAAAAATAGATAACAGGAGTTGGTGTCCTTGAGTTGTACCTGAAGACTCAACTGACTTTAAACTTAGGTTCGATACAGTTTTCCATTATGAAATAATCGCAATTGAACCCTGCTCCAGAGAAATAAGAAGTCTTCCTTTTTCCTACATTCCAGAAAAGTGGTCATTTTCTCTGATCAGCGAAAGCTAAGGCTTGAGGTAAAGGCAAAAAGCACATGGGATTGTTCTGCCTGACAGAAGTCAGTGACACCAATGACCTCAGGTTAAAGAGGCAATAAAAAAATGTAATTTTGACCAAAAAAAAGAGCCAATATGAATTCCCTAAGCCCCAAATCCTACTGTGGCTCTTAGCACTTGGCCACAAAAAAAGGATACATCCAAAAATTGTCGAGTTCAAAACTTGGTGGAGCAACAGCCCAAGCATGAGGCACGTGAAGAGATTCATAGTAGGGCCATACACAATATTAACAAAGGATAAAAAAGTTTATTTGTAAAATTATCTAACATTTTAGTTTTCATGCAGTTATATAAATTACTGAAATTTGGTCATACATCGGCCATTTTGTTCTGCCTTTACTTGCTAGGTTGATCTGACAGATATGTTTCAACATTTGTTGTGTCTATGCAGACCAAAATGACGGTAACAAATAATAACTGTAATTACAAAATTTCAGGTTCATCACACCGCAGACAACATGGAGAAATTTACAAAAAATATATTACCTTCCTTTGTTAATGTTGACGGATGACGCTGAAGGATTTTCCTCAAGTACTTTGGCAGGTGCAGTTTTCTTTGTTTGCGGTGTAATATAATTTATGTTGTTTCTCCCCTAATATAAAGAAATAAAAGTTATTTCTTATTTGTAATGGAATATTTAAAAAAATAATAACATATAAAATATAGACCTGTAAAACTTCCATTGATTTTAAGACTTGTGCAAGATGATTTTTTGTTTCTCTATGTTTAGTTATTTCTAGCCTTAGTATTGAGTTCATCCGCTTCTCTTCAAGCTCCAATTTTTTACTTAGTTTCTTTGGAAGAAAAAGAATAGTATATCAATATATATTTAACATATTTGGTTTTTACCTTATTTGCATCTTCGAGAGAACAAACTTGAGCCTCGAGCTGCTGAACCTTTTTCATGAGTTTTTCCCTCTCCAACAGGTTTCTATCTTTAGTCAATTTTACGAGATGTGTATTTTGTAGTTTAAGAGATATAATCTCCTCGTCCTTTTGTTTTATCCTCCTCTCAAGCTCACGGTTGTTCTGTTTGAACTGCACAAATTTCCTCGATAAACACTTTACGCCTTTGGCACATTTTCGACATTACCTCTTTCAGTTTGATGGTCATTATCCTGTGATCCTCTTGGTATCCCTTGACCATCCTGGGCATCTCTGCCTTTGAGTCCTCTAGTTTTTTTATTTCGACCTCTTGCCGTTTCTGTAACGTTTTCAGCTGGACATTCTCCTTTTGCGCCTCCTGGAAAAATTAATGTGATTAGTTTGTGTAATTGCAAAGAGATGTTTGTACCCACTTCCAATTGTGATTTGACTTCAAACAATTTGTTGTGAAGTTCCTTAATTCTAATCGAGTCATAATGCTTCTCTGAAGCCTTTTTTTCAATTCCGATTGGAGCCAGCTTCCGTAGATATGGGTTTGGTACTGAAAAATGAAAAGAAATTTAGACAGAGCTTGCTTATCCAATCAATTTCCAAGGAATTAAACGTCAAAATTCAAAAAATTGTATCAGAAGCCAGTACAAGTTTAGCTTTCATCTAGGCTTGTTTAAAATGCAATAATATGCCAAGAAACTTTGGAATTACACAGAAGGCACTAACTTGTATATCCAGCAATAACCATGATGGTTAAACAGAAAAAAACGTGGCTTTATATTTGAGGTTTTTGAACTTAAAGCTTGATTACCAAGCTACACCCTGCTCTGAGAAAAAAGGGATCTCTTAATAAATTATATAATCGTATAATGTTGTGTGCCCTGCTCCACCTAGACACTATTTAAAAAAAAATTCTTTATCGCCATGTGTTGAAAACTTTGGTAAACTGCCAATGAACCTGGCTATGTACATTTATTAAAACTTTTAACATGTTTTTATTTTTGTTTTAGTACCAGGACAAATCGATTTAACAAATGCAGCAGTCGAAAAATATTTTGAAGTAGTAATAAAAAAGAAAAAAATAAACAAAAATAAAAATCAAGCTTTTAGGGAAACATGCATATGATAACAATTTTTATATATTTATTCATCTGAAATAAATGTATGATCAATTTTACTTATAATACACAATTCTGTGGTGTTGTAAAATTGAATTGTAAGCTGTAGTTTTTGTTTATAATAAAAATGTGTCACATATGGCTTTGGCAAAGCCATTGCAGTTGTGTGTTTTCTAACTAGAATTTTTTGGAAATAAAAGGAGATGGCCAGGTATGTTTCTGAAAATTGTCTATCCTCAATATATTTTTTATTGTTCAGCAACATACCCATTTTTGAAGATTCTGGCTTTTGTTATGCAACAACTAGAGAGTAATTAAGACGCTATTCCAGCTCTGTTCGACTTGTTCACCAACACAGAATTTAGAGAAAAACCATTCACATTTCAAACTGTCAAAAATTATAAAAGCAAAAATTTATTGGTTTTAAACAAGAAAAATTTGATTTCTATTTAATTCGGAATGCAAACTATAATTTATTTTATAGACAAACTCATCAATTCTATTGTGCAAATAAAACAAAATTTTAAAATGTTTTAAAATATGATTACTATATGGTAATACTTATGATTCATATTTATATTAATGGAGAATTTTTCATTTTCAGCTAAACGATTTTTAATTTTATGTTTTTATTTTAAGCTATCGCTCTTGGATTAATTTAGAAGCTTTTGATAAGACGTAAAAAGAAAAAAGTTACAAGCATATGCAAGACCTACCTTTTCTGATATAACTTTTCTTCAAGACTCGTTGAAAGGTGCCGACAGCTACATTTTTCTTCTCTTTGATACTTTTGTCGCCTGAAGCCATGTTCAGTGTGTTCAATGTTAATTCACTTTGTGTTTCTTTGGGACATTTTTCCCTTGCCCCCAAATGATAACTACAAGGATTACAAAACTTTAGCAACAACCATGGTAAACGGCCGTTTCAAGCATACCTAGTTTTTCCATTTTCAACCAAACTGGTGTCTTCTGTCACGATGATTTTAAATAAAGGATTATCGGACTGACACTTCTTTGTCATTTTTGTTTTATTTTCATTCACAGTCTATCTAATCCAAATGGAAACGCAACATAGACACAGCTAAACACACATTTTTTTTTGTTTTATGTTAGGTAGATTGTAATTATTTAACAATGACTATACATTAATGCTAAATTATGTTATTGAAAAAATTGTTATTGATTTTAATTTTTTTTACATACAAGTAATAAACTTTGCTTTACACAATCCACTAATTCCATTTTTTTTTTTTTTTTTTTGAGAAAAAAACTTACAACTAGAACTTGTTTATATTTACTACCTTCCTAGGCAACGGATTCTTGTTTAGTTCTTCAAAACTTTTTAAAACTCTAGCTATCTAAATCGAACAATTTATTTTCTTTCTGAATATGTTAAAAAAAAAATTAAAACTCTTTGTATATTTATAAGAAAAAGGCAATACTTTTATATGTAAATTGTGTGCATTTTGTTGTAGACAGACAATATGTAAAATCAATTTAGATATGAAGGTCTTTTGGGATTATTAGTAACTATGGAAACTGTTTTTAAGGATAAACGAAATCCCACAAGCAAAAATCCTGAATCAGTCGATCAGTCAACTTCTTCAAATTTGTCTTGGTGTGAGAGGATTGGCCATACACGTGCAACGCTGTTTCTTTCAAGTAATTGATGCTCGTTTGTAACAATGAAAATAAACTTTGTCATGACATAAAATGATTTAAATTTAGATTAACTTTTGGGATCTAACTTTTTGTTGCTAGTTTTATTTACAAGTTGAATTAGTTAAATCAAACAAAATACAAAATTAAAGATTTGCAGGTCACATTTTATAAGTTTTTGTTATAAGATGCCTGCAGCTCTTAGCTAGTTTCTAGTGTTCAATATTTTTTCATGTAAAATTTTTAAGACAAACGAACGAAGGTGTAAAAACGCAAGTCCTTCTCGTATCTAGTAATAAAGATGACAAAAATGTTGGACGATATGTTCCATGGCTATTTCGAGCAATTGAACTCAGAGAAAAAAGTAGGATAATTAGTAACTGGTTCATGAAATGGCAGAAACACCGTTGTATAAAAGATATGGCGGCTAATTCTTGTAAAATGATTTTTTTCCTTCGCCGTATCGATGCGCTAAACCGGGACATTGGCTGATCCCGACGATCCGCTCGGTCGCGCACTAAAGCAAAAACTGCACCAATCAATAGTCACGACGTGGTGCTCGGCTGACTTTTATACCTCAAGGCGTTGGCCAAAAAACATTAAAAATAAAACGTAAAAAGTGCAGGAAAATGGCTGGATATAAAATTTACCTGTCAGACTTGTTTGACAACCTTTCACAAATTTTGAGAAGCTCGTGTAAACATTTTGTCTAAAGACAATAGTCCAAGCATAGGTAAACTCATGAAAGTATGTAAACAATAAGCAAGACAGTGGCATAGTTTGATCTAATTTTTAAAACAAGTTCCCTACTATTTTTTTTTTTTTTTGTCTTACCTAATTTTATACTGTATTTGTTCCTCTTTGTGGTCTGCTTTAATGAAATTGTGCAACGTTGACGGTAGGCTCAATGTGTCGAATTTTCTGTAACTGTTTTATTGGATGATATTCTGTAAACACAAAGCGCTTCACACATGTCCTTCATGTGTGACTCACGTGCCTTATACAGATATTTTCTTGTGGTTGTTAAAGAGCCAAATTTTTTGTCCTGCATCATTTTCTAGCCAATTGGTTGTACAGATAAAGTACTGATGGTCTTAAACAATGGTAGAACCGGAATTCAGTCCTACGACGAAATATTCAAGAACTACCAGTTCTCATAGTATAATTTTAGAATAGTTGATTCCTTGGTTAATTAGACCTGTTATACTAAGCATTTAATCGAGTAAAAATATATTTTGAAGAACTGACAAGAACCTATACAATACAAGAAACGCGTTAACACATGGTTCGAGCGTATTTGCTGATGGCATTTGTTTTATACAATAAATTTTTATTTTATTTTGTTAGGACTCCTCGATTCTGCTCCTTGTTTCTGTAATAGTTTTAAAATGAGCGAAATAATGAAGTGTTTTAGCCAGGTCGAGGAAAGCCCCGAGAGGCAATGCAGCGACCCGATGAAGGGCATCGAGATTTCAAAGTACACGACAAGGGATATCGTAGGGCCTTCGGGGGCTTGTGGAGTGTTTTTGAGGAACAAACAAGCCAGGATCACGTTGGAAGCGATCGCCGCCAGGGAAGCAAAGAGGGCGTTGAAAAATCAGACCTTAGCTAAAAATAAGGAAGAAGAGATGGAAAATTTCCGGGTCAAGTTTTGGTCAGGAGCGGACGATCACATCCTAATGAGTAAAATAAAAGGTCTCGTCGACATCGGGATGAAAAAAGCAGACGAAGACCTGTTGGAAAAGAAAAACAAGCTTAAAGTGGCTTTGTTGGAAGAGGAAGTATCGTTGACCCACGAATTTATCGAAAAGGCCCAGCAGAGCGCTCACCGCATCTACCAGGATAAGGTGGCTCTGGCAAACCAGATCGAAGGAAGGCAGAAACTAGAAAGAGGAAAACAAGCACAAGAGGCTTACGAAAAAATTCTCAAGGAGTCTTCAGACGAATACAGAAGGATGCTGTTTAGAGAAAATAAAAGATATTGCACGAAAATCAACGAGTTCCAAATGAAGGACAAAGTTTTGGCCCAAATGAAAGAAAAGGAAGAGGAACAAATGTGGTCGTATGTGATGGACAAATGGGAACGAGCGAAAGCGGAAGTCCTCGATTACGAAAAAAGGCAATCGGTTTCGAAAAATTACGGTCATAGCGATGACATATTGAGGAAACAGTTGCTGGGCCAACGCAGGACGAGGGAATTCGAACAGGAGTTGAAACAGGAGGAAATGGTGTTCTGGAAAAAGATGAACGAAATGTTTAAAGAAGACGAGGCCATTTTTCAGAAGCGGGACGCGATGGCGAAAATGAAGAGGAGGCAGGCGATTCTCGCCCAGATCGAGGAGAACAAGAGGAACCAGAAGAAAGCGGCAGAGGAAGAACTCTTATTCGACCTGGAGCTGAGGAAGCAGAACGCCCGGGAAATCGCAGAAGAATTGGCACAGATCAAGGACGAACGCATGGCCGAGAGGCGAGAATTGGACACGTTCAAAGAATCGGTGGATCAGTTCAAGCGGAATGCCCAGCAAGACGAAAAAGAGCTCGAAGTCCTGATCGCTGAAGAGATGAAAAGAATCGACCTCATGAGGAAGATCAACAGAGATAAAGCGAAAAAAGCCAGAGAAACCTTGATGAAAGAGGTATATGAGAACAGGGCCAAACAAGTCCAAGATAACAAGATGAAAGCGGAAACAGAAAAGAAAGAACGAGCCCTCCTCGCCGAATACTCGAACTTCAGGTGGCAGCAGAACGACCAACTGGACAAAGCCAAGGACAAAGACGTCGCCGATATGCATGAAAAACACCTGGCCAGTTTGATGGAACAGACCACATACGAGAAAGAGCTGGAAAGAAGAGCAGCGGAAGAAAACAGGAACTGGATCGAACAGAAAAAACAACAAGAACGGGAACTCCTAGAAAAATCCCGCATCCTCATGAACGAACCCCGTGAGGGCCTTCGACACCCTTTCTTACACGCTTTTCGGAACTGCTAGTTTACCGACCACTGGGCAAACAGCATAGAATGACATGGCTGCTCGATTGGCGCTTAAAATCATGAGTTAAAACGGTGTTCTTTCTTTCTTAAAATTGTATACTAGTATTTTGGTTGTATGCTGTGTCAAAATTAACAAAATATGTTGGCAATCCTGCAACATTCTGGCATAATTCCATATATTTTATTTCTTTATGATAAATTTGACATTATATCTTTTTCATGTGTACTTAACCTCCCACGAAATTCACGAAAAAATATTAGTCAAAAGGCGTATTTCGTCTAACTGTACTAATGCGCTTTAGTCGTTGAATATTTATCTTGAAAATTTTCAAGATCAAGGAAATTTAGCCTTTTCCTTCAATCTTGCGACAATCTTCTGAAAACATTCTATTTTTGAAAGATTCTGGGCACATCTAGCCGAAGAGAAAAAAAAAACAGTTGGCACATCTAAGCTTTGTGAATCGGTACACATTTTTAAATATTCTAGTTTGACCAAACGGATTGTCAAAAATATTACAGGATAAAGGGTAATTTTCATGTTAATTTTAATTATTTATTCCATTATCTTTACAACATGGCCGTTTATAGTATCCATAACCTTTTGCCATCCCTAACCATCCCTAACCAAATGTTTTGAGAGATTTGTTAAAAAATATTTTTAATCAATAATATTCGACCAAACATCTGAATATGCCATGCTTACAAAGGCTCATGGAATATAATTTAGACAACTTTATGCTTGGTTTTCATTAGCTGTTTATGTAAAACAGTTTTATCCCTTGTACTTATTTATTTATTTTTATTCTTACGGGGTTTTCAACAGCGGTCATATCAACCATCAGGGTGCCGGTGTTTTTGAAAAAAAATGCCTATTTGTAGATCGGGTTCGCATGCAGGGCCTCTGGATTCGAACCCGGGACCTTTACCTTACAGTCAACGCCTAAACCGTTGCGACCACCGACGCCCCTTTATCGTTTGTAAGTTTTTAAACTGTCTGAATTGTTGAGGATGTGGGGGTAGTTTGACTAGAAAAAATAAAAGAATAACAGTAAAAAATATTATACTTAATTTAAATAAATAATTTGTCATCTTTTACAACGTTTTATCACACTAGCACTTATTTTCCTGTTATTTACACTTTTCTATAAAACGATTGTTGATTTAAATAAAAAATACGAATATAAATAAATATTGGATTATCTCCATGTATTATACACAATTTCAATTTCCAAAAGTCTGATTGTGTTGACCCCAGTAGACGTCCAAATTAAATTAATCATAAAAATATTTTTTAAAAACACTGAGGAACGCTATCAATCAAACAGTAAGAACATAAAAATTGTCCATGGAAGGACATATTAAATTTAGAAATTTTGGTATAAATAAAGTTTAATTAAATATATTAATTGCCTTTTCTATAAACAATATTTACATACACAATATCACAATGTTAAATTTCTTTTGAAGAACAATATTCTGTTGCTGTCCTTGTTCATAAAATAAAAGTAGACTTAAAGTAGGAGTATTTTTTAACTTGATTTATTAATTCCAACAGACTTCTTATATTCTCTATGGTCATTTTTTTCAATTAGGGAAGAGCAGAGTTTCTCTAGATTGAAAACGGTCTGAGAACACAAAAATAGGATGACCAATCGATAATCGATCATGACTTGTCGTTTAAGGAAGAATCATATCTCGCGTGCAGAGTCTAATAGTTTTAATTATAATTTTTGTTTTACGATTCGCCTTTTTTCTCCAATTGGTCATCCTATTTTTGTGTTCTTAGACCGTTTTCAATCTAGGGAAACTCTGCTCTTCCTTAATTGAAAAAAATGACCTGGAGAGAATGTAAGAAGTCTGTTCGAATTAAGTAAATCAAGTTAAAAAATCGACATTATCGTTAACATAATGACCAGTAAATTTCTCAGTTCAGTAGCAGGAGGGGCGCTTAAAACTGAAGGATCTGGTTTATCCAGTGTCTGAACTGGGATATCCTTGTGTAGACTCCGGGTTGATTCGGCTCCGCACATCCGATCCCCCAGGATATCACTCCGGCGAGGAGCCATCTTCTGTCCGGCCGTTGGATAACCATCGGTCCGCCCGAATCGCCCTGGAAAACATATCATATTAATAATTTTTCGATTGAAAACCTTAAAGATTTATGAAAAATGGCATAAAATGTCAATTACTTCACAAGAATCGAAGCCCCCTTTTTTCCAACCGGCGCATATGAATATATCCGGTATGTGTTCTATGTAACCCGCGGCCCTGTACATCGTCTCGCACAGTGTGTTGTTGATGACCGGGACTGAGACTTCTTGGAGAATGCTCGGCAACGGACCGTCTAAAACAAACAAAAACAAGAAACTTAAATAAAGAAGATTTGATTGGAGTTTTCAAGTTGTACCTTCATAAAGCCGACCCCAGCCGGTGACGAAGGCCGTGGAGCCGACGAAATTGGTATCGTCCTCCGGTACGCAGACCGGGATGATGTTGGGCTGGAATGTCACCGGCTCGTAGAATCTGAGCAGTGCGAGGTCGTACTCGAAAGTCCTGGGGTCGAACTGGGGATGAGAGGCGACGATCTGCACCCTCCTTTCTTCGTAACCGTACGGCTCTTCTTCCGTCGACAAGTCGTGCTCGCCCAAACGTAAGAGAAGGTCACTTGGTGGTACACTGAAATCCATTAGGCAAAAATGAATCTTCCCATATAAAAAGAAATGTTCGCCCATAAAACTAACTGTAAGGATCTTGTAAATACTGACTTTTCAACGCAATGCGCTGCGGTGATTGCCCAGTTTTCGTTCAGCAACGCCGCGCCGCACTTATGGAGGAACGTCGATGTCCTCCACTGCCTCAAAGAAATCTGAAATTGAAAATTTAACAGTTGAATAACGAACTCAAAGAAGCTAATTTTTATATTAATTGTTTTAGTATTGAATTTTTAAATTATAAAAGAATGCATGTGTCTGAAGCGTTTTTTGTAAAACTAAGACGCTGAATTTGCAAAAAAAATACATCTTTGGATTTAAAACTGTTACTTCCAATTGGTACTTCCAAATCCAAAAATATTATTGAAACCTGTTTTTTCATAATTTGTTGAAGTTGTGAGGAGCGATCAAGAATGAGGTAGTTTAGAAAAAACCTTTTTCATTTTTTTTGCCGAAGTTTCGACCTTTATTCGTGTCATCTTCAGGGAATAAAATGTGTACTGTTCTTGTGGTGTCATATTGGTTTTGTGAGAAAGTGTTGAGTCACATATAAAGTTCACAACACTTTCACACAAAACCAATATGACATCACAAGAATAGCACCCACCTTATGCCCTGAAGATGACCCGAGTAAAGGTCGAAACGACAGCAAAAAGGTGTTTTTCTAAACTACCTCATTCTTGACAGCTCCTCACGACTTCAACAAAACAATTGAAACAATTCAAAAGTGATCAATTCCAACATAGAAACTCTGTATGTTAAATTAATTCTTCAGGTTCAATTAAAATTGAACCATTCAGTAGCATATGAGTGTGTGCAATCCAGCCAATACACGACAAAATAGAAAAAATAATCTCAAATCTAAAGCTAAAATTTAATCTTATCAAGGAACTTTTTTGAGGATTAAAATTTAAAAAAAAATGTATACATTTTTCGTTTCATTGGTGTAAAACTTTTATGCATCGTTTGATTATTATTTCGATTATATTTATTTACTTGTAGCTCTGTAAAGAATATAACTTTTTGAATTAATGTATTATTGTGTTTTACAATGGGATTTTAAATGTTGTTGTTGAAGGGATAAACAATTCGGAATTAGGTAGAAGCTTTATGGAACACAAGAACAAAAGTACAAATCTGCCTCATCTCGTCAATTCTTCGAAAACTAGATTTATAGTATTTTTACACTGCTTAATATGTTGTTGAACTTAGTTTTATTTGAACAAAATTTCATAATTAGATGTAAGATGGTGCTGCAGGATGCAATAAGAACGACAGTCTCAGTGTTTATTTTCTTAAAGCCCAAATATAATTTAATTTAAATTTTAAAAACCAGGTCAAAAACACTAAGTCGACATGATTTAGCCAATCAGCCTCAATATTGTACGTTTATAATTAACCAGTTACTGTAAAACATTCTGGAAAATTTTGAATAATTTGAATGGAGTGAGTTCTTATCTTTCTTGATAATCTGATCAAAGGAAGCAATTTTCTCAAAGAGAGCCAAAGTGAAGAACATCGTGGAAATAAAAGAAAAGCGTCTTAATTGGAGCTAATCAATCGGAAAATCCCATTGTAAAATTTATTTTTAAGTAGCGTTCAGGAACATGTTGCAATGATAATTTTTGGTAGATTAGTACGTCTTGCCCTCCTTCCTCGAGTACTGGTCCCGATTCATTATTCCAACAATTATTTTAAGTGTGGCTTTACTGAAATCCGCATCGGGCCCACAAAGGATTTTTGCCGCGTGGGCGTCCCGGTACATTTGGTACATCCTCCGGAGTCAAGCACCCCGTCAAGTACTGAACTTTTCATTCAACCGGCGAAAGGTCTTTTGGGAGCGTTCCAAGCTTTGACACTCACGCGACCTCGAAAAGTTCAAATTGCAAGTTTGTTTATAAACAAATTATCAAATTTTACACTTTAAGCTTGGTCGACCTTTCTGAAAAGTTATGTACTAAGCCTGTTCTTTTTCAGGTTTTCCTTTTTGTATCTGGATTTTTACTTTCATTGTCTTCCACAAAGTAAGTCTTAATCGCTCTACTTTTCGTTATTGTCCTTTAATTGTTAATTACACAAAGTCCTGAGGTTACTTACTTGCCAAGGCCATTTTCCGAAGCCGCTGACCTGCCCTCCGACGATCCTGGCCTCGGGGAAAAGGCGACGACCGCAAACTGTAAGCAGAAAGAGGGTGGTGTTCAGAGCGACCATCACAGACTGGCTCGCCGATCAACGAGAATTGGACCCCACCAAACCACTACGGCATCGCACGTGTTGGTCGGGTCCAAAATCCTGGCCGGCCGTGACCCATTGCGGTTTTGCACAAAAAAACACAACAAGAATATAAAAAAAATCAATAACTATCAGGTACAAAAAGCGTCATGCGGTATAACGAAGCGATGTGGAAATTATCCAGAAGCTTCTCGAGTGCAAAAACCAAAGCTTTTACAAGATTGTAACTTGGTTGAAAATTGTTTTAAAAAAAACCCAAAACTTTCCCGTTTCTTTTTGACTTTTCAACAAATCTTATATTTGATCCATTTGTTCCATTAAGTGAGCCATTGAGCAATAGTACTTTATCACTTTAAAACATTATCAGAAGAGCTACTGTTCACCCCCCCCCTTTCAAAGGTAAACTCATGGCAGTCCCCATAAGCAAAATTTAAGTTAGTAAATAATAAACTAGCATTAAAGAAATGATCTCAGATTTTGTTTATTTGTGAAGAATTTTATACTTTATATGTTTACTATATAATCAAAATAACTTCATAAGAAAGAGCGAAAGACAATTTTTGTCTACTATTATTAAGTTAATGGAAAAATTAGACATTTTAAAGTCTTCATATATTTAAAAATGCATAAAGCTATATTTTAGCGTTAATTTAAAAATTTAAATATATTTTTTGCTTTTTGATATAGAGGTTTATAGTTTTATAAGTATATAGGTTTATAAGTATATAGGTTTATAAGTTTATAATTTCTAATCTTTTTACAACCAGTAAAAAGGCGTTATGTTCAAAATACGACCCTGGAATGTTATGCCAACTAAAGGCACATTTACAAAAATGTGAGTAAATTCACGTCAAAAGACTAATTGGTTTTTGCTCGCATCTCATTTCCATAAGATCCAGTTCAATCGGAAAATACTGAAGGACGTTTTTGTTATGGTCCAACAAACTTAAAAACAATCAAATTACAACATTTATTATAATTATCATTATTTAATATTTATTAGCCAATATTGTACTAAAAATGTACATTAAAAAAACAGTGTATCGTTAATGTCTGAAAAAGGTTCAGAAAATGTGCATAACTGTTTTATGGTTAATTAATGATTAACACAGGCGTTCAAAAACCAAATTGTATTGCAAGTAAGTTCTGTATTTTTAATGGATTCTACTTTAGATAGGAGGAAAAAGTTTTGTTTAAAAGGTTAAATCTGATCTTTATAAGCATAAATGATTCTCCAAAGAGAAGGGTTCCTTATTTAATCCAGACCTTACAACTTCAAACTACTACCCTTAAAGAGCAATAGCCCAGTTACTTGAAAATAAATAGCTATCACTTTGAAAGTAATCAGGACTTTCTTTTTATCCTCAGCGTTTTGAAAACAATTTGACAGTGTTGGTCAAGTCCTATTATAAACTTAAAGTGAAAATTAACCGAATATCCTAGATTTGTATTTATTTTTAATTTGAAATTCTTCTTGAGGCGAACGACCTCTGGTTTTGGCCAACGTCTTCCGACGACTAATTGGCCGCAATCATTTCCCTAATGACCAAGTCCCAAGGCTGAACACTACTTCTTTGCAGTTAATGTCCTGACATTTTTCCTTTGACATGTTTGTTTGATTTTGTTTAATATACAATGTACCACACGACATGTTTAATAGAAATCTGAATATTTATAGTTGTTTTTTTTTTATTTCTTGTTAATAAACACCCGACCAAAAATGTATGGTATAATTATGCTTAAAATATATGTTTTTCGTGTAAAAAATAAGATTTTTCACTCACCTTCCTTATAATTAGTCTTGTTGAAGGATTCCACTTCGTTTATTTCTGGAGGAGGAGTCGAGGAAGATGATCCTTGCTCAGAAAGGGTCGAGGCTGTTGTGGCCGATGAGGTCGTGGTCGATGAGGACGTTGAGGTGGAAGAGGGTGTGAAGCTGGAGGAGGATAAGGTCGAAGTGAACGACGATGCCGAAGGTGTGGTCGATTGCGGCAGGGTGGTTTGGATAACAGGGAGGGCGGTGCTGGATCCGATTGACACTTCACTCGGTTCTCCGTGCGTAGTCGGACGAGATGTACTCGGAGAGCTGAAATCCGAAGTAGTCGTGTAGTGCTGCGTAGTGCTGGGCCGTTGGGTAGACGAAGGCCGTTGGGTCGAGGAGGGACGGTGGGTCGTGGAGATGATCGGAGGTCTGCTCGAGGGCCGGACAGTAGACGATGTCACCAGTTGGGGACGATTGCTACTTGGAGTAACCGGCCTCGATGTCGTGCTGATGCTCGGCTTGTTAGAAGCCGTCGGTTTAGCTGGCGGTTTGCCCGAAGTCGATACCGGTTTCGCCGTACTGCTGACTTGCAGTACGTTTACTACATTCTGTGAAGTCGTGGTGGGTCTTTTAGTCGGCGGTTGTGTTGGCTTCTTCGAAGTCAAAGGTATCTCTGCACAAAGGTACAATTAGGTAATTCATATTTGCTTGACCGAGAAAAATACTTACTTGTAGTTTGGGGAGAAGGAGCGTGAGTTGTTACCGAAACGGGAATCCAAGTCGTCGAAGGTGGTTTTGTGGTGTGTTGTTCCGGTTTGGCAGTGGTGTTGATAGGACTGGAGGACACAGGTTTCTGCGGTTTTGCGACGGGCGGTTTGCCCGTAATCGGTTTATGAGTCGTAGATGGCCTTGCGGGTGCCGAAACCGTGGACGGTCTCACAGGGACAGATGCCGCAGAGGGCCTCGTGGTAGTCGTGGACGGTCTTGCAGGATTCGTGGACGGTCTTGCAGGATTCGTGGACGGTTTTGCTGGATTCGTGGACGGTCTGGCTGGAGTCGGAGTCGTTGAGGGCCTTTTGGGAGGTGAGAAGCTCGAATTGACAAAAATCGGTTTGTGCGTTGCAACCGACGGTGTTGAAACTGAAAACATAAGTACATTTATTAATTTATATAATTCACACTGCAACAACAAGTACATAACAGATTTGAATTAGTTTTTGTGCGATATTTAATATTTTAATTAAGATCTTTAGTTAGTTTACCTTGAGGTTTGGTGGGCTTCTTAGATGGCGATTCTTCTAAAGTGGTCCAAGTTACCAACGTCGGAGTTGGGGTCGTTAGAGACGGTTTTACCCCGCTGACTATGGGCCTGCTACTGCTTGGCTGAGGTCTGGATGAACTGACCGACGGCCTGGAAGTCGAAGGCTTGAGGCTCGTGGGCTTGAAGGTCGTCGTGGTGAGAGGAGGCTTGCTGGAAGTCGGCCTCGGCTTTGGAGGCTTTTCGCTTCCTGTGGTTTCCTGCGGTTTTTGAGTTATCGCCGGCCTGTTCCTGGGCGTTGTAGTGCTGTCCCATTCTCCCAAGTGGTTGTCCTCGACCGGAGGAACCGCTTCTAGATCGTTTTCGGGCACCTTACAGCAACTTCCGAAGTAAAACCTATCGATGCACGTTCCGAGGTGCGTCCCATTGGCTTTGGCGCAAGAAAACGCAAACATGCATGTCCCAGTTTCTCCAGTTTTCCGGCTCAGGCATGGCAATTCTCTGATATTTCGTCCGATTCCTATAACTAAACATAAATTCTTAATGAATAAACAATGCTGTGGAAAGTATGAACAAAGTGTAACATCTATAATGTTAAATGTATTGCAAATACATTCATACCTATATTGTAGAAGTTATTTATCAGGAATATTTAACTAATCACTGAAGCAAGAAAAGTACGGTAAAAACATGGTTTGTGATCTGCGTTTCGATGATTTCCGTTATTCCTGCTTTATGGTTTAGTAGTCTTATACACTTCACTAGTCAAGCATCTTTTTAACAAAATATTGACTGTAATATTGCACAATATTTCAAAGAATTGATACCTTGATACCGTAGGTGACAAGCTATTATATGTTATTATCTATGGACAAAACTGGGTCTGAACTTGCCCTAAAGATGGGTATTAAACAGGGAGATCACTGTCACCCTTGTTTAACTGTTCTTCAGGAAGTTTTTCATTATCTTGATTGAGATAAAACATTCAGTAAAAATTGCTCTTTTTAGTGAATCTTTTTCAATTTCAAGCAGATTTATAGTCGAAAATTCAACAGGTGGCTTGATGATATGAAGAATTTCTTGAGAATTTCGTGGATAAATTACATTTGCTGAAGGTGTTATCTTCGAAGATTCTCCAGGTATTAAATATAACGAATTTTTAAGTAACTTTGAAAGAAAAAAAAAGTTGCCTGAGGTCGATATAAACAGAAAAGGTATAGGAGCCTTCAAGGGAATTAATCGCCATTGGCATTTCCTGGAAATAATTCTTCTTCTGAAATAATTCTTATGCTTGAAATTTATATTCGAGAAGAGGATGGGCGTAAAGCATATGGGCGCATGTCGTACGTGTCAAGAGAAAAGGGTTGAAAGGTCGTCAGCGATGGGATGAAGAATTTGATCAAATAATGCCTAACAGTAAAAAAAATAGAAATTAAATGGAAAATAAAGGATGTGGATAAGAGATGCGTTATTATTAATTATTATTGCATTGGGCCAGGATGAAGGAAGTGATACCATCCAAATGACCCATGATCTATACCTATCGACGGGACGAGTAGAAGGAAAAAATTCAACAGGTGTCCTGATGACCTGAAAAATTTCTTGAGGATTTCGTGGATAAATAATCAGTTTAATTGGCAAAGAAGGGAAATAATTTCGTCCGGAGTTGAATTGCCAATTAAGAAATTCCAATAATAAATGTCCTTTGTAAATATTTATTATTATGTAATTAGCTCCTTTTGTTAAAGGTTTTCTTGAACCTTTACTCTTCTTGCGGGTCATCATTATACAAATTATAGCAACCTAAAACTAAGTTTCGTCCTGCTTTCCCAGAATTTTAGAGAAACGTTATAACACTAAAATCCATCTTGCTTTTTCAGCATTTTATACCATTTTTTTAATCTCACTACTTTAATAAGAAGTAGTGCAGTTAGTCGTTCTTCTAATAATAAATGTCCTTTGTAAATATTTATTATTATGTAATTAATTCCTTCTGTCAGAGTTTTTTTGGATCTTCATTCTTCTTCCTGCTTTCCCAGAATTTTAGAGAAACGTTATAATACTAAATTCCATCTTGCTTTTTCAGCATTTTATACCATTTTTTTAATCTCACTACTTTAACAAGAAGTAGTGTAGTTAGTCGTTTTTCCAATAATACATGCCCTTTATTTATTGTTTTAATTAACTCCTTTTGTCAAAGGTTTTTTTGAACCTTCACTCTTCTTGAGGGTCATTATTATACAAATTATAGCAACCTAAAATTAAGTTTCTTCCTGCTTTCCCAGAATTTTAGAGAAACATTATAACACTAAATTCCATTTACTTTTTCAGCATTTTATACAATTTTTTTCTTGTTGAAGTAGTGTAGTTAGTAGATTTTCTTTTTGGGCAAGATAAGAAATCCACATCTCTTGTTAGAAACGTGTGGTGATTAGTGACCGTTAGTCGATGATTATTCAGAAATCGTGAGATGCGGTCTGGTGTGATGTAGATTTCAGAAAAACATTTTCTTAATCGTGCCAACGTTTCGATCTTTATTGAGATCAACCTCAGGGCCTGGGATTTTCAAACATTGTTTAAATTTACAAATACATGTAGTATGTGGAAAAATGTGAATTTATACAATGCAAAATATATTTTTTATATTCAATCAAAGTATTTCTATTCACTCAAAGTGTTTGTCTTCCAGAGAGCCAGTTATAAACATAAAACAGCAAAATCTCACTGGCACTCTCAACACGACACGCAAGAATGGCACAATTACACAGAAGACAAACACTTTGAGTAAGTAGAAATACTTTGATTGAATATAAAAAATATACTTTGCATTGGATAAATTCACTTTTTTCCACATCCTACATATATTTGTTAAATGTAAACAATGCTTGTAACCCTGAAGGTGATCTCAATAAAGATCGAAACGTTGGCACGATAAAGAAAATGTTTTTCTGTAACCTACATCACACCAGAACGCATCTCACGATTTCTGAATAATTCTCTTTTTAAAGTTTGTGAGAAATAGGTGGTACCAGAATTCTGGGAAATCAGAAAGGAACTTAATTTTTCTTTTGGAGTAAGTCAAAAAATCAATACCTGTTTGTAAGCTTTGTGAGAAAAAAATTGGTATCGGAATGTTGAAAAAGCAGGAAGAAACTTAGTTTACTCCAGTAGAAAAAGTAAGTTCTTCTAGTTTTCTTTCCCACATTTCCAATACCTCTTTTTTCACAAAGTCTGCAAGGAGATTTGTCTGGCTCAAAAAAATAAGTTCCTTCCGTTTCTCGATCTTCTGGTACCTATTTTTCGCACATAATCTACATTTTTCAAGATATTTTGTTTGGAAACAAATATTTTTTCATTACTCACAAATTTCTTATTCAAATCGATATGACTTACGATTACTTAAAAAAGAGAACTTTGTTTTTTTGGACAAGCTCTTTTCGGAAAAGGTGATGAAATGCCAAAACACGCCTGACATAACAAAACCAGGACTTTCGGAAACGACCAAGCAGAAAATATTTGGCCAGAAAATAGGGATGGTCTTTATCAAAAGTTAGACTATTTACCGTTTGAATTACAAACTTTAAGTCGATATTTGTGTTGATTGCCGATTCAACAGAGTTAGATATGTTTATTGCAGGTATGTATTGCAGGGAAAAAAGCCGCCGAAGTTAGTTTATTTCACGGAAACGAAATGTTGAAGATGCAAGTGGACGATGCACCTGACGTGAAAGGGGCGTGAAAGAAAAAGTAGAATAATGCATACGAGAATGGGGTCAATGTTATAGTGTGAAGGGAATAACTGTAGAGGGGTCACGTCCCGTGATCGGGTCACGTTCAACCTCCTCTCGGCTTTTCTCCCGTCTTCCCAAAAGAAAAAACATCCTTTTACGGGAAAATCTCTAAGAGGATAGATTCTTCTGTACGGAAAATTGAAACGAAAAAAAACCGTGGAAGTTTTATTCGGGGGTCTCAAAAGAAATCGAGTGGTTTTCTATCATTCGACTGTATATGCTCATTATTTCACCGTTATACCTTCATCCCAACAATTTGTGACCTCGTTATGCAACCGCATTTAAGCAGCTATTACAGGAGTCTTGATCTGACGATAAAACTATGACAAATTGGTCATTTGATCCTTACAAGGAAGAATCAATTTAGGTAGGAATTGTTTTTAAATTAAATAAGCTATAATTCATGTTTTTGGTTGAAGAAGTATGTTGTAAATAAATCTTCCATCTACTCTGTTTCTATTAAATGTGAAGATCTTTGGGCAGCGATATGGGGAAGAATTGCATTTTAATTTTTTCAAGCTTCATGGGTGAACTTCTATTTTATCATACTTGGATTCTGAAACTTGGTTGTTACTCAATCTCCAGTCAATTTTGACATAGCCTATATTCAATAAACGACCTTGACACTGGCTCATGGTCGAAAAATTTAAGTAATCACAAGGGTATTATTGCAAGTACCAGGTAGGGGTTCATTTTTTTCTAATTTACGCCAATGAATATGGTGCGAAAACGCGTCCGAGAGACCAGCGAGAATCGGCGGACCAATATGATTAGAAACGACCAAGCTATAGGGTCATCACTCGGCAACCTTAAGAAATCTCATCATCCTTGGATCGGTCTATTCTTGCCGGTTAACCTTGGTCAGAACGTTTTGATCCGCAACGTCTTTACTACTGAAGACTGCAGATCCTTTCAATGAAGTTTTAATAGATGGATATTTTTTCACTTTAAAGTAACTTAGTGAATTTTTAACGATTTTTTCCTTTCATTCATGTTTCCGACGTTTAGTCTTTATAGACTTTCTTGATCGTTCTTGATTTTTCATGGTTTTGTCTGTTATATTTTCTCTAACTTCTGTAAATGGTTTGCTTCCGTTGTTTCTTTTGAAATTAGACAATAATAAAGCTGAGGCTTATAGCTTATGTCTGGTTGTCTGGAAGGCACGGTTCATCGGGTAAAAGGCAACGGCCCGGTAAGGTCACGAGATCAATCGACATCGGATCCGATTTTCAGTTGAGGTTTTGTAACACCGGCCAGTTTCTACTGCTAGGCCGCCGGCCACCGAGAAAGTCCCACGGACTAGCGGGACTGTCCCGTTAAAAGAGTGGCCGAGGTGACATCAGTGTTTTCCCTTTCTCGCCGTGTTCCGGGGCACACCTGAGCCCGGAGGATTCCAGGGCGGTGACCCAAATCTTTACAAGTACCGTTACCGGGAATGTGAATGAGCATATGCATCTTACATTTCTCCACCGGCTCCTCATCTGAAGACCGTTACCAGTGGACCGAAAATCTATCCGGCCTCTGGTCGACATAGCATAATATGTTATGGGGTCGCGATCGCGCTGAAAGTAAAGACTCGCGACAGGGGAAAGTGTTCCTGTGAAAAAGAAACACCACCTGACAACGTTGTAACAAGATTAGAGATTTTCAAACGGTGTAACATCAACTAGCCAGAAAGTCACGAAAAACTCATAAAAATCAAGTGGAATTTACGTCTATCCAGCCTTCGCTTTTGAACAAGCGTCAGAAAGACCTTATTTTCGGGCACGTTTAATTTCTCCATCTATCACTGATGAATCGATTCAATATAATGCTTTTAACGTTTATTATTCAAACGAGGTCCACTGTGATGTCTTTTAATCTAATATTTTGATAAAATTCATCTTCCAGACAATATTTTTTGCCTATACTTTGCTTTAGTCTATCAAGCATGTTTTAGTATTCTGACCAACATATAAAAAAAAACACTTTGGAAAAACAATATTTGTTTGTTTTTGTTACAAAAAATTTTTAATAAAAAACTTTTAATTGCAAATAGAGTATGCTGGAAAGTGTAGATTTTGTGAGACAAAAGTTCTAATTCTAAATCTAGTTCTAATTCTTTCTAATTCTAAAAAGTTCTAAAATTCTAGGAAAGAAAGAAGGAACTTAGTTTTTATTTTTGAAAGAGACAAAAAATCTGCATCCCCTTGTGAACTTTGTGAAAAAGATGGTATCAAAATGCTGAGAAATCAGAAAGTAATATAGTAATTTTTTTTAGTAAGACTAAGTTTTTGAGTATCAATCCATGTCCCCTGTAGACTTTGTGAGAAAAAGGCGGTAGCAGAATTCTAGGAAAGCAGGAAGGAACTTAGTTTTCTTTTTGAGTAAGGCAAATTTATCCACATCTCTTGGTAGAATTTTTGAGAAAAAGCGGTATCAGGATTGTGGGAAAGCAGGTAGGAACTACGTTTTTATTCTCAAATGGGACAAACAAATCCATAACTTCTTGTAAGCGTGAGAAAAAGGTGGTATCAGAATTCTGAGAAATCGGGAAGGAACATAGTTTTTCTTTTTTAGTAAGACAGATCATCAATCCATATCCTCTTGTGGACTTTGGGAGAAAAAGTGATATCAGAATTGCGGAAAAGCAGGAAGGGACTTAATTTTCTTTTAGTAAAACAAAAAATTCTTATCTCCTTCTAAACTTTAAACTTTTTGAGATAAATAAAGAAGAAGGAACTTAGTTTTTATTTTTGAAAGAGACAAAAAATCTGCATCCCCTTGTGAACTTTGTGAAAAAGATGGTATCAAAATGCTGAGAAATCAGAAAGTAATATAGTAATTTTTTTTAGTAAGACTAAGTTTTTGAGTATCAATCCATGTCCCCGTAGACTTTGTGAGAAAAGGGTGTTAGCAGAATTCTAGGAAATCAGGAATCTTCTTAAAATTGATGATAATTATGGGTAAAAGTAGGAACTTAGTTTTACTTTTCGAGAAAGACAAACAAATCCTGTCGTCCTAGTGTGATTTTTAATGTGGTAAAAAAGTGGTAGTATCTCTTTCTTTTGAATATGACAAAAAAATGTTTGTAAGAAGAAAGAGGTATAAAATGCTGAAAAATAGATAGAACGAAGTATAATAATATAAACAAAGTTCGGGTCTACAAATATTTTTATTTGCAAATATAATTATTTCTTCCCAGATTCTTTCAGAACTGGAAGGAAGGCTATATAAACTTAACTTGGTTAAAAACAAAATGGCGAAACTAATCTGATCAAGGTGATCGAAAATGACATCGACATCTCCCAGCAGATCTCAAGAAGCATTATTACATAAATTACATAATTAATAAATATTTGACCAGTGATTGGCGTGATTAAAAGTTAACCAGAACCTCATAACTTAACTTATCCAATATATTTAAGTCAAAACGTCCAAACTGTTATTTTAATTTAAAGAAGATGATCTCAATACAAGATCGAAACGTTGGCACGATAAAGAAAATGTTTTTCTGAAATCTACATCACACCCGACCGCATCTCACGATATCTGAATAACTAAGTTATTTTAATTGTACAGTTGGTTCTTTTGAATACATTTCTTAAAATTACCTTGTGGATTCCAAAGTGGTGTTGTCAATACCGAGTGGAGAAGATACAAGAAGAAGACGCCACCGACACCAATGCGAGATTTAGACATAGCAGCTCCTCTTCTGAAACTCTCAACTCCTCACTCGCTGTCCTGCTGGCTGCGCTACTTCTTACTGCTCAACGGCATCTGGAACGTTGTGAACTCTCGTGAAATGAGGCCTAGGACAATATTTCAAAATGGTTAATAATTTTTCATTTATATTTTGTGACTTTCAAATTGGTTTACGGACAATGCCTGTGAGAAAGTATGCCCTTTCTTGTTTGTACCTGCTGGCCCGTTCAAATATAAGCATTTTGAAATATTTATAAGGTCAACGACTTGCTAATATACACAAACAAATACAATTTTGATGTTAAGCACAGCTTTTTAAAATTTTGGATTTTAAGACTCCTTATGAGAAAGACGAATGACATTGAGTCATAAACACTAATTTCATTGGCAATTCGTGTTTTGGCGTTTAGCTTTTGAGCCATCCAAGTTTTCATTGTATGTTTGCTAATACGTTTAAATTATCACTGGTAAAACAGTAAACTGCTGCCGACCATAACAGTTCAATGTCATTGTCATGGTCATGTCAACGACAAGAGTTGTCTGCATTGATGTTGGTGTCCAAAGGGTGTCGATACAACGATATCGTTTATGATCATTTTCTTTAACCCAACCCAATTTATTTACGTCTTGATAGAAAACCAGAGTGGGCAAGGTTAAGTTCCCTTTTGTTTTGCCCAAGAAGGGAAGCAGCGTGGGTGCGGCTGAACCGTTAGAGGGCATACTGACATACTTGTCGCAAATGTAAACAATACGAAGAATCGTGCGTCACCCAGAAAGTGTCTGGAGAAAGTCTTCGCCCACCTTACGCCCGGGGAAGCCCGACGGATTTCTTCCGCTTGTTCTAGGGGAGAATTATTTCAAAAAGGTCAAATTATGCAACACCCGTAACGCTATTTGGATGAGACGAAAAAATCTCAGCTTTGGCCCAGTTTGGTGTAACTTAAGCAATATAATCAAAACAGCACATTTAACACCAATTGATCGACTTTTTTCCCAGTGAAGTTGTTCCAACATTTCCAACCACAGAATGATTAATAATCTTCTATGATCAAAATCACCAATAGATGATATGTACATAAATCTATCTATCTTTCTATTTCTCCTTCACATTCCCCCTTAATCTAGTTTACTTTATCATTATTTATATACTATTCTCAATCTCCTTCTATTTATCAATCTACTTACTACTTTCTATCTTGCTCTCTCTATATAACCATTCATCTTTGTAGCTCTCTCACTCTCTCTCTCTCTCTCTCTCTCTCTCTCTCTCTCTCTCTCTCTCTCTCNACATATATATATATATATCAATCGGTAGACATGTTTAAGTTTGTTTTGCCCTGATGATGACCTTAAAATAGGTCGAAAGCTTGGTATAAGCAACTAAATTTGCTTTCTTCTTCTTCAAGACCATACCTTGGTCCAGAGTGTTGTAAGTGATAATATAATGTAAATATTGTGTTGTAAATAACGTGTGTAAATATTGTTGAATTGATTGAATTAACATTAATTTGAAAACGTTTTAGCCGTTGATTGAGAAATTTTTTACATGAAATTTTAATATGATTAGGGCTTTCAGTTTGATGATTTACTGACGATGATAGATCGGGTCGTTTCTGAGTACACAGAGGCTTTGAGATTTTAAATAAACATGATTGGTGCACCTGCCGCCAGCATACCAAAAAGCGAAATATAAACACCTGCTGATATCGGCCAACGCGGAAACAATAAATATTCATCGTATACTCTTTCATACGTTTTAATCGTAAGAGAACTATTTTCTCCCATTTCCACATTAGTCTAACTCGGCCACGCTTAATAACCTTCGGTCAAGCACGGGGATTGGTTAAACTCGTCTGTAGTTTACACACTTGGCTTCTGGGAACTGGTTTTGAACCGCTATGACACTAATTTCCACGTTCGGAAGAAGAAGAAGAATTGTATAAGGTCCTTTTATTATTTTTAGAATCTTTTATATTATTCCTGAAGAGCCAGGGGCATCGGCCTGATTAGCGAAACGGAAATAATTAAGAAGAAGCCGAGTCTTACCTTTACGATCAGATTCAAAAAGTCTCCTTTGTTCTTTTTGGAAGTGGATTATTCGTCCAACCAGAGGGTTTTAAATGGTAAAGAAACTAAGTCAAAAATAAAGCAATAAACGCTACCAATTAATAAAAGACATTTTTTTATTCCTCCGGATTCTTCCTAAAGAAGGTAGTGATGATCTTCCTGTCCTGTGGTGTGCGCGTATAACCGTTTTAATCCTGATTATCATGACAAAAACCTGTCGAACAGGAAATATTGGTTTCATCAGATATAAAAATAAGAAATGCCAATATTAAATTGAAAATTAATTAAAATTTTGCACTCTCCTATTCGCTACAAATTTTTTGGTAAAAATGTTGGATAGAAAGCGTTAAGTTTAGCGATTTTGAATTACTCTCTCTTGTCTCATCGCTCTCTCTCTCTCTCTCTCTCTCTCTCTCTCTCTCTCTCTCTCTCTCTCCATATATCTATCTATATTTCTCTACCCTCTATCTTTATATCTATCTGTCTGTCTGTTGAGTTTGAAATTCACAGAATTGTTGAGACTGAGGGTTATGAAGTATAAATGGTCTTCTTCTTTTCTTGTTGGTAGTTTTTTTTTTACCGCTTTCTTATTTCATTGTTTATATTCAAAATTTAAATTAAGACTGAAGGCAATTTTCAAATGAAGATTCTTCAACCATCAGTTAAAGAGATTCCGAAGAATCGGACGTGCGGAACAAAACGCTGTGAGTTGAATTATCAACTAGCCGTCGCCTTTTCTGGATAACCACGACTGGTTGGCAGTTCCATTTCGGATTCTATCGTTTGAAAATTTAAAGATTTCAGGCTGATTGATGTTTTGAAATTTCAGATTTTTTAGGGAGAAAATTATCGGAAAAAGAGGGTTTCGTCTGTTTGAACTACATTTTGTTTGATTTTGCTGTCAAAAGTTTAGTTTTGTTTGTTTCGTAAATTACAGTCTAAAACTCTTTTTTTCTTTCTCAATCACTTTGATTGCTCTTATTGAATTGATTAAGATTTTTTACCTATAATAGGTCACTCCTTTCTGCTTCTTAAGAAAAGAGGACGATGAACCATTTAAACATAAAACCACGCAAAATGTTTGAATCGACGCTATCATTATACTTTCTATGTAAGGTCTTGGTTGAGATAAAAAAGTCAGTGTCACGAGCGGGATTCGAACCCATGACCTTCGGCTAAATAAGCCGCTACTCTCCCACTTGAGCTATCGTGACTTCTCAAGTGGTAGAGTAGCGGCGTATTTAGCCGAAGGTCGTGGGTTCGAATCCCGCTCGAGACACTGACTTTTTTATCTCAACCAAGACCTTACATAGAAAGAATAATTATTTGAAAGAAGTAACTTGGTCATTTGACCACTACAACGTAAATGGGCTATCGTTATAATTAATTGTATATTTCTACTGCTGTTGGAGGCCATTCCCGCAACGGTAGAACAGGGTTTTCTCAAATTCTGGAACAATCGGTTCTCACTCTCTCTCTCTCTCTCTCTCTCTCTCTCTCTCTCTCTCTCTCTCTCTCACTTTTATTTATGCTTTCGAATATGAAGGAGAAGAAAGAAGAGGAACTTTGCGGTTCTTCAAACTTAAATTTTAACGTCGTATCGGGGTGCTTTCGCTATCCCCGTATCAGAAGAATCGTAAGTACGTGCTTTATACTTTCCCCATATACAACAAGACAGTTATAATTGTATATGGGTGGTGAGCAGGGCTTCTGTTCACTTTGCAATTCGCATGCCCTCAATCTGTTTTTCATTTTTTGGCGGTGTTCAATTCTGGGAGCTTGCTTCACCTAGGTTGCTTCACTCTGTCAATGGGTGAACTTCCGGGTTTTTTGGTTGGTACAAGATCCTTTGAAGCCTTGTTCAAGCCTTTGATTGGGTTGGTGATGCAGACATGGAGCTACATATACGAGCTGACAGAAGCATTTAAATGCGTTTATTTTAACACCGCGACCTAGGTGTTCGGGTGCGTCGCCGTCAGCGAAGCGCCCAATTTGTGATATACACTGTACTCCTGTATCAACAACCCCTATCTTCTCAAAATCCACCAATCAGAACACGCTTCCCTCCTTTTTCCTGAAAAAATCCGTCCCCCTTCCAGCCTTTTTGGCTCTCTTCTCCGCCAGCTCTTGGAGCGTGCACATCTCCTATCGCCCTGTCATCTCCCCTAAGTGTTGCACAATAGTAATTAACCACCGTGTAAGATCGCCGTTTCCTAAAGTCTCATCGCCACGCGAATCTTCACGGATCCCCCTTCAAATTGCCTTACGATCTTCAACTCCGCGTGCATCCCATCTCCCGACCGCATGGTCCTAAACCTATCATCACCATTTTCCCTTAATATCTTATCTCCATTTATCCATAGACCATCGACATTATCCCCGGAAGACTCCATCATCTCACTGACATCACCACCTAGATTGCATCATCTCATTGCCGTCGCCACATGGATTTCATCATCCATCATCATCGACGCTGCTGGAACCAGGCCGGTGCACTGCCCTAGTCATCGCCAAACAACGCATCATATCTCCTGCAGAGGCATTCACCGCTTTCCGGCCTTCATCGCCTTCAGACCGTCATCGCCTTCAGGTCTCCAATACGATCATCATCCATCTTGTAAGCCATAGAAATTTCATTAAACAGTGAGCCTTCAATTACTCCTTTCGTTCGTTATTTATTCCTTCATTTAATTCTTCCTAAACTAACATCTCCTAATCAATCCGGAATCTTCCATTCCCGTTGGTGCCGAAACAAACAATCTTCTTATTAATTATATCTCCTATCTTCGGTGGTGTTCGTCGGCGCCATTTTGTATTTGGCTGCTGGCGAACACTACGACAGACGGATTTTTCGATCCATTGTATATTTACTGTTGTTTTTCTTCTCTCTATTGTATTTTGGTTTATGTTGAAAATACAACAGTTTTTCATTCATTTATTCTTCCCCCATATTCTTCACCTGGTTTTATTGCTGAAAATCAGACAGAAACACTCTGTTCATATGGAATTCATGAAGTTTTAACTGGTAACGCTATCATGT